CGCCGCCATGCTCCAGCTCGCCGAGTACCGCCACCTCGTCGACCTCGACGTCGAGACGACGACGCCCGAGCCACTCGCCCCGCAAGACGTCGTCGACGCCCAGCTCGCCCTCCTCGCACACCTCGTCGACGAGCTTCCGCCTCATCCGCACCTCCCGTCGCGTCAAGACCTCCTCGACCTCTCCTTCGCGCACCGCCAACGCCTCCTCGACGCCCTCGTCACCGTCCGCGACCCGCAAGAGCTGTCGCCACTCCCTCGCGCCCTCCTCGAGCAAGCCGACGCCCTCGCCCGACTGCGCAACGACCGCAACCCAGACCCGTTCGTGCCCGTGTCGCGCATCCCGACCATCGCCGAGGCGCTCTTCCCGTCGACGACCGCCCCGGCCGACGTCCTCCCGCCGTCGTTCGCCCGGATCAAGTTCACCCGGGGTGACTTCACCCGCCTCGACTCGACGACGGCCTCGTCGCCGCACGACACGCTCGCCCTCGTCAACCCGGCCAACGTGCGCATGCTCGGCTGCTTCAAGCCGACCCACAAGTGCGCCGACAACGTCATCCACGCCGCCGCCGGGCCCTCGCTGCGCGCCGAGTGCGCAAAGGTCATGCACGCGCGCGACTGGGTCGACGTCGAGACGGCCGAGGACGTCATCGTCACCCACGGTGGCGCGCTCAGGGCCCAGTACGTCCTGCACGTCGCCGGGCCGCAGCTCGCTCGCAAGGGCGCGCAGCCGAGCGAGCTCCAGGTCCGCCAGCTCGAGACGGTCTATCAGCGTTGCCTCGACCTCGCAGAAGAGGTGCGCCGACTCTTATCTCTCTTTCTCGTGCCTTCGAGCGCCTCGACTGATCCCCAACCCCGCCTGCAGCTCGGTACCATCTCGACGGTCGCCTTCCCGTGCATCTCGACGGGCCTCTTCTTCTTCCCCGGCGACCTCGCCGCGCGCATCGCCTTGCGTGTCGTCTCGACTTGGCTCGACACCCACCCGTCGTCGACCCTCAAGAACGTCGTCTTTGTCCTGTTCTCGCAGGCCGACACGGACAACTACCTCGCCGCGCTCGCCGCCGTCTTCCCTTCCGTCCCAGCTCCACCTGCGCCTCTTCCCGTCGTGCGCACAGTCCCGCAACACGTCAAGCGCTGGATCGACGAGGCCGACAGTGTCATTATCCACGCCGGCGCAGGCCTGAGCGCCGACGCCGTCAGCGAGGCGGTCGGGCTCCCGCTCGACTACACGAGCCCGGCCCTGTTCGCCAAGCTGTACCCGGGCCTGGTCGAGCACACGTCGCTCCGGTGCCTGTACGACACGATCGGCCACGACTGGGACGACGTGAGCCACTTCTCTCCGCCCTTTCCCGCCCTTTCCGCTCGGACCTCGACTGACTCTTTCCCCTCCCTCGCGCTCGCCGCAGCCGCTCGTCAAGTGGGCCTTTATCCTGTCGCACGGCTACAACGTCCAGAACTGGGCGACCCCCTCGTCCCCGTCACCCGTCTACGCGACCCTCCTCCGATACGCCCGCTCTCGGCCCGGCGGCTTCACCGTCCTCACCTCGAACGCCGACAACCTGTTTCCCTCGTCCGGGTTCCCCTCGACGCACTTTCACGCCCCGCAAGGCTCCTACACCGAGTTCCAGTGCCTGTCGCCCTCGTGCGCCGCTCAGAACCCGCCCTCGGCCCGCGTGGGGCCCTCCCTCCCCGCCTGCACCGCCGCGCACTCGACGCCAGGCGCCCTCGACCCGCACACGATGCGCCTCCCGCCCGACCTCGCGCCGTCCCTCATCCCGCGCTGCCCGGCATGCGGCACGACCGACGTCTTTTTCCGCGTGCGCGGCGGCCCGTGGTTCGTCGAGGGCCCGCGCACCGAGCGGCTCGCGCACGCCGAGCGCGTCGCGCACCTCGTCGAGCGCGCTAGAGCCCGCGGCACGCACGTCGTCGTGCTCGAGCTCGGCGCCGGGTTCAACACGCCGGGCGTCGTGCGCTTGCCGGGCGAGGCGCTCGTCGCGAGCGAGGCGGGCCGGGGCGGATCGGTCAAGCTCGTGAGGGTCAACCCGAGGGCTGCGGACGTAGGGTTCGAGGTCGAGTACCCGGCGGCGGCGGGCGGGAGCGGCGGCGACGACTGGGAAAGGAGGGACGTCGCCGGACTCGAGATGGGCGCGTTGGAGTTTCTCCGGCTCGTCGAGCCCGAGGGAGGTTGGGCGTAGCGAGTCTTGAGAAGCAGAGATGTATCTCGTTGATCTGGCGAGCACAGCGTGGCTTTGAAAGCGAGAGAGCCTGAGCGAGAGCTGGCGGTCCGTGCGACAGCGGGGTCGAAGCCGGGCAAGCGACTTTGAGAGTTCGGCGCAGCTTAGCATGCTCGTCGCCCACAGTGATGGAAGCTTAGATATGCTGCTCGCCCTTGAGCAACATGACAGCTCGCACAGGACCACGTCAAGCTTGAGAGGAGGGCTCCCTCTTTGACCTTCTCAAGTTGCGCGAGCGAGAGGAAGCGCACGGCGAGAGCTCTCTCGAAAGTACGGAGGTGACAGACGCTGAACCATGACAGACAACAACAAGATGCTACGGCGATGGAAAGAAAGAGAGGGGAACACGAAGCTAAACCGCCTCCGAGCCCGCCGCCGCATCCTCGCTCGACTCGTCCTCCTCCTCCTGGTGCGATACCGGTTCCTCGTCCGTCACGTCGCGCGACGCTCCTCATCTGCGACGACGGCCGAGGTCGGCGCAAGCTCGAGCTTCGGCGTGGCCTCGACGACGAGCTTCTCCTTGAGGTCCTTCTCGAGCGGCTTGGTCGCTGCCGGCGCGGTCGAGACGGGCGCGGCCGGGGCCGATGCGGCCTGCGCAACGTTCTCGGCGGCGCTCGTGCGCGCCGAGCCCTCCCCGTCGACCGTGGCCGAGCCGTCGCTCGCGCGCGCGGGAGCCGCGGCCGCGGCCGCCTTCTCGGCCTCCTCCTCGGCGTCGATGCGGTCGGCGAGGTCCTTGGCGCGCCGCAGCACCTCGTCGACGTACAGGTTGACGATCGACGACGAGTCGGAGTCAAGAGAGGTAGTCGAGGCGCGAGAGCGAGGGCGAGAGGGGGTCGGGTGGGGGTTGGCGGCGTCGGTCGGGAGGGACGCGAGCGACTCGGCGGTCAGGCGGGCCGACTGGTCGACAGGCGCGTCGACGGGTGCCAGGGTCGAGTTGTCGAGGGTCGGGGAAGACGAGGAAGAGGCGGTGCCGGGCTCGACCGTGGCGGGTTCAGGCTCGGCTGCGGCGAGGTCGGCGGAAGGAGCAGGAGCTGCGAGACGCAGAGTGTCAGGACGCGAACGAGAGGACACAAAGAGAGAAATGAGAGAGGGCGCACCTGCTGCAGCCGTGGAGTCGTCGTGCGCGCGCTCGGACCCCTCGCCCGCCTCGCTCGCCGCCTGCTGGCTCTGGCGCTCCCACTCGTGCTCCTTGAGCTCGTCGAGCTTGGCGAGCTCGACCTCGACGCGGTTGACGAGCGCCTTGCGCGCCTGCTTGATGACCTTGTCGCCGCCGGACGACACGGCGTCGACCTTGCTGAGGAGCGACACGAGAAAGTCCTCGTGCCCGAGGAAGGCCGCGTTGGGCTTGCCGAACGCGAGAGTGGGCGTCGAGGAGGTCGAGGTGGGAGAGGGCGGCGACTGGAAGGTGAGGGCCGAGGGCGAGGTGAAGGACGAGAGGCGCGAGTCGAACTCGGTCGAGAGGCCGTTCAGGGTGTCGAGGGCGGCCTGGCGAGCGGCGTCACGCTCGAAACGCTTCTGGAGAGCCTCGATGGCCGGGTCGGGGAGGGAGGGCTCGGCGGTGGCGGTGGAAGTGGGCGCCGGGGACGAGGACGAGGCGGCCTTGTCGGCGACGACGGGAGCGGGCGCGGCAACGGCCTGCTGCTCTGGCTCATCGTGCGCCGCCGAGCTGGCGAGGTCGAGGAAGAGCTGGACGAGCGAGTGCGGCAAGTCGCTCTGGCGCGCGCGCTGCTGCCGCCTCGCCTCGACGATGCGACGGCGCTGGTCCTGCTCGGCCTCGACGCGGCGACGATTCTGCTCGCGGGCGACGAGGGCAGCGCGACGCTGTGCCGCCTCGACAACGGCCTGGCGGTACAGGGCGGCGTCGCGCTCCTCCTGGGCGCGGCGGGCGAGGGCGGCGCGGTGCTCGAGCGCCTGCTGGACGAGAGCCGCCTGCTGGAGGCGGCGACGGCGCTCGACTTCTTGCAGAACGGCGCGCTCGAACGCCTCCTCGCGGTGACGGCGCTCCTGCTCCTCGACGTAGGCGGCGAGAGCGGCCTGGCGAGCGGCGGCCTCGGCGCGGCGGCGCTGCTGCTCGTGCTGCTCCGTGAGGAACGCGAGGCGCTTGAGCTCTTGCTCGTAGGCGAGGCGGGCCTTGTGGGACGACGTCGAGTAGAGGTTGGTCTGGGGCTGGTGGAGCGGGAGGGAGAACATGTGTAGACGGTGCGCGGGTGGTCGAGTCGAGTTGGGGTCGCGAGCTGAGGAGGGGAAGGTGGAGAGAAAGGTGAGCGAGGGGGCGTCCGCTCGGGCGGGGTCTTGAAGAGCGGCTGGGTGCGCACCTGATCACGAAGCCGGCGAACCTGCTCGAACTTGCCCGTCGCGCGAGCCGAGGACCTCGAAGCTGCTCGAACCGTCTCGAACAGGCTGCAGGGCGACGCCGCGACGGCGGAACGGGCTCAGGCGCAGCGGCTCGGTCGCTCGAGCAGCTGCTTGTGGAGCTCATGACGATCTGTGCGGGGCAGCTTGGGGCTTGGTCGAGGTGGTGGTCGAGGTGGGGTCGAGAGGAGGACGACGCCGTGCTGCGCTCGACGGCGACCGCGTGTGGTCGGGGGTCACGACGGGGTAGGCATCTGCAGAGCTCTGAGGCTCCATTGAGAGCAGAGAGGCACGCCCGGCAGAGCGACGGCGAGCGGTGGAGCAGCGAGGTCAGCCAACCGTGCGGCTGGGTCGTCCAACCTCGCTCTCATCGACACTGCTGCTCTCCGTGCTGCACGGGCCCGTCGCTAGCTGCGATGGCGTCGCGCTGCGCCCGAGCGAACCGCACCCGACCGCCCTTGTCGCCTCGACTTTCATCGGCTCGCCTCGTCGTCAACACTCCGCCTCGGCCCTCTCGAAGCACATCCTGGTGCGTTCTGTGCTTCTCTACCTCGAGCGATCCCCTGCAGCGGTGCTGACCTTGCCCCACTTCCACCGCAGCTCTGCGCGGCCCGCTGCCACCTCGACCTCCCCTCCTCTCCTCGCGCCGACGCCCCGACGACCAGCGCTCCTGCGCGAGCGTTCGACCTGTGCGACAGCTTCCGAGCTGGTCACGACACGGCGCAGCAGGTGGGCAACGGACCACACTGGGCCGTCGCTTCACGCCTCGCTCCCTCCTCCCCACTCGATCCGCCTCGCCGTCGCCGCTTCGTCCACCTCGTCCCATGTCCGACCTCGACAAAACGGGCCGACAGAGCTCGACAAGCGTGCGACTCGAACGCCGGCGTACGCCAAATTCAGCCCTTGCTCGACCGGCCTCGCGACGAAACCACGCTACGGCCTTTTGTCACGAGCCGGACCCGTCCCCCACTTGCGCTCGCTCGCCGCACCCTGCTGTCGCGGCCACAGCTCGCCCGTCGACTAGCGTCGGACAAGGCCCGCCGGTCATCGATCCGACGGTCCTGCTGCTGAACTGTTCTTGCGGCGCGTCGTCCGCACCACGCTGCGGGGGATGGCCCGCCGGTCCGCTCGACTCGCTCGGGCTCAGCACTTTCTGCCGCTCCCGCTTCTTCTTCTCTACCGCACACGACTCGCCAAAATGCTCGCGAACGGGCTCATCCTGCTCGCGCTGTGCGCACTCGGCCATGCCGCTCCAGCGACCCACCTCAGCCCGCGCAAGACGTCGGGCAGCTCCGACAGCGGCGGCTACAAGCTGCGCGCACCGCTCTCGCCGGCGGGCTTCACGAGCGACAAGTGGATCAAGGCGTACGAGAAGGCCGTGTCCTACGTTGAGGGCATGACGCTCGAGCAGAAGGTACGTCTGCCGCTTCCTCCCGGTCCTCCTTCTCGGTCGCGAGCAAGTCACTGACTCAGCCCCTCGCTTCAGATCAACTTTACCGACTTCCAGTCGACGACGAACGGCTGCAGCGGCCTCGGCTACCCGCTCGACGACATCGGGCTCACGCAGGGCATCTGCACCGCCGACGGCCCCACGGGTGCGTCGCTCTCTCTCTGCCTCGGCCGTACACCTCTTCCGCCGATACACAGACTCACGGTCCTCCCCTCGCACAGGCGTCAACTCGCGGTACAGCACCCAGTTCCCGGCCGAGGTGACGACGGGCGCCACGTTCGACGTCGACCTCATCTACGCCCGCGCCGTCGCCGTGGCCAAGGAGTACCACACGCTCGGCGCGCACGTCCCGCTCTCGATCTGCATCGGCCCGATGGGTCGCTCACCGTACGGCGGCCGCAACTGGGAGACGTTCTCGCCAGACCCGTACCTGACCGGCACTGCGGCGCACCTCTCGGTCCTCGGCTTCCAGGAGCAGGGCGTCGTCGGCCTCGTCAAGTGCGTCTCTCTCTCCCTCCTCTCTCTGCCCTCTCAGAGAGCCGTACTGACGCCTCTTTTGTCGACGAGCAGGCACTTTGTCGGCGTGCGCGCACGGCCCTCTTTTGCGCCCGGACAATCCAGAGACTGACTCTTTCCCTCCTCCTCTCCTGTACGCAGAACGAGCAGGAGTACCTGCGCTACGGCACCCCGAGGGGCTACGTCCCGAACGTCGTCAACACGACCGTCGACTCGATCATCGACGAGGCGACGACCCACGAGCTCTATGTGTGGCCTTTCGCCGAGGCGATCAGGGCGGGCAGCGGCAGCTTCATGTGCGCATGTGCGTCGTACACCTCTACTTCTTCTGTCTCGAGGCCAAGTCGCTGACTAGAAGGACCCGCATTTCGTCTCCTCGCAGACCAGCAAGGTCCGTCTCGCTCCCTTTCTTCGTCATGTGTGCGCTTTCTCGAACTTACCTGCGACGCAACCACACAGTGAACGGCACGTTTGCCTGCGAGAACGACCACCTCCTCAACACGGTCCTCAAGAAGACGGTGCGTCTACTCCCTCTTTGCCGAGTCAGCCTCTCGAGCGGGATCGCTCACCTTCTCTCGATGACGCACACTTCCCTCTCCTTCCACCCTCCTCGTCGACTCGTCCCACCCTGCTCGCAGCTCAACTTCCACGGCTGGGTCATCACCGGTTCGTCTCGAGGCTCGAGCGCGTTCTCTCCTCGCCGTTCCCCGAGCTCACATCCTCCCTCGCGTCGCAGACTGGGGCGCGGGCCACAGCACGCTCTCGTCGGCCGTCAACGGCACCGACTACATCGGCTGGGCCGGCGTCGACCAGCACCTGTTCGGCGAGGCGCTCGCCGGCTACGTTGACAACGGAACGGTCCCGATCGAGATTGTCGACGACAAGATCATCCGGTGCGTCCTCGGCGCGCTCCCTCTCGTGATTTTGCAGCTCCTGACAATGTCCCTCGACCCTTGCAGCATCCTCACGCCGTACTTTGCGCTCGACCAGGCGAGCCTTCCCAAGACCGACTTTGCCCGATTCGTCGGCAACGACTACTCGACCGAGACGGCGCGCAAGGTGACCGAGGGCGCCATCACGCTCCTCAAGAACGTGCGCTCGGACAACAACTCGCACGGCCTGCCCCTCAACAAGCCTCGGGACCTCCTCCTCGTCGGCTCGTCGGCTGCGCCCGCTCGGTCCGGGATCCTCAACAACCTCGGTTTCGACTTCATGGGCTCGTCCGAGGCCGACTTTACCGGCTGGAACAGCGACGGCTACGGCTCGGGCGGCTCGCCGGCGCCGTACAACCTCGACCCGACGGCGGCCATGACGGCTCGCGGCCGCAAGGAGGAGCGCCCGGTCGTCACCGACTACTACACCTACGAGTGCGTCTCCTCCCTCTGCCTCTACTCTCGGTCGATCCCGAACTAACACAGCTCGAGCGACAGCAACCCGACCGAGGGCCAGGTGCCGAGCTGGATGACCAACGGGACCAACTACTTCCTCGACACCAAGCTCCTGTACTCGAACGCCGCCGTCGTCTTTGTCACCGCTGTCGCTCGCGAGGCCTTTGACCGCACCGACCTCGAGGTGCGCCCCCCTCTCCCTCTCTACTCTACTCGCGAGCGCGCACTGACCTTCTCAAACCGGCCCGCAGCTCCAGAACAACGGCTCGGCCCTCGTCGAGTACGTCGCGAACCACCACAACGACACGATCGTCGTCGTCACTGCGCCGGGCCCTGTCGACATGTCGCGCTTCGTCGACCACCCGAACGTGACGGCCATTCTCTACACCTACTTTGGCGGCCAGGAAGGCGGTCCGTCCCTCTCTCACTCTCTCCTCCCCTCCCTGTCCGTCCTCGCTCATGCTCTCGCGTCATGCAGCCACGGCCATCGCCTCGACCCTGTACGGCGACGTCAACCCGAGCGGCAAGCTCCCCTTCACAATCGCGCGCGACGTGTCCGACTACCCGGACGCGCTCTACAACGGCTCGGTGACGACCAACCCGGTCTCTAACTTCTCCGAGGGCGTCTTCATCGACTACAAGCACTTTGACGAGCAGGAGATTGAGCCGCTCTTCGAGTTTGGGTTCGGCAAGAGCTACTCGAGGTGCGCCGCAGCTCGCTCTCTTCTTTCCTCCCTTCCTGGCCATGACGTCCCCTCTCCTCGACGTCCATCGCGAACTGACACTGCCTCGCCCCGCAGCTTCGAGGTGTCGAACATCGCCGTCAAGGCCAAGAGCGAGAAGGTGCCGGCGAGCGTGCGCGAGACGAACGAGAAGCTGTTCGTCGACGGCAAGGAGACGTCGGGCCTGTACGACATCGCGTACGAGGTGACGGCGTCGGTCAAGAACACGGGCTCGGTCGCCGGCGCCGAGGTCGCTCAGGTGCGTCTCTGTGCCCTCCTCCCTTTCCCTCTCTCGCTCGTGCGGCTCGAGAAGCGCTCTTCCTGACCCGTCGACCTCCTCCCTCCCTCTTTCGCCTACAGCTCTACCTCACCTTCCCCTCGTCGACCCCGAACAAGATGCCGCCCCGCTCCCTTCGCGGCTTCTCGAAGCCTCACCTCGCCGCGGGCGCGACGGCCCAGGTCACGTTCCAGCTGCGCCACAAGGACCTCGCCGTGTGGGACGTGACGCACGGCGGGTGGATGCTCGCGCACGGCGAGTACAAGCTCGCGGTCGGGACGAGCAGCCGCAAGATTGCCGAGACGGTCACGCTCGAGCTCTGAGCTGGGCTCTGTCGAGGTGCGCCCGGCTCTCGTTCCCCTCCCCGTCTCTGTCGAGGTGCGCGTACTGACTCTCGCTCTCTGCCTGCAGGTCGGCGCGCACCGTCCTGACGCTTCCCGAGCGGACCCTCTTCGCTTTGCGATCCCCCTCTGCCGCACGGACCCTCCCTCTTTCTCTTCCCCCTTCCCATTCCGTCACACGTCCAAAATCTGCAAGCAGTCTCTCTCGTTTGTCGCCGTCGCCCCTCGAGAGGAGAGTCAAGAGGGAGCCAACGCGAGCTGCAGAGAGCGAGCAGGAGAGATTGCTTTCGCGAGCGAGTGCAAGCGCGCGCTCAATCGGCTTGTCTCTCGGCTGCCTCTCACCTCGACGACTCGCTCAGGATCAGTGAGGGACCAAGACGAGGGAGGACGCCGGCATTCCGACTCGTCGACAAGGACCTCGAGCGCTACAGACCCTCGCGTCTCTCTCGCTCCGCCGCTCAGTCCCCGTACAGCACCCTGTTGACGACCTCGATCGGCAAGTCGTACAGCGGCGGGATGGCGTCGTCGTCGTCGTCGGCGAGGGCGGCGCCGTGTGCCCAGAGCGGGGTCGGGGCGCGGCGGCGTGAGCGGTCGAGTGGGGGAGGTGGGCGAGCGGGTGGGGCGACAAAAGCGCGAGGGTCTGCCGAGGGGGAAGGCCGGGGCGTCAGTAAGGTGAGAAGAGGGGAAGAGAAGGAGAGAGGGGGGGGCGCACCGTCGAGCAGAGAGGGCGAGGAGAGCGGCGGCGTGTTGAACAGGTTGAGGCAGAAGTAGCTCGCGTAGGTGAAGGCCACGAGCATGACGATCCACGAGGGAACGAGGAGCGCCCAATCCCTGTCGAGAGAGCGCGTCAGTGAAGCTTCCGGTCCGTCCTCTTGAGCGAGACGAGGCGAAAGAAGGAGAGAAAGATGGAGGGACGCACCTCGCCGGGTACCACTCGATCCCGATCGCCTCGAGCCACGGCTCGGGCAGGAAGGCCCACACGAGGTAGGCGACGTAGGCGACGAGGCTGCCGACGTACAGGACAAAGCCCTGCGACTCGACGGTCGGCGCCGGGTCGGTCGGCTCGCGCGGCGGGAACTGGGCGGGCAGGGACGACGCCGAGCGGTCTAGCGGGATGGCGCTCGTCGAGGCGTCGGTCGAGAGGGAGGGTGGGGAGGTGTCGGGCAGGGGTGGAGGATTTGCTGGCGAGGCTGGTCGTGAGAGGGAGGCGAGGACCGGGCGCAGGAGCGTGCTGCAGGGGGGAGCAGAGGGTGTCAGGGCAGTTGCCTCGCTCGCAGACGGCGGCGAGGGGAGCTTACGCGAGTGTGTCGGGGCTCGAGGGGCGCATTGGGCGGCCATAGTGCGGTGGAAGGAGGAGGGCGCTCGGCGGCAGCTGGGTCGGGAGGGGTGTCGAGCCGACCGAGCGCAGTTGAGGCCGCGGGGGCGTCAGGTCGCGCCCCGAAGTAGTTTGAGGTGCTGGTGACGGTGTGGATGCGTGTCGAAGCTGGCCAGACGGCGGAGTCGCGGCGGCTTCATCAGCCTGCGCGAGGTCGAGACGTTCGAGGTCGACGAGTTGGGCGAGGGTGGGGTTGGCGCGCGCGTCGGTGCTCGTGTGATCTGTCGTGGAGGAGGATGGCCAGGTGCGGGGCAGGCTCGAGGTGGATGCCGAGGGCCGCAGGCGGCGTTGAGCCATCGACGAGGTCGATGAGGGAGGAGGGTGCGGTCCGGCTGTCGAGGCGGGTCGGTCGGGTGCGGGTGGGGCGGCAGACTGGCTGCAAGCAGCTCTAGTGCTCAGCAGGCGAGCATGGCTCGAGTCGACACGCCTCGAGAGCGAGCCGAGCCTGTTGGTCGTCGTACTTCCTCGTCCTTTCCGCCCGCACCAGCTCGTGCACCTCGTGAGCTCTCAGGGACCAGCTCGACACTGTCTGTGCACCTCACTGACCTCGCCTGGCCACCGCAGCAACCACCCGACTCGTTCACCCGCACCCCTCGGTCCTCGTCGGCTCGCCGTCCAACTTCTTGCCGTCGCCCTCCTTCCAGCCCTCCTCGCGCAAGGCCAGCATGCGCCGCTCCGCCAGTGCACTCAGTGCGCCCTTCAAGTACTATCGCCCGGCCCTCGCACGCCCTCGAGCCGTCCACCCGCCGTCCACCACGCGTTCGACCCCACACCGCCTCGTCGCACCTCTCCTCTACCGCTCGTTCGCCTCCCAGTCGCTCGCCACGCCCGATCAAGACGACCCTGTTCCTGCCGACGTCCTCCCTCGAGCCGAGCATGCCGTAATCTCTGCGTTTGGTGCGCTCACCCTCTCCCTCTCCCTCCCCCTCTCTCTCCCCGACCCGTCAGCTGACCCCTCGCCTCGCGCAACTTTTCCTCCCCTTTGCCTCGACTCGCACCACAGACCTGTTCTCGATCGGTGTCGGCCCGTCGTCGAGCCACACGGTCGGGCCCATGCGCGCCGCCAAGATCTTTGTCGAGGACCTGCGCCGCTTCGGCATCCTCGACAAGGTCGCCAAGCTCAAGATTGGCCTGTACGGCTCGCTCGCCGCGACGGGCAAAGGCCACATGACGCCCGAGGCCATCATGATGGGCCTCGAGGGCGACGACCCCGAGACGATCGAGACGACCACGATCGACTCGCGGTACAAGGCCATCCTCGAGACCGAGCACCTGCAGCTCAATGGCACCCACGCCATCTCGTACTCGCACGACCGCGACATGCTGTGGACCATGAAGCCGCTCCCGACCCACCCGAACGGCATGCGCTTCTCCGTCTTCGACGCCGACGGCACCCTCATGGCGACCAACGAGTTCTATAGCGTCGGCGGCGGGTTTGTGATCAATGAGCAGACCCAGGTCGACGAGAATCTGTACTACCGCGGCATCCGCAAGGACGAGGTCAACCACGCGCGGCGCGACCAGACGCACGGCCTCCCGCCCGACGCCCTCCTCCACGTCGACGCCAAGGCGCTCCCGCCCGTGTCGGGCGACGAGGTGGCCGCCGTCTCCGCGACGGTTGATGCGGGCATGGGCTCGGCGCCGTTGCCGTACCTGTTCCGCAACGCGGCGGGCTTGATCAAGCTCACGCAGAAGCACAACGTGCGTCCCTCGTCCTCCCTTCTTCTTCCCCCACCTCGACCTCACTGACTCTCCTCCGTCCCTCGTTGCAGCTCACCATCGCTCAACTGTGCGTCCTCGTCATCCTCCCGTCGCCGTGCCCGTCACTGACTCGCACGGTCCCCTCGCCCGCAGAGTGTGGGAGAACGAGCGCTCGTACCTGTCCGACGCCGACATCTCGCGCAAGCTCCTCGACCTGTGGCGCGTCATGGACAGCAGCATCCACGCCGGCGTGTCTTCAAGTGCGTCCTCGCCTCCAATCCTCGCACCACGCGGCCGACGTAACTGACCCGGCTCTCCATTTCTCTCCCCTCGCCGCACCCAGCCGAGGCGGTCCTTCCCGGTCGCCTGCAGGTTCGCCGCCGTGCACCACACCTGTACCGACGCCTGTTCAAGGGCTTCTACCCGTCGCTCATTTCGCCACCCTCGCCCTCGTCCGCCTCGCTCCCTCCTCCTTCCGCCACCCAGCCTCTCACCCTCCAGCACGGCTTCAACTACTCGGCGTCGCCCAGCTCGCCCACCTCGTCGTCGAGCTCGGGCGCACCGCTCGTCACGGGCTCGTTCGACCACCCGTTGCCGCCGACGCCGAGAACAAAAGGCCAGTTCCCGGCCATCGACTGGCTGAGCTGCTACGCCATCGCCGTCAACGAGGTCAACGCGAGCGGTGGCAGGGTCGTCACGGCTCCGACCAATGTGCGTCCTCGCTCTCTCTCTCTCTCTCTCGCCGGCAGAAGGAGGAGGAGGAACGTGCGGCACTGACGACGACGCTTAACTCGCCTCTCGCAGGGCGCAGCCGGCGTGATCCCGAGCGTGCTCAAGTACCTGTGCGAGTTCATCTCGGACGACCCGGACCGCGACGTCAAGACGTTCCTCCTTACCTCGGCCGGTCCGTCTTCCCTCTCCCCCTCGTCGACCTTCTTCAAACCGCCCTGATCGCCCCCTCTTCGTGCTTCCTTCCACAGCGATCGGCATGCTGTACAAGCGCGGCGCGACCATCTCGGCGGCCGAGGGCGGGTGCCAGGCCGAGGTCGGCGTCGCGAGCAGCATGGCCGCCGGCGCGCTCGTCGCGTGCATGGGCGGCACGCCGGCCCAGGTGTGCCAGGCCGCCGAGATCGCCATGGAACACTCGCTGGGCCTCACGTGCGACCCGGTCGACGGCTTGGTCCGTGCGTCCTCTCCCCCCTTTGGTTGCTACTCTCGTCGAGCCGAAACTGACTCATTTGGCCCGTTCACAGAGGTGCCTTGCATCGAGCGGTGCGTCCCGCTCTCTCTCTTTTCACGACCTCGCACTAATGCCCTCGCCTCGTCCCCCCTCGTCCTCGCCTCGAACCCGCACCCGCACCCGCACCCACCGCCGCCCTCGCGCCCCGCAGCAACTCGCTCGGCGCCGTCAAGGCTGTCACGGCGGCGCAGCTCGCGCTCGCGGGCGAGGGCGTCCACTCGGTGTCGCTCGACGACGCGATCGAGGCCATGCGGGTCACGGCGCGCGACATGCACAACGCGTACAAGGTGCGCCTCCCTCTCTCTCCTTCCCTCTCCCTCTCCCTCTCTCTCTCTTCTCCCGCCTCACTTTTCCCTCTCGACACCCGTCTCTCTCGACTCTCTCTCCCTTCTCGGCAACCCGAACATGAAACTGACCCCACCTCTTTGGCGTCGCGCAGGAGACGAGCCTGAGCGGCCTCGCGACGAGCGTCCGGATCCCGGTCTCGAGTCCGGCGTGCTAGACGGGCGTCCATAGACTCTTGTAGAAGCTTGTGTTGCAGTACAGACACTCGGTCAGTGCCCTACAGTCCGGCCGCGAGCGAGAGAGAGAGAGAGAGAGCGACAGCAAGTGCCTCCTCCAAGTTCTGCGCTCGAGCCCTCGATCGCTGCCCGTCCTCCCTCCTGCGGCTCGGCCGACCGCAGCGTGCGCCAGAGTGCACGTGGAGCAGCGGCGAGCATGAGAGGAGGTGCAGGCTCACCCGGTGACGAGGAACGACGGACGTTCGTCTCGTCCTTCGTCGACGCGTTGGAGCGTCCGAGCGGAAGCGCCGTGGTGGCTGTGCAGCGAGCGGGCCACTCGAAAGCTTGTCGACGAGAAGCAGAAGCTGGAGCGTGAGTCAAAAAGCCGCAGCGACGAGGGAGAAGAGCTCTCGCAGGGGCAGGACGCAGGCGAGAGCGGCGAAGTACGGCAAGGGGACGGTCAGAGGGGGGCGAGCGAGGCACAGTCAAACCGTGGAAGCGCAGCCCAACCTCCGCGGAAGCGAGAGGGAGGCGGCGAGTTCGGGCGCGGCAGCGGCACATCTCTCTCAGCTCGTCGTCGCCTCCTCCTCGCCTCCTCCTCCCTCCACCACCTCTCCTCGTCTCTCGACACCGCACACCATGGCGAATCAGGGCCTCTCTCCCGCGCATGCGCACGCCAACCTCCTCCAGAGGGTGCGCACACCTCTCCCTGCGCGCCTCGCATCGACCGAGCCAGCACTGACTCTTATCGTCCCCCCCGTCCCCCTCTCTCGTCCTCGTCCTGGCCGGCCCATGCGTGCAGTACATGGACCTGCCCCAGGGCGACAAGATCCAGGCTGTGCGCTCCACCTCTCTCTCTGTGTCCCCGTCGTGCGGCGCGAGCGAGCCGGGCGTCGTTGCCCAATACTCGGGCGACTGCGGTCCCCGGCCTCCCTCCCCTGACGCGTCGAGCTGACCCTCGCCCTTGCCCCGCCTGCGCCGTGCTCGCCACCTACAGGAATATGTGCGTCCCCTCTCTCTCTCTCCCTCCCAGTCGAGCCGGGGCCGAGCGCGTCGTCGCTGCGTGCGGTCGGCGCAGCTCGGTCAAGGTCGGGGTGCCCCTCACTCTCTCCAAGCACGAGCTGACCCTGTCCCCCTCGCCCTCCCTCGCGTGCAGGTCTGGATCGATGCCGACAGTGGCCTCCGCTCCAAGACCACGGTGAGCTTCCCACCTTTTGTCGGTCGAGTCGAGCCAGGTGCGGTCAGAGGCGGTGCGAGGGCAAGATCAGGGACGGACGAGGGACCCCTTGGCCTGCGAGCGGCCGAGACCCTTTGCCCTCGTCAGGGGACGACGGCGCACGTCGTCTTCCGCGCTTCGCTGGCCGCGCGTGTACTGCGCGGTCGGAGCAGGAGGAAGAGGGCAGCTCGGCGCTCGTGTGCGCGACCTCGCGCTGGCTCGCTGCGCACCCACATCCCCCCCTCGCCCCCCTCTCCCCATCCCATCCGCCCTCGCCGACCATCGTCCATGGCCGCATGCCTCGCGTGCAGGCGCACCTGCCTACCTCCTCGCGCTCGCGCTCGCGCCTCGCCCGCACCGACCCTCGTCCTCCCGTCGCCGACCCTCAGCACCTCGTCGTCGTCCTCTCCGAGCACGAGCCTGACGTCGCTCTCTCCTCCTCGTCGTACAGACCCTCGACGGCCCGATCACGTCGGTCGACGAGCTCAAGGAGTGGAACTTTGACGGCTCCTCGACTGGCCAGGCCGAGGGCGGCAACTCGGACGTCTTCCTTCGCCCGGGCGCCTTCTTCCCCGATCCGTTCCGCCGCGGCAACAACATCATCGTCATCTGCGAGACCTGTGCGTCCCGCTCGTCCCCCCTTTCCTCAGCGGCGGCGAGGTCGTCGAGCGGGCCGAGACTGACCCCCACCTCGTCTCCCACCCACCCCGGCCCTCGCAGACAACAACGACGGCACGCCCAACAAGTTCAACCACCGCTACTCGTGCATGAAGACGATGGAGGCTGCCGCCAAGGAGGACCCGTGGGTGCGTCGCCGCCCATCCCTCGTCTCGTCTCGAGCGCGCTCCTCGACGACCTCGTCCTGACCTTGCTCCTCCTCGTCTCGCAGTTCGGCCTCGAGCAGGAGTACACCATCTTCGGCGCCGACGGTCGCCCGTACGGCTGGCCCGTCGGCGGCTTCCCCGGCCCGCAGGGCCCGTACTACTGCGGCGTCGGCGCCGGCAAGGTGTACGCGCGCGACATGATCGAGGCGCACTACCGCGCGTGCCTGTACGCCGGCGTCAACATCTCGGGCATCAACGCCGAGGTCATGCCGTCGCAGTGGGAGTTCCAGGTCGGGCCCTGCAAGGGCAAGGACATGGGCGACCACCTGTGGATGGCGCGCTACCTCTTGATCCGCGTCGCCGAGGAGTGGGGCGTCACCGTCTCGCTCCACCCGAAGCCCCTCTCGGGTGACTGGAACGGCGCCGGCTGCCACACCAAGTGCGTCCCTCTCTCTCTCTCTCTCCTGTTCGTCGTCGCCGTCGAGCGAGCCCGTCCCTGACTTGGGCTCTCCCCTCTCACAGCTACTCGACCAACGGCACTCGCGCCGAGGGCGGCATGAAGGTCATCGAGGAGATGATCAAGAAGCTCGAGAAGCGCCACCTGCAGCACATCGAGGTGTACGGCTCGGACAACGACCTGCGCCTCACGGGCCGCCACGAGACGGGCCACATTGGCCAGTTCTCGTCGGGCGTCGCGAGCCGCGGCGCGTCGATCCGCATCCCGAAATCGGTCGCCATCGAGGGCAAGGGCTACTTCGAGGACCGCCGCCCGGCGAGCAACATCGACCCGTACCAGGTCTGCGACATCATGGTCCAGACGACCCTCCTCTCGGCGTAGAGCCTCCCTTTCCTCTCACTCTCCCTCATTCCCTGTGCTGTGCCTCTCTCTCTCTCGCGGACCCTCACCCATCCCCTCAACCCACACTCTGTTTCGCCTCCCTCCCCCCTCCCCTCGACGCCGTCTTCGGCGCTCGACCCTGTTCTACCTCCCCCTGCCTCTGTTTTCGCTCGTTCTGCCTCGCCACCTTTTTGAGACTCTGAAGAAGAAAGACGACGGTCGGGCGTCGTGACGTGAAACCTCGTGGCGCTTTGCTGAGAACCTCGTCGTCGAGCGTGCGAGCGAGAGAGAGAAAGAGTTCCGCGAGAACGCGCACTCGAGAAGGTCGAGCGAGCTGTTCGAGCGACCCTGGACGAGCGGGAGCGGCGTCGAGTGCAGCGTGAAAGCTGAGCGGGACAGCGAGCGCGAGGCAGATAGTCGGGCGCGAGGGACAGAGATAGTCTCGCCGAGCGGGGTCCGGGCGCGGCGGGACGGAGTGCGTCGGAGAGCGCAGCTCGTGCGAGTCCAGGTCGAGCGTGGCAGCGGTGCGGCAGAAGCGAGAGCGCACGGAAGGGGCGAACGTCGAGAGAGGTGCGACGAGGCGACGAGAGCGGCCAGCAGGTGCGAGGGCGAAAGGAGAAAGAGCGACGAGGAGGAATGAGAGGAAAGGAGGACCGCACGACGCCGCAGGAGCGCGTCGCTCGGTCAAGCGCGACCGTCGACGGCAGCTGAGGACACTGGCAGCGATGAGCACACGCTCAAACACCCTGCGCCCGCTGCGGCAGCCAGAGAGGAGGGTCGAGGGCGAGAGCGACTCGAGCAGGCGGCGGGAGAGCACCTCTCGACGGCGCGCAGCTCGTGCTCGTCCTTCGCGGCCGAGAGAAGCACCTGAGGGACCTGGTCGCTTTGTGAGCAGCGCCTGTGCGTCTGTGCGCGCACACGCCGAGCTGCGAGGCTGCGAAAGGAGCCGAGACGTCGTCGGGCCGCCGGAAGAGCACCGGCGGGCGTCCCTGGACGGCGAGCGGAGACTCGAAAGGCGTTACAAGCCACTGCGAGTTCGCTCGCCGCCCACGAGGGCGCCGCTGGAGGGAGAGAGCGCTGAAGGACACGGAGCGAGGCGAGCATGCGAGGGGCGGCACACCGCGAGTACGGCCTGGGCTGCGCAGGGTGGCATAGCACAGGCAGTAGCGACGTCCAGGCGCGCGCTCAGCAGCACCGAGAGCGCAACGAGCGAGAGCAAGGCGGGCAACAGACGGGAGGAGGAGCAACACGAGGTTGATCTACTTCCTCGACCATGGCCAACACCGGTGAGTGCAGCGTGCTCCCAGACGTACTCGGTGCAGCTCACTGACCTGGTCCACTCTGTCGACAGACCTGCAGCTGCCGCCGTTCGTCGACTCGGTCTCATCTGTCGCGTTCCACTCTCGCAACCCGCACCTCCTCCTCTCGAGCAGCTGGGACCGTGTAAGTCGCCCGCCTTACCCTCTACTCGGTGTCGCCCCCCTCTGCCACGCTCCTGCGAGCCGCAACGAGTGATCTGACCTCGGCTCCTCCCCTTTCCCCTCCCCCTCTCCCTCCTCTGCCCGTCTCACCCGCAGAACGTCTACCTCCACGACCTGCGCAACCCTTCTGGACCTCGGAAACTCGGCCTGCGCGGCGCCATCCTCGACGTCGCATGGGCAAAGGACTCGGACTGCATCGGGTACGCCGGCGGTCTCGCCAACGAGGTCAGGACGTGCGTCGCGCTCTTTCCCTCTCTCCCGCCTGTCCATACTCGAGCAGGGCGACTGATATATTGGAAGTGCATGCGCGCAGGGTCAACTTTGATTCGAGCGAGACGCAGCTCATCTGCAAGCACGACGACGCCGTGCGGTGCGTCGAATGGAGCGACGAGCTCAGTACGCCCGCCTGTCCTCCATTCTCCCTCGCAGGCCGAGCAGACACTAACTCCTTGCCTCGTAGACGCCGTCATCTCGGGCTCGTGGGACCAGACGCTCCGGATAACGCCCCTCGACCCGTCCACCTCTCAACCCTCGCCCACCCCGATCGTCCTGCGCCTCCCGCACAAGGTCTACTCGCTCGTCGTCTCGAAGAGCAAGATCGTGTGCGCCATGGGCGGGCGCGCCGTGTGGATATGGGACGTGCCGGCGCTCAAGAAGGCGATCGACGAGGGTAAGAAGGGCGACGCGATCGAGCCGTGGCAAAGGAGGGAGAGCAGCCTCAAGTTCATGATGCGCGCCGTCAGGATCATGCCCAACGACAAGGGTGCGTCCCCTGTGTCTCTCTCTGTCTCGGTACTGGGCTCGTCTCGCCCTCGTCGTCGCCGTCACGTCCGACTGACCCTCCTCCCTCCCTTTCCTCGCCCTCGCGACAGGCTACGTCACGACCTCGATCGAGGGCCGCGTCGCAGTCGAGTTCTTTGACCCAGCAGCCGACGTCCAGGCCAAGAAGTACGCGTTCAAGTGCCACCGCCAGGTCGTCGAGGGCGTCGACACGGTGTACCCGGTCACCGGGCTCGCGTTCAACCCGGTGCACGGCACGTTCGCGACCGGCGGCGGCGACGGCACCGTGTCGGTGTGGGACCCGAGCGCCAAGAAGCGCCTGCGCCAGTTCCCGCGGTACCCGGCGCCCATCTCGGCGCTCGAGTTCTCGGCCGACGGCAACTCGCTCGCGGTCGCGTTTTCCGAGGCCGACGAGGGCGGCACGACGACGGCCAAGGGCGCAGGGCAGGGCGGCAACGGCGTGTGGATCCGGACGTGCGGCGACGAGTGCAAGCCCAAGGCCAAGTAGAGTCGGCGGCAAGGAGCGGGTCCCGCAGCTGCTGCAACTCTCAGACTCTGTGCGACGACGAGTGCTGCGAGAGAATGTGCTCGAGTACAACAATGAGAGCGAGTGCGCTATCTACAAAAGGTCCGACCGCCGGCACGAGAGAGAGCGCACTCAGGCCGCCTCCTTGAGCACCTCGAGCAACCGCTTCTTCTCGTCGCCAAGCTGCTGCAGCTTGTCCTGCGCGCCCCTCATCTTGGCGAGGAGCTCGCCGACGCGCACCTCGACCTCGGGCGGGACCGTCGCGCCGCCGCCAAACGCCCACCGGCCCTTGTCGCCCGTAAAGAGGGCGCTCAGCTCGACGAGGCCCTTCTCGGCCGCGTCAATGTCGGCCCGGGCGCCCTTGAGCCCGGCCTCGACGGCGCGGTACTCGATCGCGGCGCGGAACGGCGCGTCGTCGACGAGGCGGGCGCACGCGGCGCGGTACACGGGCTTGCCCGGGCGGATGAGCGACGGCCGGCCGTGGTGGTGGTGGACTGCGATGAGCGACGCCGCCTCGAGGGCGCGCAGCGGCCCGTCGTCGCCGCCAAAGGTCGTCAAGAGCGTCTCGTTGTACTTGAGCTACGGGCGAGGGGAGAGGACGAACGAGGAGGAAGGAGAGGTGCGGGGAAAGGAAAGTCAGTCACCCTGTCGCATGCGACGAACTAGAGAGAGAGTGTGTGTGGAGGGACGGTAGAGGGGCGAGAGGACGAGAGAGGGGTAGAGGACGCACCTCGCCCTTGTCGCCGAGCGCCTTGACGAGCGCCCAGGCTTGCGCCCTCGACCACTTGAGCTTGTCGGCCTCGTTCTGGTCGTCGCCAAAGAGGTTCTTGCGCAGCTCGGACGCGTTGCGCTGCACAATGTCGTCGACGGCCTCGCCGACGTCCTGGCCGGCGCGCGTCTTTTGCACGAGCAGGTCGAGGTCGGTCTGGCGGCCGCCGAGGCGCGCGACGGCGGGGAAGGCCGTCGCGGGCAGGTCGTGCTCGAACGAGGCGAGCTTGGCGGCGACGTACTGGAGCGACGCCTCGGGGCTCGCGTCGGTGAGCGTGATGACGTTGAACGGCTTGGACGGAAGCGCGCGCGCGAGCGGCTTGGCGAGCGTCGCCGACTCGGACGTAAAGACGACGTGCGCGACCTGGTTCTCGACGAGGACGGCGGCCCACTCGGAGAGGACGTCCCAAAGGACCTCCTGCTTGGCCTCGCCCTTGGCCGCAAAGCCCTTGATGACGACGACGGGCAGGCGCTCGACGGGCACGCCGTCGCCGCCACTCGACGACGACGACGACGACGACGACGAAGACGATGTCGCTGCCGAGGCTGCGGCATCGCGCACGACGGCGCTGCTCCTCGGCCCGACAATCTCGACCTCCTCCTTGTCGTCGACGGCCGCCTCCTGGTCGACGGCGCTCGGGCCCTCGACGCCGCCGCCGAGCTCGGCGACGATGCCGCTGCCGGCGACGGCGTCGAGCCTCGCGTCGCGCACGCCGACGGTGCGCAGCTGCTCGACGACGGCCTCGCGCTGCTTGTCGTGCTCGCGGCGGAACCGGCCCGACGCGAGCTGCTGCTGGGCGCGCGCCTGGGTCGCGGTCGCGATGCGCGACAGGGCCGAGGCCGTCACCTCGAGGATGCTCTTGAGCTGGGCGTCGAGCGTCGCCGAGAAGCCGGCTTTTTGGCCGATGAGGCCCATCGACGCGAGGTCGATCATGTTGCTGAGCGACGCGGCAAAGACAAAGTTGGGGCGGTACCCGACGGCCGACGCGAGCTCGGTGACGAGCTTGGTATCGGACCGCGCGTTCTTGAGCAGCTGGTTGCAGTCGATCGTGAGGACGTTCCTGTGGGCGACAGGGGTCAGTTCCCGAGGTCGAGGAGAGTGAGAGGCGCCGCTCGACGACGGGGACGGTGGAACGCGAGAGAGGGTGGGAGGAAGAAGGAAAGAGGGGAACAAGGGGAAGAGAGAGAGAGAGAGAGGGAGAGAGTGGACGTACTTGCCGTCGGCGAGCACCTCGTCGACGAGGGCCGTCTTGCCCGACCCTTGCGGGCCCGTGACGACGACAAACGTGTCGGGCCGGTCGACGAGCCAGTTGCGGAGCGTCTCCCTCGCCTCCTCGCGCTCCTTCTCGATCCCCGTCCCGCCGCGCGCGAGCCCGTCCTGCGCGGCGCCGCTCAGGCGGAAATGGTCGGCGAGGCGGCCGACCGTCTCCTTCTTGAGCCAGCGCACGGCGGCCCACTGGTCGGCGTCGAACGTGCCCTCGACCTTGGCCATGACGCTCAGCTCGCGGATCGGGTCAAACACGGCGTACGAGATGGTGCCCAACAGGGCGACGACGAGCGGGATCGTGATGCGCGGGTGGCTCGTCGCAAAGTCCTTGGCGTACGACGTGCGCTTGGCGTCGGCGTACAGGATGCGCAGGACGGCCTGGTGCGGCGCCGAGGTTGACGCGGCGTGGAGGCAGTTTCGAGCCGAGGCGGCCGAGCGGATCGACGTGTAGATGATGCGCGCCTGCTTGGGCGACACGGGCACAATGTCGTGGATCTTGCCGTACGGGCGAAAGATCTGGTACAGCTCTTCTTGCGGGATCTGGCGGGTCGGGAGGGAGGGCTCGTCAGGGTCGCTCGTCCGGTACCGGCGAGGAGGGTCGAGGAGGGAGGGACAGGGACGCACCTCGGAGCCCTCGATATCGACGCGGATCTCGCGCGAGGGGAAGCGGTTCATGTCCTCCATCCAGGGCTCGCCGCGCACGAGGAACGCACGCGAGGGCCGGCCGAGGCTGTACCAGGGCTTGAGGGCATGCTTGTCGAGCGACTCGTTCTGCGGGAGGTATGGACTGTCAGAGAAAGGTGCGCAAGGGAGAGAGAGAGAGAGAGAGAGAGAGAGAGAGAGAGGGACGCACGGTGATGTTCTCGAGGTGGGCGACGATGCGGTTGGCGGCGGCCGGGTCGTCGGCGTGGACGTCGTTGGGGAGCTGAAAGCGGACGCGGACAAAGGCGCCGCCGTCCTTTGCGCGCGGGTCGACCGAGACGACGTCGAGGTGGAGCGGAGCGGTGGACGACGGGACCGACTGGCGCAGGCGGTCGAGCGTGTCGCCCTGGTGGAGGCGCGAGAACAAGTGGCGGATGTCCCAGACGGCAAAGCGGATCGGGTAGACGTGGTCGAACCAGAGGTAGGCGGTCGCAGTCTGGCTCGAGGCCGGGTTGGCGTCGAGAGGCGGATCTTGAGGAGAGGCAACGAGGTGGGGCTGCGAGGAAGAGCGAGGGCGGGTCAGTTGCGGTCGCGGGAGGGTCCAAATCGAAGGTGCGCTCGAGTTGGTCGAATCGGCGGAGAGAGAGTGCTCACTGGTGGCACGAGGTGAGGCGGACGTTGAGGCGATGCGGGGAGCGTCAAGGTCGAGGCCGGGTGGGTGAGGGCGGCCCGGGCGAGGGTGCGAGTTGGACGGACAGGTCTTGCGAGCTGCCTGAGTGCCAGCATGCTCTTCACAGGGGCGCACAGCGTGGGTGGGAGCGAGCTGCGGGCCAAGCGACGAGGTCATCGCCAATTCGGCGTCGATGGTCTCCCTCTCTCTCGTTGCACCCTCTCGGTTGGCCAGCTGCCACCAGAGTGCTCCTGCTCGAATCGCAGCAGCCCATTACCGCCATGGACCCGCCCACCGAGTACGCCTCGGCCCAGGGCGTCTTCCTCCCCGCCTCGCTCAGCCCCGTCGCCTTGTACCAGTACCACGCACTCGGCAAGCAGCCAAAGCACCCTTCGGCACTCCCGACCTTGATCGCCGTCGTCGCAGAGAGGTGCGTCCTCCTCTCGTCGCCGTCGAACCTCCCCCACCCCGCTCCCCCCTCTTATCGTCCCTGCCCAGCTCGCTCACTCTCTCCTCTTTCCCGCTCGCAGTATCGCAGAAGTCGCCATCCTCTGGTCCATTCCTCCCTCCTCTCCCTGCCCTACGGCGGCGACAACCGCGAGCTGACAACGGCGCACTCCCCCTCCCTCCCCCCACTTCGTCCCTCTCTCGCAGCGCCGTCGGCTGGTTCCTCGCCCACAAGGGCATCGTCGATGGTAAGGCCAAAAAGGTGAGCCCTTGCTCTCGACGTCATGAGCCGTGCCGTCGCACGCGCGGCAAACGGCCCTGGATCGTAGTCGCACGGGCTCACTCTTGTCCTCGTTTCCCTCGCAGATTCTCAACAAGAGTACGTTCGCCTTTCGTCTTCTCGCCCACGCAACACAACTGACAGGTCTCGCACACCCCAACAGTCAACACGTCCATCTTTACGCCGTGCCTCCTGTTCAACAAGGTCGCCTTCTCGCTCACGCCCGACAAGCTCGCCGACCTCTACATAATCCCGATCGGCTTCTGCATCGTGTCGGCCTTCTCGGCCGGCGTCGCCTACCTCTTTGCCCGCCTCGTCCGCCTCAACCGAGGGCAGCGCAACTTTGCCAGTCCGTCCCGCTCCCCCTCCCCTCTCAGCCTCTTCGGGGTCCTGACCCTCCTCTCGCACGCCCACAGTCGCCTGCGCCACGTTCCAGAACTCGAACTCGCTCCCGATCGCGCTCCTCCAGTCGCTCATTGGCGAAAAGTTGCCGCTCCGGTGGGACCACGACGACACGCGCGACGCCATGCTCGGTCGCGGCCTGTCGTACCTCGTCCTGTTCTCGTCCCTCGGCATCATCGTCCGGTGGAGCATCGGCGTCAAGCTCCTCACGTCGGCGGAGTCGCAGACCGAGACGGGCGAGGTCCCGCCCGAGGACGACGTCGAGCAGCAGCAGACGGCCGACGGGCAGGCGCCGTACGCGGTGCGCGAGGACGAGGCCGACGGCGCGCGCGAGGACGACGCGCTCCTCGTCAACGGCGGCGCCGCCAAGGGCGACAAGCGCCGCTCGATCCTCAAGAACGGCTCGGCCGGCGCCCGCACGCGCGAGTCGACCGCGGCGTCGTCGAGCGCCGAGACGGCCGTCCACAACGGGCACGGCACGTCGCTCGACCCGACTGCGCCGTCTTTCGAGCCGCACCACCAGGACCAGGGCCAGCTGCAGCCACCGACGCCGACCAAGAAGAAGCAGGCGCGCATCGTGCACTCGTTCCCGAACACGCCCATCCCGAGCGTGTCGTCGCGCAGCGAGCTCAACAGCACCTCGTCCGAGTACGACGACGGCGACGATGACGACGATGACGACGACGACGAGACGAGCGCCGAGTGGACGTCCGAGGACGGGCACGCCGACGCCGAGTGGGGCGCCCAGCGCGGCTTTGGGCGCCGCTTCCTCGACAGCGGCCGGTTCGCGCGCGTCCGCCGCTTCGGTCGCACGGCGCAGAAGAAGCTGCAGCGGTTCTGGGTCAAGTTCAGCGACTTTATGACGGTCCCGCTGTGGGCCGCCGTCCTGAGCCTCGTTGTCGCCTGCATCCCGCCGCTGCAGCACACGCTCAACAAGGTCGAGCCCCTCAAGGCGTGCGTCCCCTGTCTCTCTCTCACTACGCGGACGAGGACTGACTCGTCGTTCGACGTGCGCAGCGCCATCCGCTCGGCCGGCTCGTGCTCGGTCCCGATCACGCTCGTCACCCTCGGCGCCTACTTCTACCGCCCCTCGCCCGCCGCCGCCGCCGACTCGTCGCCTCTGCGCCCCGAGGGCCGCGAGCTGCCGCCCTCGGCCCGCGGCAGGTCGCACTCGCGCTCGCCGGCGCGCCGCCCGCCGCCGCGCACCTTTTCGCGCGCCATGCTCGCGCGCCTCCGCAACCCGTTCGCGCCGATCCAGCACACGCCCGAGCTCGTGCCGACGGGCTCGGGGCGCGGCGAGACGCGCACCGTCGTCGTGAGCGTCGTGACGCGCATGGTGATCGTGCCCCTGTGCCTCATCCCGCTCTTTGCGTGGTACGCCAAGGCGACGATCAACGTTGCCGACGACCCGGTCTTTGTCGTCGTCGCGTGCCTCCTCATCGGGTGCGTCCCCTGCTCCCTCTTGTCGTCGTCGTCGTCGTCGAGCGAGACCTGACCTCGCCTCCTTGCCCTCCCTCCTCCCCCTCTCCCTCCCTCGCCTTGCCTTGCCTTGCCTCTTCTTCTATCATCTGCAGCGCGCCAAGTGCCATAACGCTGGCCCAGCTAACGTCATCTGCAGGCGCACTCGTCTTCGAGCGCCTTATTGCGAGGACGCTCCTCGTCTCGTACGGCCTCCTCACAGCCCCGTCGACCGTCCTCCTCGTCCTCGCCGCGATCTGGATCAACGGCCTGCAGCATCCCGAGGGTCCAGCATGAGTTGGGAGCATGCGCGGCGGTACGATGGCGGCCTGGGCTCGTGCACGGTGCGAGGGGGAGGAGGAGGAAGAGGAGGTCGAGGAGGGTCGGGGCGCCCTGGCGGGCGCACCGTCGGCTGTAGACGAGCAGGCAAGCTATCGGATCGCCTTTCTTGCTCTCGAGTGTGACGCGAGAGCAAAGCATGCACCATCTGGCGAGCTGAAAGCGTTGCAAGAGCTGGCCGAGGGAGGAGGAGAGGGAAAGGTCTCCCTTTCGGGCAGCTGGCTTGGTGGCAGATCTCGGGGCCTGAGAGAGCTTCGGAAGCAGCCTGGACTCGTCTCTGAAGCTTTAGACAGAGGGTGTGATGCCGATTTTGCGACTTGGCGAGGAGGAGCTGATGAGGTCGCTTCGCCCTCGCTCCACCACCGCCTCGCCCACGAGCCAGAGCACCATGACAGCCGAGCAGTCGACACAGCTGCTCGTAGCGCTCCTCACCCTCCCAGCCTCGTCGCTCCCCTCGACCCTGGCCCTCCCCACCATCGCCGACTCGCTGTCATCGCTCCTCGCCGCGAGCCGCTCGACCCAGCACCAGCAGCGCACCAGCGATGACACGCGCCAGCTCCTCCAGGCCGTCATCGCCCGCGCAGCACCCGTCAAAGGCGCCCTCACGAGCCTGTCGCTCGTCGCCCACTACCTTGCCGCCTTCCTCCCGCTCAACGCCCACCTCGCACGCGCCACGGCCCACGAGGCCCTCACGGCCAATGCCCGCCTCGCCCAGCAGGTCCGCACCGACGGCCTCGACGCCCTCAAGCTCGCCCTCGGCCGCGCCGGCACCCCAGACGACGAGCACGGCAACGGCGCCATCGACGCGGCGACTACGCTCCTCGCGCTCGTGCAGGGCACCCTCGAGTGCTTCTCGCCCCAGTCGACTGCGGGCGCGACCGCAGCGACCGACTGCCTCGCTGCCCTCGCGGGCGCGTACGCCCGCCTCGAGGCCGACTCGGCCCCGGCGCTCGACTCGCTCCGGCTCGCCATCGTCGACACGGCCCACGCCCTCGTCCTCACGACCTCGTCCGCCCTCTCGACATCGTCCTCGGCAGCTCACGCCTCGTCGACCGCCCTCGACTGCCTCAAGGACCTCCTCGTCGTCCTCCTTCCGCCGCGCTCGAGCGCGGCAGGCCCGTCCGCCCTCGCGCTCGACCTCGCGTCGCTCGCGCCCGGCCTTGCAGCGACGCTCACCGACGCTGTGACGGGCTCGGTCGGGCCGACGGCGCGCCAGGTCAAGGACCTCGTCGGCGGGCTGCGGCGCGCAGGGGAGGGAGCGGCGGGCGAGGCGCCAGACTGGGTCGCAAGGCTGCGCCGGGCGCAGCAGGTCGGTGGAGCGGCAGACGCCGGTGTCGGGCTCGGGCGGGACAAGGGGAAGGAGGTGGCGCTCGCCGGGGTGGACGGGGCCCCGGTCGGGGACGCAGAGAGGGAGGCGGAGCTGGCTTCGGTGAGTCGACGGCGGCTCCGCGTGTCCCTATCACGGCCATCGTGCGGTACATTGACTCTCGCTCCTCCGACTTCCTCTCACAGGCCATCTCGCACCTGCTCGACCTCTTCCCGCACCTGCCCGCACCCTTCCTCCGAGCTGCCCTCGTCCACCCGACCTTCTCCTCGTCGGGCAATCTCGAACGCGCCACCGAGTCGCTCGTCGCTTCCCTCCTCGACGATGCACCTCTTCCTGCCGACCTCGTCGCCCTGCGCGACGGCGCCGCGCCCTCGCCCGCACCCGCTCCCGCTCCTCCCGCGCCCACCAAGCCTGCGCCTTCCCACTCGCCTGCGCCGGCCGCGCCCGCTCGCGCCAACGTCCACGACGACGACCGCCTCTTTTCGCGCGGGACGCTCCTCGGCCCCAGAACGGCGCGCCGTTCGCCACCTGCGAGCGCTCGGGCCTCGAGCGGCGGCCTCGCGCTCGACGAGTCGCTCAAGGCGAGCATCATAGCGCTCACCGAAGCGCCGTCGTCGGACGAGGACGACGACGACGACGCGTACGGCGAGGCGTTCCTCGAGGGCGACGAGGACGGCGGGCCACGCGTCAAGGTCGGCGACGGCGAGCCCAAGGACGGCGAGGGATCGTCGGACGAGGACGGCGAGCACGGCGGCACGCGCACGCCGCGAGGAGGGTTCGACGGCCCGCAGGGCGGCAGCACGACGGCGTCGTCGAGCGCGCCGCCGGCTCGCGCCGCTGCGCCCGCTCAGGCCGCCGGCTACGGGCCCGCCGTCACGCTCACGCTCGAGAGCGCCTACCTCGCGCACCCCGAGGTGTTTGCGCGCGACAGCGCGACGCGCAGGGGCAAGGCGCGCAAGGTGTTGCGCGAGCGCACCGGGCTCGGCGACGAGCAGATCGAGGGGTGGAAGAGCATGCTCGAGCGCGATGTGCGTCGCCTGTTTCCCTCTCTCTCTCTCTCTTTCCTGCCATCTTGTGCGCCTCTCTAAATGCACTCGTACTGACACACGAGCGGTCGACCACGCCTCGCAGGCCAAGAAGATGCAGCGCCTCAAGGACAAGCATCAAGACCTCGCCGCCGGCGGCAACCGGCCCTCGGCGCCCTCTTCTTCGGCGCACCGGGCCGCCGGTGCGTCGTCGTCCGCCACAGGGGCGCACGAGCGTCCGCCTCACCAGCAGCAGCAGCAGAAGCAGCAGGAGGGCTCGAGCGCCGGCGACGGGGCAGGAGGCGGGCGAGGAGGAGCGAGCGGTGGACGGGGCGGCGCACGAGGCGGTGGAGCATCGAGGGGCAGGGGCGATGGTGGGCGAAAGGAGCATGACCGAGCCAAGAGGGGAAGGGACCGCAAGATGGCGAGGATGGGCGCGGCGCCGTAGATTTGAGCGACGGCGAGAATGAGCTCGTTCGCAGCTGCAGTACACGTACCTCTCGCTCTCTCCTCCTCGTGAAGCTTTCAGTGAGTGCAGAAAAAGCTGTTCTCTCGGGTCGTGCGTCGGCGAGAGAGACCGTGAGAGCCAAAGTTGCGCGAGCAGGACCAACTTGCGAAGGTCGACTCGGCACTTCCTCCTCGTGCTGCGGCTGTTCTAGCTAGCTGCAGTGCCTCTCGCTTTCGCCAGAAAGGCTCAACTCGAGCTCAGTGACGTGCTCGACAGGTCTGCTTACAACTCGGAGAGAAAGAGTAGCAACTGAGAGAGGAAGAGTAGCAACTCTCGCTTTGAGAAGGCTAGCTTGGTAGTCTCTCTAGCTCCTGGCACACAGTCTCTCCTTGTCTCTCTCGACTCGAACTTGGTCAGTGCGAGCTCAGAGCAGCTCGCGAGCCCCTTACCTGGACTACTCGCGTGTGGGTTCGAGCGAGAGAGACCAAGTCCGTCACCTTGAGAAGGTGGTTCCGCGTGCCTGCTCTCGATCCTCTCGACTCGACCTGGGCGATTCTTGAGGGCTCTCGTGCGAGGCAAGACGAGGGGCAGAAGGCAAAAGCGGCGACTGGAAATGACAAGCGGACCGTCCTCCTCAAGCGCTAGACAAGCTGATCCTCCTCGAAAGCAAGCTGCGTCGGGCCCTCCCCTCGCCCTCTGCCCGACCCCCCTCGACCCTGAATCCTCCCTATCCGATCACGCGCTTCTGCTGCTCCTCGAGGGCGGCCTTGTCGGGCGTGATCGAGGTGAACGACTCTGCGCAAGCGCGCACGGTCCGGCTCCAGAGCGAGGTGTCCTGCATGTAGCCGAAAGTCTATCGGTCGCCACAGGTCAGAATGGTCCACTGGAGCGAGATAGGAAGAGAGAGAGGCTCACAATGTTGTGCCACGCCTGCTTGCGCATGACCATGTCGTCCTTGATGTGGATGTCGCAGATGTAGCCCAGGTCGATCATGTCCTTGCGCGTCGTCGTCGCAGGGTCCTTGCCGACGAGCTTGATGCACTTGAGGAGGAGCTTGACGAAGGCGACCGCCGAGGAGCTGTCGACCAGACGGCGCTTGCCGCTGCAGGTCGTCGAAGCCCAGTGCTCGAGCATGCGGCGGCAGCCGGCGATGAGCCTGCAGCTACCGCACTCGACGACCGCAGCGGCGTGCTCGAAGATGCTGTCGGTGTCCGCCTTCGAGAGCTGCTCATGCAGCGGCGCGAGGTCGTCGGACGCGTCGACGAAGGCGGACGGCTCGTTGTCGAGGACCGACAAGATCTTGGGGTCGACAGCGACTCCTGCCGAGCGCAACGAGCGTGCTGCGGCGTCGAAGAACGACACCTCGTCCTTGCGGAACGCCTGCCGAACCTCGGCAACGATTGTCGGGACGAGGTTGGACCACGAGGACGGGTCGATGACGGCGTCGTCCGGCTGCCAGAGCGGCACGGCCGACTTGAGCGTGATCAATTTCATGAAGCATGGCCACGGGAGCCGCTCGTCTGCGGACAACGCGGTGGCGCGAGCTTGCTGGAACAGCGCGTGTAGCTGCGACCGGCGGCGTTGCTGAGCGAGCTGACGCTCGTCCTCGAGACGACGGGACCGGTGCAGGGCGACGGCAGCGAGCACGTCCTTACTGATCCGAGCCCACTCTGTGAGAGGCAAAGTCGTCAGAATGGCTCACGCTCGAAAAGACAAGAGCCGGCTCGGCGAGGACGCACGCTGGTCGGTGAGAAGGACGGGGTGCTTGTCGGCCCAAGGGCGTACGGCGACGAAGCTGTGCGAGAGAGAGTGTGTCAGGCTCCTGATGACGACGGCCCAAGGCGAGAAAGAAACACGAGACGCACTCCTCCTTCGAGAAGCCGGCGTTGGCGACCTTGTCGCAGAGCCTGCACAGGGTCAAGAGGGTCAGTGACGTCGGCTACAGTGACACAGAGAAGAGAGACGAGGACGCACTGCTGGTAGCGCTTGTCGACGACGAGTTTGTGATCGACCTCGAGCTGGTGAACGGCGCGGTACTGGAAGGCGAGGATGTCCTCGGCGTCCTTCTTGACGCGCTTGACGTAGCCGCGACGCTCGCGGTGGTACTCGTGGACGGCAGGCGACATCTCGACCTGGTTCGGGGCGGCGCTGTCGCCGACCTCGCCGTCGACCGCCGAAGCGGCCGAGAGGGCGGTCAGGTGGGCCGAAAGCGGCGCGAGGTCGGGCACCCAGTAGTACGGCATGCGGTCGGTGCGCGCGTTGCCTGCGGCCGAGACTGGGCGAGACGAGTCGGTCAGGCTGTCGAACGCGAGAGTGCCCAAAGACGAGGGAAGGGAAGGACATACACGGCGACGAGAGCGCGCACTTGAACGTGTACGGGTGCAGGTCCGGGTCCTCCTTGCGGATCTGCTTCTCGGTCTTGAGGCTGCGGCGGGCGAAGCGCAGGTCAAGACCTGGAGCGCCGACGACGAGAGGAAGCAGGACGCACTTGTTCTTGAAGCACTTGGCGCAGGCGCGAACGCGCAGCGGGAGCTCGGCCTCGGTCTTGCGCGACGGGCCACAGATCTGAAGGAGTCGTGAAGGGAGAGTCAGTTCACCGCAGAGGGCTATCGAGGACGAGGGCGAGGAGAGCGAGAGCGAGGACGCGCCTGGCAAGAAGAACCTTGGGCGAGGAACGCGTACTTGGGCTCGGGAAGCGGCTCGCTCAGGTCGGGCAGGTTGGCGCTGCGGCGGACGTGCTTCCACAGGCCGGCCGACGACTTGCTCGCGAGCGTGCGGTGGATCGGCTTGGACACTTGCGAGATCGAGAGGAGGGTGCCCGGGTCGAGGTCGCCGCAGATCTGCAGACAGGGACGGCTCGTCAGTGGATCCTCTGAGCTGTCGAGAGGACAAGGGGCGCACCTGGTGAAGCAGGTCGAGCGGGAGGGTCGAGAAGACGTCGTTGCCCGACGAGCCGACCTTGGTCGAGCGAGCTGCCGCCTTCTTGCGCTTCTTCTTGGGCACGGCCGCTGCTCGAGGGGGACGTAGAGTCAGTTCAGAGTCCGGTCAGGGCAGTTGCAGGGCTCGGCGAGGACGCACGAGGCTTGTGGGCGTCCGACGAGTCTTCATCAGCGCCGAAGTTTCCCGTCGTCTCCTCGCTCGTCGAGACCGTGGGACGCGTGTGCGTGGGCGTGTCGGGCGCTTTGGAGCCCTCGGCGGGCTTGCGGGCGCGCAGCGTGGGCGGCATGGCGAGCCTGAGAGCGAACAAGGAGCGCGAGCGGTGTGGGGTTGGCGGAGCCGGCAGCGACGTGCTCGCTCGGTGCTCCTCTCGCGAGAGCCGATGCGAGGGATCGCGGCTGCTATGCATGAAGCCATCAGGCACAGCTGCGCCCATGCTCGCACCTTGAGAAGCTGTTCGTCTCGTCGCGCTCGCGCCTCTCACTCGACTCGCAAGTTCGTGTGGAGCGGGCGAGCAAGAGACAGTCTCTGCGCGGCTCAGAGCGCTCAGAGAGACGCGCGGTGCTGACAACACGGGTGCCCGAACGTCTACGCAAGAGGAGAACGCGGCGCCTGCACCGCTAACCCGGACGTGCTCCTCCTCCTCGCTCTGAAGCGGAGCCTCTCCTCCTGGCCCTGCCCGAGCGCACACTCGTCGTCCGACTGACCCAGGCTCGCGCCGTACGAGCGCCTCGAACAGGTAGAGCGAAAGAAGCGGCCCGCAGCACGCCGAGGACGAGGAGCTCGGCGCGCCGCCGTTGCCGCGAGCGTCCTCGCGCGCTCGCCCGGCTGGTACCTGCCACTCACTCGCCCGCCTGCCCCTCAACCGCCGCAAAGAGCGCAAGCTCTGGCATGCCGCCGCGCAGGAGGAGGGCCTCGTCCACCTCGGCGGGCGCGTCCTCCTCCGAGAACCAGACGCGCCGCAGGCGGCACGTCGCATGCACTGCGACGCCGACGACGCACTTGAGCTTGACGGGCGGCGTGAGGGAGAGAAGGAGGGAGCGGAGAGGGAGGGTGATCGTGCACCAAGAGGTGAGGAGGGGGACGGACGAGTCGGACAAGGGAAAGAGGAGGGGAAAGTGGAGAAGGCGAGGGTGCGCTTCTGTCGAGGGGAGGAGCTCGGGCGCGGTCTGTGTGGCGACTGAGAGTCAGGGACGACTCGATCAAGGGCGCGCGGGCGTGCAGAATGGCCCGAGGTCGAGAGAGCGGGACGCACCTGGAACGTCGAGCAGCGCACGATCATGACCTCGCCTCGCTCGTCGACGACTGCCACCTCGAGGTACATCGTCTGCTCGAGGTGCTTGAGCTGAAAGTGCACGGCGGGCAGCTCGACGCCGAGGCCGTCCTCGCGCCAGTCTCGCGGCGACAGGCTGCCCCACCGTACGCTCGTCGTGCGGCAGTCTGGCGCCTGCAGGTGCATGACCTGGCCGTCGAGGTCCTTGGTGCCCGCCGCGAGCCCTCGCCGGAGCCGCCGCAAGCTGTCGACCCTCGCCGCCGAGAGCTCCGAGTCGGCGGCACCGTTCCACGCGACAAGCGTCTCGTGGTCGTCCGAGGCATCTCGTAGCAGCGAGATGAAGCTGTCGGTTACGGCGTCGCCTGCCGCGGTGCACCTGGCGAGCTGTGTCGGGTGTGACGAGGAAGAGGTCGAGGAGAAGAGGGAGAGGAGGGGCGGCTACGAGGCGGAGCGGTGAGGGCGTGGTCGAGGGGCGAGGGCGAGACGAGGACTGACTTGCACGACGTGGTCGAGCAGCATGGTGCAAGCGGTCGAGGGCGACGAGAGGAGCTTCGTCCAAGTCGAGCTGCACCGCCTCCTCCTCCTTGGGCTCGCGCTTCTTTCTGCTCGGCAGGACAGAGTCGAGGAACAGATAGCTGCTCTCTTTTGAAAGCCGATGCGGATCTACAACAGAACCCTCCCCTCCCTCACTCGGCCCACTCCTCGTCCGCCGGCGGCGCCTCCGGGTGTCCGCGCAGGATCTGCAAGACGCGGCTCGTCAGAGGAGGGATCTCGAGGCGAGAGAAGACGAGAGAGGACGAGAGAGGGCGCACCTTTTCGATGTTGCGGTTGCGCAAGGGCGAGTCGGCGAAGAGAGCGCGCACGAGGCGGACAATCTCTTGCGGCGTAAAGTCGACCAGGTGGCCGTGGTCGAACAGGAACAGGATGTCGGCCATCGACGCCTCGAGCAGCTCGCTCAGGAACGCAAACTTGTACCACGCGGGCGCTTCGCGGCCGAGAGAGGTCTGCGCGCGAGGAGAGCAGGTCAGTGCCGCGGCCGCGAGAGGGTGCGAGAGGAGGACGCACCTCGCTGCCGTCAAACAACGACTCGAGGTCGTGCAGCATCTTGCACAGCTTGTTGAGGCGGATCGACTCGTCCTCGGAGATGTCGGTCTGCTCCTCGATCTCGTCGAGCACGCGCAGGAGGACCTCGTTGATGAGCCCGCCGAGCGACGTGTACAGCGCTGTGGGCGTCATGACGGGCTGCGAGGGAGACGGATGCAGGGTGAGCGGGCGAGACACAGGGAGAAGAGAGAGAGAGAGAAGGAGGGAGACGCACCTTCCACACGAGGGCGAGGCGCTGCAGGATGTGCATGACCTGCTGCAGGGCTCGCTCGCACGACTGGTACCGAGCCTCGTCCGACGTGCGCAGGAAGCCGCCGGCCTCGTCGAGGCTCTCCATGAGCGCCGCTCGCTGGATGGCCTGCGGGCGAGGGGAGGAAGGGAGGAGGTCAGTCGGCGGCTCGCGACCGGTCCGAGAGGAAGCGAACGAGAGACGCACGATCTGCTTCTGGCGCGTGTCCCGACCGAGCTGTCGGGTCGTCTCAATCGCGAGCTGCACGTCCTTGGCCTGCTCGGGCGCGACGGGCAGGTCCTTGTCGTCGGTCGCCGTGCGCCACACGCGCTCGACCTCGCGCCCGATCCACTCGGCATCGTTGGCGAACTGCATGCCGATGGCCGGCACGCTCGCGAGCAAGCGCGAGTTGTGGACGGCGGCCGTAGCGCGGTACAGCGACAGGAGCGAGATGAACGTCTGCAGGAGGGGAGCTGCCGCCAGCGCAAAGTCGGGGTGCTCGAACCTGCAGGGGTGGACGGACGAGTCAGAGACTGCTCGCCCTCGTGACAGACAGAGAGGGAATGACGAGGACGCACGAAGGAGAGGCGATCTTGACGGCCTCGAGCAGGATCTCCTCGGCGATGGCGACCACCTCGCGCGACTGCTTCGACACCATCATCTGCTCGCGCCGAGGAGGCGCCGGCGCCGGCGGCACGTCGCTCGCCTGCTGCGGTTGCTCGACGGCGACAGGATCGGGCGCGACCGCTGTCGGCGGCGCGTCGTCCCAGGCCCAGTCGTCGGTCGACATGGTGCGCGCGTGCTCGGGAGCCGACGTCTCGAGGGCGGTGGATGGCGACGAGGACGACTCGAGAGGTGCGGCGCGCTCGACGTTGGTGGCGGAAGGAGGGAGAGAAGCAGGCGCCGGCTCAAGAAGAGGTGCGACCGGGACGAGCGGGATCGACGTGACGGCCGCAGGAATGTCGACGGCGGGCTCCGAACGCGACGCGTCGCCGTCGCCGTCGCCGTCACCGCCCCAGCCCCAGCCCTCGTCGGCTTGAGGGGGAGAAGGTGGGGAGGCGGGCAGAGAGGGCGCGACAAGCTCGACAGGGTCGGCGGGCGCACCGAGAGGCGCGCTCTCGGCGGGCAGCGACGACGCCGGCAGCGAGAACGTGTGCTCCTGCGGCTGCGACTCGCTCGCCGCCACGTCTGCGGCGGCGTCGACGACGACAGGTCGGTCCTGCTCGTGCTGAACGCTCGACTCGTCCGCCGCGGCGACGACGACGGGATCGGGCTCGGCTTGCGCCGCCGTCGCCGCATGCCCGACTGCACGCGCACCGACGAGCTCGTCGGCGAGCTCGCGCTCGAGCGGGTCTGGACGCGGCTCGTCGTGCGCGGCGGTGTCGATGGTGCTCGAGGGACGCGGCGATACTGGATCGGGCGACGCTGCGGCGGCGGCGGTCGTCTCATCCACAGCGGCGTCGAGCGGTTCGGCGCCCGTGCCGAGGTCTGCGGCCTTGAGCGACGGCGAGGGCTGAGGCGGCGTGTCGGGCTCGACGGGCTCGAGGTCCCACGGGTCGTCGACCGTGTCGTCAACGACGTGACGGGGTGCGTCGGCGTCGACGGCGGACGGGAGGGCCGACGACGAGGGCGAGAACGTGTGGTCCTGGGGCTGGATCGTCTCGGCGGGTAGAGCGTCGCTCTCGGCGTTGGAGCCGGCGGGAAGAACAGGGCGATCCTCGACATGCTGGACGGCCGACTCGTCCTCGACCGGCTCTGCGCCTCGCTCGACGTCAAGCGCAGGCTCGTCGTGGAGGAGCTCGGCGCCCTCGACGGCCTGGTCCTGGGACGGGACGAGCGCGTCGTCCTGCGGCGCCGCCGAGACCGGCTCGGTGACGGGCTCAGGGTGCGTCGCCGACGCCGCGACGTTCGACTTGTCCTGCGCCCCGGCGTCGACGTTGACGTCGGGACGATCCGCCTCGTGCTGGACGGACGACTCGCTCGAAACCGGGAGCGGGCCCTCGGCCGTTACGGCGACGTGCGGGTCAAGGAGCGCCTCGGCGCCGGCGTCGTCCTGCCAGTCCCAGCCCGCCTCGTCCACGGCGTCGTCGCCTTGAGGCACCATCGACGGCGGCGGCGAGAACGTGCGCTGCTGAGGGTGCGCGTCCTGCGCCGGGAGGATGATGGGCCCGGCCTCGGCGCTGTCGACGACGAGCGGACGCTCCGCCTCGTGCTGAACGGCCGAGTCGTCATGCGGGGCCGGACGCTCGAGCTCGTGCTGCACCTGCGACCGCTCGACGTCGTCGCCGGCGGCATCTGCAGCCGGCGGGCTCGCGTCGAGCAGCTCGGCGCCGCCCTGCTCGCTCTGCGGGCCCTGCTCGCCGTCAAAGCCCCACGCGTCGGCGTGCTCGATGACCTCGGGCGACGAAATGGAGCCCTCGCGCGGCGTGCCGTCCACGGCGGCGGCGGCGGCGAGGTCGGGGTCGGGACGAGCTGCGGCGGCCTCCTGCGACCGAGGTTCCTCGCCGACGAGCCGCTCGAGGTCGGGGAGCGGCACGGCGTGGCTCGCGGGCGAGAGCGCGTCGAGATCGTCGTCGCCGACGTGGCTCGTGTTGGTCTGCGCGTCGAGAGGCGGGCTCGTGATCGGCTGGTTGCCAGGGTCCTCGAACGGCTCCCACTGAGGCGTGGTGGGCTGCTCCTCGGCCTCGACGACGGCGTTGAAGTCGACAAAGTCGTCGTCGACGTCGATCGGCTGCGGGTCGAGAAGAGCGGACGAGACGGGGAGGTTCTCGTCCTGCGCGTCCTCGTCCTGCGCGTCGCCGCCAAACGTGTCGAACGATGCGAGCTCTTGAGGTGCTGCGTCGCCGTCGGTGGCGCCGAGCCCCCAGTCGTCCTCGGGCGCGTCGGCGCCGTCGAAGAGCTGTGCTGCATCGTCGAGTGGCGCGGCGGCGGCGTCGGCGAGTGCCGCTTCGCGACTCGGCGCCTCGGCGAGCGGCTCGACAGTGTCGTGGTGCGGCATGGGCTCGGGAATGAGGGGCAAGGTGGGCGAAGGCGGTGCTGGCGCCGACGGGAACGACTGGTCGATGTTCTGCAGGGGGCTCGAGCGTCAGGTCGAGGAAAAACAGGAGAGGAAGGGGAAGTCGAGCGCACCTCGGCCGGAAGGTTGAGCGCCGACGGCTCTGTCATGTCGACGTCGATGGACACACGGCGACGGCCCTTGTCCGGCTGACCGACCGTTGCAGGCTCGGCCGTCGGCTCGTCGACCTTCTCGATTGGCTCGCCGGCCTCGGGATCGTCTTGACGCGCCACCTGGTCGTCCTGCAGGGACCGAGAGAGCGTCAGGACGTCTAGACAGAGTTGCGGACCGAGAGAAAGAGTTGCGAGCGCACCTCGACCGCCTCGGCGGAATCGTCGTCTTTGACCGACTCGGCCGCCTGGTCGACCTGCTCGTGGGTCGCTCCGACCGGCGCAGCGTCGTCGACGACGAGAGCGTCGTCGAGTGCGCGCTTGGGCGCCGGCGGAGGCTCTTGCTCGAGCGGCTCGTCGACGACGGCGGGCTCGTCGATGCCCCAGCCGTCCTCCTCGACCTGCTCCTGCTCCTGCTCCTGCTCCGGCTCAAAGGTCTGAGCTGGAGCGTCTTGCTCGACGACGACATCGTCGACGGCGAGGGACGGCGGCGGCGAGTCCTCGATGACCTCGGCCCGCTCGACCGCCTCCTCGTAGTCGAGCAGGTCGTGCGGCTGCTCTGCAACGACCTGCGCCTCGGCGGCGGGCTCGGCGGCATCGTCGACGATGTCATCGCCGGCGCTGAAGCCCCAGTCGTCGTCGCCGCCGCCTGCGCCGACGAGTGGCTCGCCGTCGTCGTGGGCGAGGGTGGACGTCGGCGGCGCGAGCGAGGGCGGCTCGGCGGGAGCGACGGGAGACGGGAGCGGAGGCGAGGACGGTGCAGGTGCTTCGAGCGCGGCAGGGGGCGTGGCCGGCCCGGCAGGCTGCTGAGGCGGCGGCGGCGAAGGAGGGGCAACGTCCTCGTCCTCCTCGTCCTCGCCGAAGCCCCACGCGTTGTCGCCGAGCTCGGCCGGCTCGTCCTCGTCGTCGACGGCAAGGCTGGATGCGAGCGGCGGTGGCGCGAGGCTCGGCGTGTAGGCGTACGAGGGCGGCCGGGACCGCGACAGCGAGCCGTTCGAGGACGCGACCGAGGTGATCGAGGCGGACGGGGCGTGCGAGGGCGAGCGAGTAGTCGAGGCGAGGGAGGAAGGGGCAGGTGCAGGAGGGGAGCGGAGCGCTGTGGGCGGCTGGGGCCGAGGTGCGGGGGGCGGCGGGGCGACCTTCTTGGGCACAGGCGGCGACGGCGGCGTCGGCGGAGCGGCGTCGTCGTCAAAGCCCCACGCGTCCTCCTCGCCGCCCGCATCGTCACCAAAGCCCCAGTCGTCGGCGCTGCGGTTGCCGTCGTCGTCGTCCATGTCGCCGAGGTCGGCGCCGCCTCGCAGGCGCAAGACCGGTCGGTCCTCGTCCTCGTCCTCCTCGCTCTCCTCGTCCGAGTCGCAGGCGAGGCCACCGCCGCCGCGCATGCGCATCGCCGGCTGCTCGTAGCCGTACGGGCTGTACTGCTGCCCGTACGACCCATGCTGCTGCTGCTGCTGTTGCGACGAGGAGGACGCGCCGTACGGGTCCTCGGCGGGCGCGCCGTACCCGCCACCGTACCCGCCGTACGCCTGCGGCGGCTGCGCGTCGAACCCGTGCGGCTGCGGCTGGCCGTACGTCGGCTGCGACGAGCTCGGCGCCGGCTGCTGCCGGTCGGGCGCGAAGAAGTTGCCCGAGCGCGTCGACTTGCTCAACCCGCTGCCGAATAGGTCGGCGAAGAGCGGGTCGTTCGCCGGCAAGTACGAACCCGCACCGGCCGACGGGACCGAGGGCGGGATCGCGAGCGGGACGTACGAGCTCGCCGTGGGCGGCGGCGGCGAGGCGAAACGCTGCTGGATGTGGTTCAGAACGGGGCCGTCGTTGCGCTGCGCCGAGCTTGGGCGAGAGGGAAGGGAGCGGGCGAGGCTGTTGTTGGACGAGCGGGTCGAGAGGGCGGGCACGTAGGGATTGTGCGCGACGGGCGCCGAGGGCTGGATGGGCGGGACCATGGGCGCGTAGGCGTGCTGCTGCTCCTCGGGAGGCGGCGAGATGACCGTACGAGGCGGTGGCGCCGTCTGCTGGAACGGCGTCGAGAGCGGCGCGGCCGGGGCGGCAGGTGCCGGCGACGACGACGACGACGACGATGATGGCCCGACATCGTACTGCGGCGTGTAGACGGGTCGTCGCTTGGCGCCGAGACGACCCGAAGCACGTGGCGGAGGAGGTGCGCCGGCGGCTCGAGGAGGAGGGGGAGGCGGCGCTCCAGTCGCCGGGCCCACGTCCTCGCGCTGAGCAGGAGGCGGCGGCGGCGGAGCTGGCGTCGACTCCTTCGGGTCGTACGGGCCGTACTGCGACGACTCGTAGACGTCGTTGGCGTCTTGCGGCGCGTGCGGCTCGTGCTGCAGCGAGGAATTGAGGTCAGAGAGATTGTCGAAGGGGCTCGAGCGAGAGGGGAGACGCACCTGGTGCCGAGGCATCTCGAAGCCGTACGACGAGTGCCGGTCGGCCTGCGTGTCGGCCGGCGTGTACGGGTCGTGCGGCGCCTGCGTCGGCGCATAAGGGTCGTGCGGCGGCTCGTGGACGGGATCGACGACGTGCGAGTACTCGCTCGCGGCGTACGGGTCGTGCACGGGCTCGACAGGAGCGTACGGGTCGTGCGCAGGCTCGAGAGGACCGTGGACGTGGTCGACGTTGGGCTGGGCCGGCTGCTCGGGTTGCTGAGGGTCGACCGGGTACGACGGCTGCGGCTGCTCGAGCGGCGAGAAGGCCTGGTCCTCCTGGGCGTACCAGTCGTGCTCTTCTTGCGCGTACCAGTCGTGCTCGGCCTCGTCGGCGTACGGGTCATCGTCGTCGAGAGCCGGCGCGGCGAGCGACGAGAACGAGGCGGGTGCCGGCTGGACGGGCTCGTGCGCAAGCTCCGACGACGGCGCGTACGGGTCGTGCTCGCCGTTGGCGACCTGCGCGTTGTGTTGGGCGTCGGCCTGCGGCGCGTACGGGTCCTGCTGCTCGAGGTACGGGTCGTGCGCCTCGGCGTCGGTGGACCACGGGAACGACGCCGGCTCGTTCGAGTGCGACTGGTGCGCGACGACGGGCTCCTGCTCGACGTCGTACTGGTCGTCGACGCTGTACGAGCTGGGCACGGGCTGCTCGACGTCGACGCTCGTGGGCGCGTACGGGTCGTCGTCCTGGTCGAAGCGCGGCTCGTGGTCCTGCGCCGCCTCGACCGGCGCGTACTGGTCGTGCTCGGCGTACTCGGCGCCGTATCCACCTTGCTCGGCGTCGACGACGTCCGCGCCGCGATCGAGGCCGTACTGCTCACGCGCGGCGTAGCCGTTCTCCTCGTGCGAGTCGGGCTCGAGGAGGCCCAACGGATGCGGGGCGTACGGGTCGTGCGAGGAGGGAGGCGACGCTGGAGCGTAGGCGTCGTGGGAGAGTGGCGGCGGCGGAGCGTAAGGGTCGTGAGGGGCGGCCGAGCGGTCGAAGTAGGCCGGCTGCTCGGCGTCGTCGTGCGCAGGCGCAGGCGGGTACGGCGACGGCTCGTAACGAGACGGCTCGTACGACGAGTGCTCGTGCGGCGAGCGATCGTGCGACGGCTCGTCGTGGCGCCATGCCTCCTCGTCGACGGCGTGGGGCTGCGCCTCGTCGGCGAGCTCGTCGAACGCGGCGGCGCCCGCCTCCTCGTCGTGCACGGGATCGTCGTTGGCGGTCGTGGGCAGCGGCTCGACGTCCGGGTGCGACGGCGACGGCTCGTGGTAGCTCAGGCCGAGGCTGGGCGAGTGCGACGACGGCGGAGCGGCGAGGCCGGGCGACGGCGTTGGCGGGATCTCGGGCTCGACGCTCTCCTCCTTGATGTCGCGACGCTCGACGCCGTACTCGCCCTCGTCGTCGCGAGACGGCTCGGGCGGGTAGAGAGCGCCGGACGGCTCGGCCGCCTCCTCGACCTCCTCCACCTTGACCTGCGACAGCGTGTCCTGCTCCTGCTCCTGCTCCTGCTCCTGCTCCTGCTCCTGCTCCTGCTCCTGCTCCTGCTCCTGCTCCTGCTCCTGCTCCTGCTCCTGCTCCTGCTCCTGCTCCTGCTCCTGCTCCTGCTCCTGCTCCTGCTCCTGCTCCTGCTCCTGCTCCTGCTCCTGCTCCTGCTCCTGCTCCTGCTCCTGCTCCTGCTCCTGCTCCTGCTCCTGCTCCTGCTCCCGCTCCCGCTCCGGCGACGCCTCGACGTCGTCATCGACAGCGGCGGCGTACGAGTGCACGGCGCCGACCTCGCCCTCGCCGGCATGGTCCGCCGTCGTCTCGATCCCGTCGAGCGTTGACGCCGGCTCCTCGAGCAGCTCGAACGTCGTGTGCTGCCCACGCGGCGACAGCGTCGGCGAGATGACGGCCGAGCGGTCGAGCACGTGCGGCTCGGGTGCCGGGCTCGCCTCGACGACCGCGATCGTGGGCGCCGGCGCAGGCGGCGACGACGGCTCAGGAGCAGGCTCGCGCGACGTGGCGGAGGTGGTCTCGCGCGCAGGAGCGTCGCCGCCCTGGAAGAGGGGCGGCGGGCTCGGGCTGCGCGGCGGGAGCGGAGCGACGATGCGCGCGGCGCCGAGCTTGCCGCGCTTGAACGAGCCCTTGCCCGCCGGCACGAGCGGCGGCGTCGGGGCGGGCTCGTCGACGGGCGCCGAGGCGGCTGCTGGGGGAGGGACGACGGGAGGCGAAGGAGGAGGGGGCGTCTTGGCGCGCAGGACCTTGGGCGCGAGCGCCTCCTCGATCGTCATCTCGCGCTGCGCCCCTCGCGGCACAGTCGCGAGTGCGAGCTCCCTCGGCACCTTGGGCACCTGCTGGCCGGCCGTCGCGGCGCCGCCTTGCGCCGGCGACTGCTCGTCGGCGAGCCCGAGGCCGAGCAGGAGCCCGAGCATCTCGTCCTCCTCGACGACCTCGACCTCGACCGTCTCGCCCGCGCCCCAGTCCCACGCCTTGACGGCGCCGCGAACACGCGCGAGGGCACGGTCGCCGACTTGGCGCGCCCAGTGTTGCGGAACGCGGGCGGCCCAGGCGCGGACCACGCGCTGCTCCTCGACCTCGCGCGACGACGACGAGAAGGACGACGGGAGGAAGGCGAACAGGCCGTGGGAGGGGAGGAAGGTCGACTCGAAGGCGCTGGCGGCGTCGACGAGCGCGAGGTACGGCGGGAGGTCCGAGGTCGACGCCGGGAGGGACGGCGACAGGTGCGACGAGATGACGTGCGACTGGAGCGACGGCGTGAGGTGCGCCGTGAGCGTCGCGGCGTGGTGCGACGGCTTGTCGTTCGAGCCCGGATTCGGGAAGAGGGACGAGTGCGAGGTGAAGAAGGCGAGGAAGTCGGACAGGGCGGGAACGGCGTCGACCTGCTCGTCGACCGGCACAAGTTCTGCGACGTGGACGACGCCGTCGTCGCGGAACCGGAACTCGGAGCGCGTCTTTTGCGCGACGGCGGGAGCGTCCTGGTCGCGCGAGCCGACCTTAACGCGGCCCTGCGACTCGAGGAACGGCGCGACAAAGTGGCGCAGGACCTGCTTGGCGAGGCGCGCGAGGAACGTCTCGGTCTGCGTCGGCCGACCCGTGATGCCGGCGAGGTCCTCGAGGCCCTGCAGGAGGATTGCGACGGGCAGCTCGGGGCCGGTCGGCGCCGCGGCGATGCTCTCGCGCAGCGTCATCGTCGCCGTGCCGCCGCCGCCTGGTGCCGCGGGCGACACCTCGAAGCACCCTTCGAGGGCGCCTTGAAGGGCCGCCTCGAGGCGCGACTCCTCGTCGCTCGCCCACCGCACGAGGACCTTCCACGCGTCCGTGTGCTCGATCCACTCGTCGGCGCCCTCCTCGACGGCCGACGTGACGCGAGCGAGCGCCTCGATGGCGGACGGCAGCTCGCCGGACGTGGTGGCAGTGGCGAGGGCGGAAGTGGTCGTGTGGAACGTGACGAGGGCCGAGAGGAGCGAGACGGAGGCGGTCGCGGCGAGGTGCGAGGCGGCGAGCGACTGCTGCTCTTCGAGTTGGGCGATGAGGGGAGGAAGAAAGGCATCCTGCGCATGTTTCATAGTGGGTCAGTGCCGGTCTAGGCGAGACAGGGCGGCGAGACGAGGCGCACCGGGCCGTCCACCTCCAGCTCGAGCTGCTCGAGCTCCTTGTCCTCGTCGTCGAGCTTGGCGATGAGCTCGTCGCCGTGCTTGAGCTGACCCGCAAAGTCGTCCCAGTTGTCCTTTAGCAGGGTGCGCGTGCGGTCCTGCGAGAGGGAGCCGGGCAACGTGACGCAAGGTCGTCAGGGGGTCACTCGTCGACTGCGGGAACCGAGAGACGGGCAGAGAAAGGGCGAGACGCACGTTTGTGGCAGTGACCTCGTCGTCGATGCGGTTGAAGAGCTGTGCTGCTGGGCCGTCGGCGCCTGGAGGCCCCGCAGGGAGGGTGACGGCGGTCGAGAGTGACCCGGCGCCGACGTCGCTCAGGAACTGGTCGACGAGGGGCATGACCGTGGTGGCACTCGCTCGGAGCGTGGCACGGCTGGTCAAGCTCGGCAAAGGCGGTGGTGCGGAGGTGAGCGAGGGGTGGGGAGGCGTGGTCGAGTGAGGTGGAGGGGGGCGGAGCTGCGGCGTCCGCGAGCGCGTCGTGGGGGCTGGAGGTGGGCTGCCGGTGTGCTGCTCAGCTGCTGTAACGAGCTCGGCAGGTGCACGCAGCTGCAGGGCGCGACTTGGTCGAGGTTGACCTCGTCGACCTCGAGAGCTCCTCGTCCACCAGGTTCGCCCTCCAACCGCTCGCCGTCCTCGCGCAGAGTGACTTGCTGCCCTGCTCGTGCTGCACTGCCGACAGTGTCGACCTGCCTGAGGCCGTCTCGCTCGTCCCCTCGCGGGACTCGCCTCTCTCTGTCTCCCTCTCTCGGTCACCCAGTCCTCCATCCGCTGCCTCGCTCTCGTACGGCCAGCGGCCGCCCGTTCCGGCGCGTCGCTTTCACGGTAGCTGCGCCAGAGGTCGGGCGCGGCCGGGAGATCGTGCGTGCGAGAAGCAGTCGGCGCTGCCACTCGACGCCGGTTCCCTCTTCCTCCTGGCCTGCCCTCCTCGCGGCCGCCCAAGCTCTGCTGTTCAGTGTCGACGGCCCGGCCGCACTGTTTGCGCCAGTGGACGGCGCGGCGGCTGCGAGACCTCGGCCACGAGCCAGCTGTTGTCTCTGCCGGGGTCCGAGCCACCCTGCGTCGGCTGCTCCTTGCCGGCTCTCGCTTCTAGCTTCCAGCTTTGGTTTGCCTGACTCGCTCCGAGGCCCGAGGGCTAGGTTCGGCAGAGCAGGGCGACGTCTAGTCACCGCCTGTCCTCGTCGACGAGCGTGTCTGCCCGTCCGACTTCCTCCTTGAAGCGCCGCTCGCTGTCTCCAGCAGCCGCTCGCGCCGTCTAGAGCGCCCACTGCTCTGCCATCATGCGAGCGTACCTCGGCAAGAGAGCTGCGGGACGCGGGCGGCTCGTCTCGTCGTCGAAAGTCGCCCGCAAGCCGGGCCAAGGAGAGCCAGGGAATCCCTCGCAGCGTCTCGTTCGCGTGCAGTGTTCTACAATGTACAGTTGAACGGCGTGCGTATCACGCCCGTCGGCGAGCAAGCTGTCGACCGTGCGCAGAGATGCTGAGACCGCCGGACCCGAACGAGTTGCCGGACGTTGTTCGCTCTCGCTCTCTCGCCCATCTACCGCCCGCGCAAGCTCTGCAGCAGCGCCGCAGTCCACCCAGCACCCCGACCACAGCAGCCGCAGCCGCACACCCAGCTCTCCACCCCCGCCCCCATGCTTGCCCGCGCACCCCGCGCACAACTCGCCTCGGTCGTCAAGCCGCACCGGCCAGCACCGCGACAGCTCAGCAGCTCGGCACGGTCCATGGCGGGCTTCACCTGCTCGGTCGAGTCGCGCGCCGTCGTCTTTGCCGAGCACGGCGACCCGGCCAAGGTCCTCCAGACGCACAAGTTCCGCCTCCCCAAGCTGAGCAAGGGCGAGGTCCGCTTGCGGTTCGAGCTGGGTGCCGTCAGTGCGTCCACTCTCTCTGTAATCGGGCCCGCAACCGCGCTTACCCTCCTCCTCGCCCGCAGACCCCGCCGACATCGTGAGCTCCCCACTCGGCTCGTCTCCTCTCGCGTCGAGCTGACCCTGTCTGGCCCTCGCAGAACGTCATCCAAGGCGTGTACCCGTCCAAGCCGCAGGTGCGCAAGGACCTCGGACCCGAGCCGGTCAGCATCATGGGCAACGAGGGCGTCGCGACGGTCGAGGGCTTTGTCGAGGACGGCGAGGTCGAGCACAAGCTCAAGCTTGGCGACAGGGGTGCGTCCCGACTTCTCCTCGTCATCTACATGGCCGCTAGACTGACTCTTGAGCCGGCCCGCAGTCGTCATGGGCGCTCCGCAACTCGGTCCGTCCCTCGGACCTCTCCCTCGACTCCTCCTCGAGCCCTCGCTGACCCGTCTCTTGCCTACAGGTACCTGGGCATCCCGGGCCAACATTCCTGCATCCTCCCTCATCGCCCTCCCATCGTCGCACCCGCTCACCCTGCGCCAGGCCGGCACCCTCGCCATCAACCCGCCGACGGCGTGGCGCATGCTGAGCGACTTTGTGCCGCTCAACCCGGTCGAGGGCGCGCCGAAACACGCCAAGAAGCAGTGGGTCATCCAAAACGGCGCCAACAGTGCTGTCGGCGTCGCCGTCATCCAGCTCGCCAAGGCGTGGGGCGTCGGCACGATCAACCTCGTCCGGGACCGGTGCGTCCAACGCTCCTCTTCCTCCTACTCCCTCTCGCCACATTCACTGACTCGTAACGTACCCGCAGACCCTCGATCGACGCGCTCAAGGACTCGCTGCACGCCCTCGGCGCCGACCACGTCTTGACGTACGACGAGTTCCTCTCGAGGGACAGCAACACGCGCGCCAAGGTCAAGGAGTGGGTCGGCGACGAGGGCGAGCTCAGCCTCGCGCTCAATTGCGTCGGCGGCAAGGAGACGGCAGAGATGGCCAAGCTTCTGAAGGTTGGCGGGCAACTCGGTGCGTCAACGGGTCCTCTTTCCGGGCTCTCGTGCGGCTCGCCCGCAGCGTGTCCTGATAAAAGGCTCCTGCTCGTACAGTGACCTACGGCGGCATGGCCAAGCAAGCCCTTGCGCTCCCGCCCTCGCTCTTCATCTTCAAAAAGCTCGTCTCGTGCGTCGCCTCGTCCTCCCTCTCTTTCCGCCGTTCCCTCCCTGACCCTCCTCTCTACTTTTCGCACAGCACGGGCTTCTGGCTCTCGAACTGGACACAGACGCACCCGGCCGAGCGCGCGACCATGATGCAGCGCATCGCCGCGCTCGTGAGCGACGGCACGCTGCGCGAGCCCGAGACCGAGGTCGTCGAGCTCGGCGGCGCCGACGACGAGGTCGTCAAGGTGCTTGGCGAGGTCATGACGCGGGTTCAGGAGGGAAGGGGCAAGAAGGTGCTCCTGCACTGGAAGGAGGAGCAGGCCTGAGCGTGGTCGGCCGGGCGTCGTTCTTCCTTTCGCAACTCTCGAAGCATCTGTCCCTCGCCGTCGTAGTGCCCGCTGTGCCACACGTTGTATTCCTATGCGCTCGACCTCTCTCTTTCTCTTTCTCTCGGAGGAGGCGTGCGCGAGAACGAGAAGTGGAAGAGCACGTCTGCGTTGCATGAGAGGCCCGAGCGGCGAGCGTGCGTAAGACTACGCAGGTCCAGGACGCACGAGATGTCGCACTCGAGAGAACGCGCAAAGTGCTAGTGAGCTCGCCGAGAGAAGAGAGAGCGGGAACTGACCGCTGGGGAGAAAGAGCGAGAGGGGCGGCGAGTCGGGCCCCTGCAAGGACGAGGGCTTAACGGCGCAAGAGCTGCTCGATATCGGCGTCGTCCGAGTCGTCGTCGTCGTCGTCGCCGTCGTCGCCAAAGTCGAGCTCGATGTCGGCTGCAGTAGGTGCCGAGGGCGACTTGAACGGGGGCGGCGCTGCTGCTGGGAGAGCGTCAGGCGGGCCCACCTCCTCCTGCTCCTCCTCCTCGTCGAGGTCGTCCGAGTCGACGCTCATGCCCTCGTCGCCCTCGTCATCGTCCACCTCATCGTCCGAGATCGGGACCGACAGCTCGACAAAGTCCTCCTGGACGTCGAAGCCGCCATCGGCGCGCTCGTGCTGCTCGACACGCAGCCGCTTCTTGAGCCTGCGCCCCGCCGCACCCGAGATGCCCTCGCGCTCGGCGTCCCTCGCCGCACGCCGCTTGCCGCGAGCCCTCGCCGCCGCCGCGTCGTCGTCCCCCTCGTCCTCCTCCCACTCGATCGCGAGCTCCTCGCCCGCGCCCTCTCCCTCGACCTCTCCACCCTCCTCGTCGTCGTCCTCGTCGTCGTCCTCCTCGGCGCCATGCACCCGGCGCAAGACGTGCGGCTCGCGGCACCCCTTGACGTCGCAGCGCCCCGTCTCGGCGAACCTCCAGCACTCGCGCACGTGGCGCTTGGCGCACCCGTCGCCGAGGGCGCACCACCCAAGCTCGACAAAGTCGCGGCACGGCGCCGCGTCGGTGCCGACGCGCACGTGCGCGTACGGGCACGCGGCGCCGCGGGTGCAGGCCGGGAAGTGGGCGCAGTGGGGCGAGCGGTGCGGGTTGGGCTGGTGCGACAGCGGGCAGGACGAGGCGGGGCGAGGGCACGAAGAGCGCAGGAAGAGGGGGCAGATGGCGATCTTGGACGAGTCGTGGATGTAGGGGCAGGTGTGGGCGCGCGAGCACTGGCCTGCGGGCGGCGCCGGGGCGGGAAAGAGTCAGCGAAGCGCCGAGTAGGGCGTCGATCCGCTCTCGCGACACACAGTGCTCGAGAGAGAGGCGGCGAGGAGGACGGCGGCGCACCTGTGCGCTGGAAGAACCTGCAGAGCTTGTCCGACTTGGGCTTGGCCGGGCGCGACGACGTGAAGCCGCTGCGCGCCACGGAATCGTCTAGTCAGTAACCATCGTGGTGGACGATAGAGAGCGAACAGAGAGAAGCAGTGACGCACCCGCGACCACGCCCCCTCCCTCTCCCCCTCGAGCCATTCCTCGCCGCCTGGACGCCCCTCACGACGCCGACAAGGCCATCGAGCCGCTCCCCCTTCTCGCGCATCTCGTCCTCGCGAGTCTTGCGCGCATCGGCGACCTCCTTGCGACGCCGGGCGAACGCGAGCGAGACGAGGTTGCCCGCTTTGGTGCGGATGTAGGTCGTCCCGAGGTGCGAGGTGCGCTTGGGGGTCGTGACGGACGGCGAGGAGGGCGACGAGGGAGCGACAGCACTCGGGTCGGCGTCTGTAGAGTGAGAGGAGGACAGGGTTAGGGACGTGTGAGGGAAAGGAGAGCGAGAGGGTCGAGGCGCACCAGGTTTGCGGACGAGCTTGTTGCCCCGTTGGTCGGCGACAAAGACGACGCCGCCGATGACGACCTCGCGCGGTGGCGGTGGCGGCTTCGGGGTCGTGTCGAGAGCAGGAGGTGCAGGCGACGGGCGACGGCTGGTCGGCGCGGACGACGGGGCCGAGGACAGGTTGGCCGAGTCGTCGGCGCGCTTGTTGAGGACGAGGACTTGGTTGCGGAAGCCGCCGGGCGGTACAGGGGTCGTGGTGCGGCTCGTCGGCTCGGTCGGGGCGGCCGAGGTGGTGGTGGCCGGGGTCGAGGCGCCGCTCAAGCCGGGAGCGACCCAGGTCGCGTTGCGGTGGACGGCGGTGGGCGCGGTGCGGCCCCTGCCTCGGCCGCCTCGGCCGCGGTACGAGCCACGGTAGGGCGGAGTTGAAGCCGAGGCTTTGCGCTGCTCGATGGCGCCTGTGGCGACAGAGGTGGGTCAGCGCGGGCGGGAGGGAGGGGTCGAGGCAGGGCGAGGGGTGTGGACGCACTGGAAAGGCGAGCGATCTCTGCAAGGACTGCTGCGTCGTCTGCCATGCTGACTGGCCGTGCTCGACAGTCGGAAGCGAGCGTGTGGACGAGAGGAGAGACGAAAGGCACCTCTGGCAGATGAGGACGAGGCGCACCTCGCCGTCACAGCTGTCGGTGCTACTGGGACTCGGTCGTAGTGATCTTGTAGCTCTCTCAAAGGCTCGCAGCTATCCAGAGAGCACGACTGAGCGAGTTGTGGTGTCCCCGCCTCATCAGCTCCCTCGCCGAGACTCCCCTCTCCTCCGTCACCTACCGCTAGCCCGCGTGCAGAGGTGCGCGCCATGTCGACGGCCAGCCCAGCCCCGACGAGCCCGCCAGTCGCTGCGCCAGCCTCGGTCGCGCCCGCCCCGCTCACCGTCGACCCCCGCCGCCTCTCGCTCAACCCGCCCACACCCGTGCCTCGTGCCCAGGACCCCGACGACGAGGTCGACGAGCTCGCCACCACCACCAGCGCCCGTACCACACCCGACCACACCCCGCGCACCAATCGCTCGCCCCTCTTCCGCCCCTCGTCCGCCCTCGCCGACCGCGACCCACCAGCCGCCTCGACCTCGGCTGCCCGGTCCCCAGCTCGTCCGCTACCGAGCCCTGCTACTGCGACCTCCGCCAAGGGCAAGGCCGCCATGCACGGCGACCTCGACGACCTCGACGACGACGACGAGATCGACCAGCTCGCGTCCGAGTCGGCGTCGGTCGCGTCGACCAGCAAGGCCCCAGCACCTTCAGCGCCCCTCGCACCTCCCGTCAAGCGCTACGCCGGCAACTTTGGCCCGCCGTCGCAGCCCAAGAAGCGCCACCGCATGTCGACCGCCGGGTCCGGCGACCGCTCGCTCGCGTACCGCCCGCCGCCGCTCCCGCACTACACGGTCGTGCGCGCCGCGCGCAACTCGGCCTCGTCGCCGCACGTCATCCGCATCCACGACAACGTGACGGACGGCAGCTCGGCGCGGTGGCCGGCCGACGACGAGTGCGACCCCAACCACACGGTCGGCGGCCGCGAGAACTGGTACGACTGCCAAGGACCCGACGTCGGGCGCCACAAGATGTTTCGCGAGAAGCTCGGCGAGGAGATGGCCAAGAAGCTCGGCCTGAGCGACGACGACCCGAGCGCGCACTGGGTCGTCGAGAAGCTCCCCAAGGGCCACCTGTTCACGGTCCACCACTGCGTCACGAGCTCCGGGCACCCTCGCCAGGACGTCTACATCTTTGGTCCGTCCTCTCGTCTCTCCGTCGTCTCTCACGCGCCGGGCAGCCGTCCTGACTCGGCCCCTTCTCCTCCTCGCCAACCAGGTTCGGCCGCGACCCACAAGTTCCGCACCGTCAACGAGTTCGTCCCGCACCTGTACTGGCTCCTGTCGCACGGTCCGGGCGACGGCCTGCGGTGCGAGTGCAAGTACTGCACCAAGAAGAGCCAGTCGGACGTGAACCGCATCGTCGGCCTCACCGACGGCCGCTCGTCGTCGGTCGTCAGCGAGCGCTCGGCGACGCCGCGCCGGGCCGCCGCGAGCGCGGTCGCGAGCTCGGCCTCGCGCACGGGCAAGGGCATGGGCGGCGGCCCAGGGCACGGCGGGTACGGCGGGCACGGCTCGTCGTCGTCGACGGCGGCAAAGGCGACGATCGCCAAGGCGGGCGACCCGGGCACCGACAAGCTCCTGCCGCCGCTCAAGAAGAAGAAGCGCCCTCGCGACAGCGAGCGTGCGGGCTCGCCGTCGGCTGCGCTCGAGCACAAAAAGGCGCGCAGCGCCGCCGACGTCGCCGGCGTGCCGGGTGCGCCCTCGGCCTCGTCTACGGCCCCGCCCGCCTACCGCGGCACGTTCGTCATGCGGCAGCGCGACGAGGACCTGCGCGACGTCGGCGTGCCCCGCCAGGGCGAGGTCGTGTGGGCCAAGCTCGCACGCCCGCTCGAGCCGCGCGAGGAGGGCGGGACGACCATCACGCACTGGCCGGCGCTCGTGCGCGCGAGGGAGTTCGCGAGCGCGGCCAAGGTCGTGCTCGAGGACTCGTCGGACGACGGCGAGGACGACGAGGACGACGAGGACGAGTTCGAGGCGGACGAGGACGAGGACGAGATGGTCCTCGTCGAGTCGGCGAACGGCGAGGACAAGGGAAGGGGGGAGGGCGCGGGCAAGGGCAAGGAGGCCAAGCGCAGGCGCAAAGAAGCGCGGGCCAAGAAGCGGGCCAAGCGGGCGATCAAGAAGCAGGACGCCGCCGTCGAGCTCGCCGCCGCGTCCAACCTCGAGCCCAAGACGCCCGTCCCCCTGTCGACGACGCAGCGCCCCGTCTTTACGCTCGCCCTCCTCGGCCTCGCCGACGAGCTGCGCCGCGTCGAGCTCGGCGACATGCTGCCCTGGCTCGCCCACACGCCGCCGGGCGACCTCATGCGCCCCGAGTACATCATGCACCCTGACAGCGCCAAGCACGTGTGGGACGGCACGAGGACGATGCGCGACGCGACCCTCGCCGACTTTGCGTGCGCCGAGGACGCGGCGACGGCGGTCGCGCTCGCCAACCAGGTCGTCGCCCACGTCGTTCCCTCGTTCGCGCCTGGGTGAGCCTCTCTCTCCCTCTCCCCCTCTCTCTCTCTCACTCGCGAGCCTGCGACTGACTCTTGCATCCCTGTCTCGCAGCGAGAAGTACGCCATCACGTCCGCCGCCATCGAGCACAAGCCGGGCACGCCGGCCGACCAAATCGCCGCCGTCGAAAAGGAGGCGGCCAAGACGTGGGCGTTCCAGTGCCTGTTCTTCGGCGCCGAGCTCGTGTGGCCCGGCGACGTCGTGCGCCTCCTCAACACCAACCTCGTCGACCTGATCGGGCCCAAGGGCGCCGTCCAGCCGGGCGAGGACCGCGTCTTCTTCCTGCGCGTCGCTATCCTGTTCAAGGCGCCAGATGCCGACACGCTCAAGTTTGGCGGCGACGTGTGGACGCTCGACGAGGTCGCCGACGGCGACGAGGGCGGCGGGTCGCCCCCCAAGGTCAACGGCGACGGCGTCGAGGGTCCGCCGCCGTCCAAGGAGCGCTTGCCCGGGTCCGTCATCAACGGCAACGGCTCGACGACTGCGCCTCACGTCAACGGTGCCGCGCGCGCCGCTCGCCCGCCGGCGCCGGCCCAGCTCCCAGCGCACATGCCGCCTCCTCCCGCCGGCCGCGCGTGGAAGCTCCTCACCGAGCCCGGCACGCAGGCCCACTTCGACCTCGACTTTATCGGCTCGCGGTTCCGCCCACTGCCGCCGGCGAGCGACTCGCGCGAGCGGATTCGCGAGGTCGGCGAGAGCTTTGCGCGGCTCGGGCTCGGCGAGGACCGAGCGTCGATGGGGTCGGGCGAGGCGGACGAGGCGGACGTCGACATGGACGGGGGTGAGGGGGCGCTCAGGCTCAGCGACGAGCACAGAGCGCTCGTGCTCGCCGGGCTCAAGCCGACGGTCCAGCTGTACATGATGGTCCGTCCTTTCTCTCTCTCTCCCTGCACCCCCTCGCGACCCTCAGAAGAATTCGACTGACTCGTTCCTCTTTGCGCAGGTCGGCACGTGGCGCCCGAACCGGCAGGACGCCATCATCGAGGCTGAGAAGCAGGCGTCGGTGCGTCCCCTCTCCCTCTCTTCCCCTCGGCGACCCTGACGCTCTCCCGGCGAGCCTCACTGACCATACTGCGCCCACAGGACGATGTCGGCTCGTTCTTCAAGACGCGCGCACGGTCGCCATCGTCCCTGTCGAACGGCACGCAGAGTCGCGAGGGGTCCGCCGCCGCGTGATGCGCTCGCCCTCCTCTCTCGGCGACCTCTCTACGCCTTCTTCTTTCCCCTTCCCCCTTCGTCCATCCCGCCTCGAACCTCGACGACCCTCCCTGCCCGCACTCGGGCGCTGCCCTTGCTGCCCTCGCTTTGCCTCCTTGCCCTCTCGCTCTCGCCGTAGCAGTTTCGTCGTGTTGCGTGATCTGTCAGCCTTTCTCCTGCCTCACCATGCGGCCGAGTCGAGCGAGCCTATTCGTCCCGAGAGAGCGAAGCTGAGCGAGGTGTGCGAGTGGACGCTCGTCTCGAGGAAGGCCCTCTGCACCGGCACCATGGCTCTCGCCCCGCCAGGGAGTGCACCGCTGTCTCTCGAGCTCTCGCACAGCTGCGTGAGCGCGCCCTACGACACGCTCGCGGGCTCTCGGCGGCCAGGCGGGTGCCTCGGCCCCGACTGACGTTGAAGCGACTCGCCCGCCGACCTCTCTCGCCCTCCTGCACCTCTGTGCTGGGCTCGTACAGCTGTTCACTGCCTCTTTAGTACTCTACCGGTGCGTCCACCCTCTTTGAATCACCAGCGCGGCGTGTCCTGACCCTCGCCTCGTCCTCATCGCACGCAGCACCGCCTCCACCTTTGTCGCCTCCCCCTCGCCCTCGAACTCGTTCGCCGACATGCCCGGCGACAGCAAGCTCACCCGCGAGTCGCTCGCCGCCGTCACCCTGTGCTACGCCTCGTGTTCGCTCGGCAAACCCACCGACCCCCTCCCCGACCGCCTCTCGCACCTGTCGTCCGCCGGCTTCTCGCAGATCGAGCTCTCGTTCCCCGACCTCCAGGCCTACGCCTCGGTCCTTGAGAACCGCGATGTCGGCGACAAGGAGTGGGACGTGCTCGCTCGCGCGGCCGAGGGCGTAAAGGCGCTCCTCGACGAGCGCAGGCTGCGGTGCTTCATCCTCCAGCCGTTCGGGCAGTTCGAGGGCTGGCCCGAGGGCAGCGACGAGCGCAAGGACGCGTGGGAGCGGGTCGAGGGGTGGATCAAGATCGCAAAGGCCGTCGGGACGGACACGCTCCAGGTGCGTCGGCTCGTTCTCTCTCTCAGCAGCCGGTCTCTCGCTCGACGAGTGCCCAGGACCGGCTGCCCCGACATGAACATCGCCTGACGCTCGCGGCACCACCCTGCAGGTCGGGTCGAGCGACGTCGAGACGATCGAGTGGGACCGCGACGTCGTCGTCAAGGACTTGCGCGAGCTGTGCGACCGCCTCGCCAAGGACGACCTCAAGCTTAGCTACGAGAACTGGTGCTGTGCGTCGACTTTCTCTCTCTATCTTTCTCCATCCTCTTCGAGACGGTCCTGACCTCTCTCGTCCACGCCCTTTCCCTTCTCGCAGGGTCGACGCACGCCCCGACCTGGAAGGCCGCGTGGGAGATCGTCCGAGACGTCGACCGGGACAACATGACGATCAACCTCGACACATTCCAGACGGCCGGCAGCGAGTGGGCCGACCCGACCCAGCCGTCCGGGCTCGTCAACGCCGCCTCGGACGACGAGCGCGACAAGCGGTTCCAGGGGTCGCTCGACGAGCTGAGCGAGACGGTACCCGCCGACAAGATCGGGTTCCTCCAGCTGTCGGACGCGTATAAGGTCGACCCGCCGCTCGAGGACAAGACGGTCGACGGCCTGCGCCCTCGCGGTCGCTGGTCGCACGACTACCGCCCTCTGCCGTACAGCGGCGGCTACCTCCCGGTCGAGCAGGTCACCAAGGCCGTCCTCAAGACGGGCTGGCGCGGCGTCATGAGCGTCGAGGTGTTTGACTCGGGCCCGGACGGCAAGGGCAAGGAGGACGTCAGGCTCGAGGACTATGCGAGGGACGCGGCGGCGAGCGTCCAGCGGCTTCTCGATGCGTGTGCAGACGATGACCTGTAGCGTGCAAGGAGCGGTATCGAGCTGTCCCCTCGAGCGTCGTGCTTGTTCGAGAGAGCGAGCGTCGAGAGTGCTCGACCAAGTTTCGGCTTCGACTCGTGGCACGCTCCTCGCCCATCTCGCTCGTCGCGGACAGTGAGGCTCTGCTCGATCTTGGTAGCGACTCTCGCACGACCTGCACGGCCTGCGCGGCCGTCGAGGAAGGCGCTCGCGACGCAGATGGCCGGCCGAGCAAGCGAGAGGCGCGAGCGCAGCGACAAAGGGAATGCGTGAGAGTGCGAGGGGAGGACGCAAAGGGTAGCACACGCTTTCCTCGTAACGCTGCCGGATGCCGTCCTGGCTCGCACGCCGTCGAGGAAGGGCCAGTTAAAAGAAGGAAGCGCCGACAGTTGCGTCGACCGGTCGGGGTCTGCGTAACGCTGATAACGTTGTCCTCACGCTCTTCTGTCGTCGAGCTTGCGAGGCTGCGACGCTCACGAGAAAGAACGAGAGAGCCCGGACTCGAGCAGCGCTCGGACGTTGTCGACAAAGTCGGCCTTCCCAAGTTCGTCTCGGGCGACACCTGCAGCGCGCTCGCCCGCTCGACCAGGTTGCAACGCATTGACTCTCGCTTCCGAGCAAGCTGTCGAGCGCAGAGAGCTCGTCGCCTCGAGCTGTGCCGACACCGCACCGCACGCACCCCTTGTCCGCGTTCGACTTTGCTCTGAGCCACGACGCGCGCTCGCGAGCGCGCTTGAGGAGGGTCCGACAGGCACAGTGAGCACGCCGGTAAGCTGTGCATGGTCATGACGATCGTACCGTCAGCGAAAGAACCACGAGCGCAGCGCTCGAGCCAGTCGACGAAGTGAAGTTCGCCTTCCCAAGCTCGTCTCGTTCGACAGCGCGCTCGCCCCGCTCGAGCATGGATCGGCTCTCAAACCCTCGCATTCGAGCAACGTGTCGAGAGAGCGAGCTTCCGCAGCGGTGCTCGGACAGCTGGGCGGCAGAGCAGCCAACGCTCAGACCTCTCAAACCTTGGACTCGCTCTCGCAAAGCTCGCTCGACAGAGGCAGGAAGGCGCAAGAGACGACAAGACTGCTCGAGTTGCGAAGATTAAGACTGCTAGAAAAGGTGAGAGATAGTGCTACAGCGGCGAAAGAGCCGGCTAGACGACGAGAAACTCCTCCGTGCCCGCCTCGCTCGCGACGTCGTCGGCCTCGTGCTCCTCGACCGCCTCCTTGCGCACGGCGCGCTCCTCCTCCTTTGCCGAGACGTCCGAAGTGCGGGGCTCGGCGGTGGCCGGCGAGCTGCGCTTGAGCCGGAGCGTCGCCTCGACGTCGATCTCCTCGTCGACGCCGTCCTCGAGCGGCTCAGTCGCGACGGGCGCGGACGAGGGCGCCTTGGCCGGCGCCTGCCCGTCCTGGGCGCCGGACTCGACAGCTTCTGCGGCGGCAGGAGGCGCCGAAATCGCCTCAGCGGGCGAGCCCGACGCGCCGCTCGTCGGCGTCGAAGCCGACGCCGCCTTCTCGGCCTCCTCCTCGGCGTCGATGCGGTCGGCGAGGTCCTTGGCGCGCCGCAGCATCTCGGCGACGTACCGATCGACGGCCGACGACGTGTCGGACGCGAGAGAGGTGGTCGAGGCGCGAGAACAAGGGCGAGAGGTGGTCGGGTTGGGGTCGGCGGTGCCGGTCGGGAGGGACGCGAGCGATTCGGCGGTCAGGCGGATCGACTGGTCGACAGGAGCGTCGACGGGTGCCAGGGTCGAGTTGTCGCGCGTCGGGGAAGAAGAGGAAGAGGCGGTGGCGGGCTCGACCGTGGCGGATTCAGGCTCGGCGACGGCGGTGTCGGCGGAACGTGCAGGAGCTGTGAGACGCAGAGTGTCAGGACGCGAACGAGAGGACACAACGAGAGAAGTGAGAGAGGGCGCACCTGCTGCAGCCGTAGAGTCGTCGTGCGCGCGCTCGGACCCCTCGCCCGCCTCGCTCGCCGCCTGCTGGCTCTGGCGCTCCCACTCGTGTTCCTTGAGCTCGTCGAGCTTGGCGAGCTCGACCTCGACGCGCTTGACGAGCGCCTTGCGCGCCTGCTTGATGACCTTGTCGCCGCCGGACGACACGGCGTCGACCTTGCTCAGGAGCGACACGAGAAAGTCCTCGTGCCCGAGGAAAGCGGCATTCGGCTTGCCGAACGCGAGAGGCGGCGTCGACGAGGTCGAAGTGGGAGAGGGCGGCGACTGGAAGGTGAGGGCCGAGGGCGAGGTGAAGGACGAGAGGCGCGAGTCGAACTCGGTCGAGAGGGCGTTCAGGGTATCGAGGGCGGCCTGACGGGCGGCGTCACGCTCGAAGCGCTTCTGGAGGGCCTCGACGGCCGGGTCGGGGAGGGCGGGCTCGGCGTGGGCGGCGGACGAGGGCGCTGGGGACGAGGACGAGGCGGCCTCGTTGCCGACGACGGGAGCGGGCGGGGCCACGGCCTGCTGCTCCGGCTCGTCGTGCGCCGCCGAGTTGGCGAGGTCGAGGAACAGCTGGACGAGCGACTGCGGAAAGTCGCTCTGGCGGGCGCGCTGCTGCCGCCTCGCCTCGACGATGCGACGGCGCTGGTCCTGCTCGGCCTCGACGCGGCGGCGGTGCTGCTCGCGGGCGACGAAGGCAGCGCGACGCTGAGCCGCCTCGACAACAGCCTGGCGGTACAGGGCGGCGTCGCGCTCCTCCTGGGCGCGGCGGGCGAGGGCGGCGCGGTGCTCGAGCGCCTGCTGGAGGTGGCGACGGCGCTCGACTTCTTGCTGAACAGCGCGCTCGAACGCCTCCTCGCGGTGACGACGCTCCTGCTCCTCGACGTAGGCGGCGAGCGCGGCCTGGCGAGCGGCGGCCTCGGCGCGGCGGCGCTGCTGCTCGTGCTGCTGCGTGAGGAACGCGAGGCGCTCGAGCTCGCGCTCGTACTGGGTGCGCGCGGTCGTGGTCGACGTCGAGTGGACGGACGGCCGAGGGTGGTGGATCGGGAAGGCGAACATGGCGGCGAAGTGGGCGAGCTGGCGGTCGAGTTGGGTGAGGAGAAGGGGGAGGGAGGGAGGAGAGGGAAGGCGAATGGGCGGACTGGACGAGGGCGAGGTGCTGACCGACCGTGGAGGTGGACGAGCGCGCCTCGTAAGCGCCGCGCTCGTTGTCGGCGGTGCTCGTAAGCCCTCCGACGCACTCGAAGCTGCTCGAACCCTCCTCGAACGCCGAGGCCCGGGCCTCGTGCCACACGCCTCGCGGAACCCGCCGACTGGACGCAACGCGTAGAGCGTACTACATCAGCCCTGCACCAGCTCTCGCAGCCCGTCTCGAGGCGGAGGAGGAGAGCGAAGCCGGGTGGAACAAGCGGCCTCATCTCGCTCCCTCTCGCTCGCCACCGCACAGGCGAAGACGTGGACCGGGTGCTGGCATTGCGCGTGCTGGGGCGGACAGTGGCAGCGAGTGCCCGGCTGGCCTGGGCGGGACAGGCGGCTCGGTCGTCGAAAGAGGTCCGCTCGCTTTGAGCTCCCCTCTCGCGCTCTCTTGCGAACGGTCTTGCTCGAGATGAAATGCCCAAAGGCTCGTTACATAACAGTGCAGTCGAGAGTCACCTTGCCCTCCCTCCTGCGCTTCTCCCTCTCCCGCTCCCTGGCCTGCTTCGCCGCCTCGGTCCTCCTCTCCTCGTCCTCGATCAGCTGCGCCACCTCGCGCGACGCCCTGCTCTTGCCCTTGGCCGTACGGTCGGTCGTCGCCTTGACGGGCGCAGCCGACGCTACGAGCTTGGGCTTAGGCGCGGGCGCGGGCCAGGGCGCGGTCGCGGTCGAGGCTGCAGGCTTGGCTGGCGCAGCTTTGGGCGTGGACGCAGGCTTGGGCGCCGGTGCGGGTGCGGGTGCGGGTGCGGATGCAGACGCCGGTGCAGGTGCGGGCGCGGGTGCGGATGCAGGCGCCGGTGCGGGCGCAGATGTTGGCGCGGGCTCGACAGCGGCAGCGGCGGCGGGCTCGATGACCTGCTTGTCGCCCGGACGACGATCCTCGGCGCCGAGTGCGGCTTCTCCGAGCTTGTGGGGGCGGCCCTGTGTGCAACGGCGGCGTCAGAACGGGGACTCGAAGAGGGGGAAATAGCAAGGGACGCACAAGGGCTTGCTCCTCGGCGACGATGTACTGCTCGACCCGGCTGCCCGCGAGATGCTTCGACGCCTGCGAGGTTCGGTGCGAGTGGTCAGAGCGCTGACGACGAGGCGCGAGAGGCAAAGGAGAAGAAAGAAGGGAGAGGACGAGCGACGCACGACGATCCTCGGAGCCCGTTCTCCCGCCGCGACACCGCTCAGGAGGAGCGTGAGCGCCTTGATGCCCTCCTCACCCTTGCCGCCCTTGGCGCCCCGGCCGTCCTGCCATACGCCGAGGCCATTGCTCGCCTCCTCCAGCCACGCGTTGATGACCTTGGTCGTCTCGTCCCGGCTCGGCGGCGGGTCCATGGCCGCAAGCCCGAGCGGGTAGTACCGTCCGGCGACGGCCTGGCTGACGAGCACGTCCGTCTCGAGCGCCGACCCGGGCTCGGTGGCGGCGGGAGCGAGGAGGCGCCACGTGTGGAAGGGGAACGGAAGAGGGAGGGTGTCGACGATGGCGCGAGGCAGGGCCTGGAGCGACTCGTCGCGAGGAGGCTCGAGCGCGGCGTCGCGCTCGCCCGGGACGGGCTTGTGCTCAAAGACGTGCCCTCGTGCGACGAGAGGCGAGCCCTTGCCGCCGCGATACAGCGCCGAGACGCGCATGACGAGCGTGAGGGGCAGAAGGCGGGCGCTCGCGTCGTGCGGCGTGCGCGAGGCGACGATGGACGGGTCGAGCTCTGCGTACGGGCATAGGCGGACGTAGTCGCCGACGTGAATGAGCTCGGGGCCGTAGATGACGTGCGAGTGCGACAGGTAACGCGACTCGGGCCCTTTGCGCTCGAGAGCGGCGAGCGAGGTTGGCGGGACCGTCGGCTTGCTCGCGAGGTGGGCGCCGGTGACGAGGGTCGGGATCCTGCACGCGAGCGTCAGAGTGTCAGTACGCGAGAAAGGAAGGAGAAAAAGAGAGAGAGAGAGAGAGGACGCACGGGCGGATCTGGATGGCGGCGTACGCCTTGCCGATGCGCTGCGCCTTCCTGAACGCGTTGGCGACGCCGAGCCAGCCCTCGGCCTGGATCTCGGCCCACCGCTTCTTCTCCTGCCCGGCTCGGAGCCCATCGTCGACGAGCGGGTTCTGGTCGAGCCACGCCGTGTTGGACGGGACGTAGCCGGTCCAGGGCGTCACGTTCTCGCTGCGGACGCCCTCGAGCACGTCCTGCTGCGACATGCCGAGTAGCTCGACGCGGTACACCTCGTCCCTCGGGACGCCGGATGCGGCGGGCGTGACGACGCGCGAGCGGACGATGCCGGGCCAGCGCGAGAGCTGCGCCGTCTCGGGGGCGCCGGACGGCGGCGGGCCGAGCGGAACGCGCACCCACACGAGCTCGCCGACGCGCGACAGCGTCGGGTGCGCGAGGTCCTCGGCGACCTGAGCGGGCGAGACGAGCGACGACGGGACGACGACGTCCTTGCCGGCCGGCGCCATGTTCTCGCCAAACTCGTCGACGACGCCCGCGTCCTTGACGACCGACGTGAGCGCCTGGACCCGCGCCTCCTGCTGCATGCCCGACAGGAGCCGCTCGGACGGCTTGGTCCTGCGCCCGGACGACGTGCGCGCGCCGACGCGCGAGTAGTCGGTCGACGTGAACGACGGCTCCTCGTAGTCCGACTCCTCGCCCGCCGCGCCCTCGCCGTAGTCGTCGCCGTCCTCGCCGCTCGCCGCAAAGCGCTTGCGGGCGCCGGCGGCGCTCTTGCGCACCTTGCGCGCCGGCCGCTTGTCGGGCGAGTCGCCGCTCGCGGCGACGCTGCCCTCGCGCTCGGTGCCCGTCCCGGTCGACGCGCCGTCGTCGTCGCCGCCGGCTGCTGTAGTAGCGGCGGCGGTGCTGCCCTCGGGCTCGCCGGTGTCGGCGCGCGACGCGTAGCCGGCGATCTCGGCGTACTCGCCAGTGCGCTTGCGCTTGCGCGGCGCCATGCGCAGCGGCGCGCCGATGTCGGCCATGGACGACGCCGACGCCTTGGGCTGCGTCACCTTGCAACCGTCGCAGTGGCACGTGCTGCGCGCGCCAAAGACCTGGTTGCTGATGTGCTTGCCGAGCGACAGGGCCGAGCGGATCTTCTTGCTGTTGTGGCCTGCGGGGTGGCGGGGCAGAGAATCGTCAGGAGGGGACAGATAGGAGAACAGAGAGAGAGGAGAAGGACGCACCGAAGATGAAGCGGTCGAGACGGAGCTTGCTCTTGCCGGCGCCGCCGGAGGAACCAGCCGGCGCGTCCTTGGGGTGCGTGATCTGCTGGAACAGGCCGTAGCCGGTCGGGAGCTCGTCGAGGATCCAGTGCTGGTGCGTCTCTGTGTGCGCCATGCCGATTCAAATCAGCTGGGCCCGCTCGAGGAGGGTTGTCCTGGGCGGAGCGGGGCTGCGAGAGGAGAGGGCGAGGACGCACCGTCCATGAGCCCGAGGTCCTTTGCGATCACCTCGGCCGCCGTCCTCCTCCACTGCTGCTGCTTGTCGTTGTCCTGCCCGAGCAGGCTCATGTCGGGGCCTTGCTCGGGCCAGCGCGCCTCGTCGCCGTCGCCGAACCCGCGCGTGATGACGAGGACGTGCGGCTCGTCGCGGTGGTTGGTCGCGGCGTAGCGCACAGTGTAGCTGCCGGGGACAGGCGAGTGCACGACCATGGTAGGCCGGCGGGACGAGGTCGAGGCGGGTGATGAGGGGGCGAGGAGATGAGGGGAGGGAGGGGCTCAAGGCGGGCGTCGCAGGGCGAGTCGGCGGCTCGCGGAGGTGCTGTAGGCGTGGGTGAGGCGGTGCGAGGTGTCGCTCAAGCCTCAGCAGTTGACGCGAGCAGGTCGCACTCGCAGCGGGGAGAACGAGAGCAAGTCGCGCTCGCGGAAAGGTTCAGGCTCTCTCGTTGACGTTCTCTGCGCCGGAACCAGCTATACGGGCGACCACAAGGCAGTCTCGAAAGGTTGCACGAGCCCAGCTACGCGCCCGAGTTGTCCATCTCCTGCAGCAACGCCTCGAGCTGCGCCGCAATCACCTTGTTCGGCGCCCTCGACCGCAAGTCCCTGCGCGCGCATCGACGGCGAGTATGTCAGTGCCCTGATGCTGCCGAGAAAAGAGAGAGCGAGCGCGACGCACACGAGCCTGCCCCTCTCGCTCCTCCTGACGCACTCCCGCCCCGCGCTCTCCCACTCGCCCGCCCGCACGTACAGCTCGACGCGCTCGCGCGCCTCGCACCGGTCGACGTACCGCACGGCCTGGCGGTGCGCGCCGGCGCGGATGAGCTCGAGCACGAACGGCTCGTACCCGATCGGCGACTTTTTCGAGCGCGCGAACGCGTCGAGCGCGTCCCACGACCGCAGCGAGATGAGGGCGCGCAGCTTGAGGTACCAGTATCTGCACGCCGACAAGGGCAGCTACCATGTCAGTCCTGCTCGTGGGAAACGAGAGAAGAGGACGAGGAAGGTGAACGTGGCGGCGCACCTCTTGTCGGGCACCTTGAACTCGGCCCGCAGCTTGTCGGCGCGCTTGTCCATGCCGGCGAGGAGGCACTGCCGGAGCGTCTCGCTAAGGCTCAGGCCGACGAACGTCTTGACGGTGGCGGGCGACGAGCTCGAGGCGACGGGCGCGTCTTGCTCGAGCGACTCTTGCGCGACGAGGAGACGCACGTGGTCGTCGACCATCTGCAGGGAGGGGCGCCAGTCAGGCTCGTGACGACGCAAGGGACCGAGAGGGCGAGAGAGAGGGAGAGCGGGGGCGCACCTTGGCCTCGAACGCTCGCTCCTTGTCCTCGGCAAAGCTCTTCTGCGCCGCCCTCACGAGCGCCACCTTCTCGCCAAAGTCCTGCAGGGCGCGAACACGCACGAGAGGTCAGGCTCGGCGTTCTTCATCGACAGCCCGCACGCTTTCCTTCATCAAGGACGGCGACGAGAGGCACGAGAAGAGGAAGTGGACCGAGCGGCGCACCTTCTCCCTCCCCGCCTCGAGCAGCCTCTCGACGCCCATCTCGACCCGGCGGTCGTCGAGGTACCACCAGTCGCGCACGAGCGCAGCCCACTGCGGGTCGCCCGTCGCGCGCGCGAGCACCGGGAGGAGCCGGAGCGCGTCGCCGTCCTTGCGCGGGCCGGCGTTCGGGTCGGCGGCGGGCGTGCGAGAACGGGACGAGGTAGATGAGGGAGGGGCAAGGGCGGTCGGGAGAGGTGAAGGTGGAAGCCGAGAGAGGAGGGTGAAGAGGTCGCCCGGGGCGAGGGACCGCCGCAGAGTGAGCAGCACCTCGAACACTGCGTCCACGCGTTAAACCAGCATCAGTCACGCGTCCCGCACTGTGTGCGGCACGAAAGAGAGAGAGGGAGAGAGCGGCGCGACGCACCCAGCTCTGCGTCCCCGCTCAGGACCGCCTTCCTGCCCGCCTCCTCTCCCTCGCCCATGCGCAACAGGAGCCCGACCTGGCGCGCCGCGCGCGGCTCGCGGTCGAGAAGCAGTTTGGCGAGCGGCGTGCGGCCGAGGCGGAACGCGACGAGGGCGAGGTCGGCGCTCGAGAGCGGGGTGGCGATCGGGGTCGGGCCTGCAGCGGCGGCGGCGGTCATGGTGGCGGCGCCCGGCGTGGCCGACGACGAGGACGGTGGCGAGGCAGGAGCCGAGGTCGACAGCGACTCGAGCTTGTCGACGATGGCGGCGCACACGTCCTCGTCGCTCGTCAAGCCCTGGGCGCCCTTGGCGTTGGCGGCCGCCGTGCCCGGCGCCGACGCCGCGATGAGCTGTGCGGCCCAATGCTTGACGACCGGGTTGGGCGACAGGCCGAGGAAAGACGAGATGCGGAGCGCGAGGAGGTGCGCGTTGAGGGCGACGAGCTGGCTAATGAGAATCGAGGGCGGGCGCGAGTGGAACCTGCAGCGATGCCGAGGGGCACGAGGCGGTCGTCAGTAGGGGCGCCGAGGGAGAGAGGGAGAGAGTTGAGGAGGAGGGGAGAGGAAGAGAGAGAGAGAGAGAGGCGGACGCACTGCTCCCAGGTGAGCGGCAGGCCGACCTTGTGCGACCGAACGGCGTTGAGGACGCGCAGGACCTGGGTCGTGTGCACGAAGTGCGACGGGTCGTACACGTCGAGGAACGACTTGCCGAACGCTGCGGCCTGCGGTGCGCGAGGGAGGGGAAGGGGGAGGGGGAAGAGGTACGTACGGGTACGAGGCGAGGTCAATATCGGCACCGTCGACTTGCAGCCTCGAGCGCTCGAGCACGACACCCGTGCGCACGAGGCACGGATCGAGAGCGACGACATCGTGGGACGCACCTTGAGCAGCCTCTTCTGCTCGCCCTCATCCCACTCGCTCCCGGCCGCGTCCAAGCACCCCTCGACCGCCTCCCTGAGCTCCCTCCCGCGCCCAATCCCCCTCACGTACTCGTCGGCCCTCGGGCTGCGGCGCTCGTAGAACTCGCGCGCGGCCTCGTACAGGAGCGCGGCGGGCGAGGTCGAGCCGGGGAGGAAGATTGACTGGGACGACGAGGGGACGAGCGACAGGATTGACGACGACGACGACGACAGGAGGCGTGTGCTGTCGGGCTCGGACAGGAGCGTGACCGTGTCGGGGTAGAACCACCTGGGAGTGCGAGGGAGAGAGAGTGGGTCAGTCGACGGGCCCGAGTCGAGGGGAGACGGGAATGGAGAGGCGGCCCAGGGACGCACTTGAGCGACTCGCCGAACGGGCCCATGAGGACCACTGTCCTCTCCCACGCGAGCACGACCGCGTTGTCGCCGCACCACTCGCACTGGGCCGGCGGGCCCTTCTCGCCCTCGCTCACGCCCGAGTCGAGCACCGACTCGCTCAGGGACCGCGCAAAGTCGCTCGACGTGACCCACAGGGTGGGCGACGCGCCGGACGAAGAGGACGAGGCGCGCTGGACGAGGGCGAGGAACCGGCCCGAGGGCGAGGGCGTGATCGACAGGAAGGGCCCACGCGTGACGTGCTGTGTTGGGAGCAGCTCGAGCAGCCGTCAGTACCTGCTGCGCAAGGGCAACGCGAGAGTACGGCAAAGAGAACGTCGCCGACGCACCTGGTCGACGCACTCGATCTCGTCGAGGCGGTACACGGTCTCGCCCGCACCGACGAGCACCTCGACGTGCCGGCTGGCGCTCGACTCGGCGGGCACGACGGCCCAACAGTCGACGTGCTGCGCGCCCTCGAGGCCCGTCGACGAGAGAAAGACGGCCTTGCCGCCGCCGCCGCTCGAGCCCGAGCCGTCTGGGTCTGCGCCGCCGGGCGCACGCCGCTTGCCCTTGGCTCCCGCCCCGCCTCCCGGCCCGTCTGCTTCCGCTCCTGCTGCCGAGTCGCCGCCGAGCGCGACCGAGCGGGCGCCGAGGCCACGGACGTCGCAGAACGAGCCGTCGCGGAAGCGGACGACGACGCCGCCCGGGTAGCCCCTCGCGTCGAGTACGCCGCCGAGGTCGTCTGCGCGCGGGAGGGCGTGCTGAGAGAAGGAGGGGGCGAGGGTCGGGTGGGCCGAGAGGGCGTAGAGGCGGTACTGGCCCGAGGCGGTGACGAGGAGGAGCGAGGTCGGGGTCGGGAGCGAGAGGTGGACGATGGGCGAGGGGGGCGAGTCCCACTACGGGCAGCGTACGACAGAGTGAGTCTCAGAGTCAGGGAGTACGCTCAAAAGAGAGAGAGAGAGGGGGGGGGGACGGACGGTGATGTGCTGGACGAGGCGGCCCGAGTGGGTGAAGACGGACACGCGGTTCAGGTTTGAGCGCGAGTCGTACCGGTCGACGGGGACAGGTTTCGAGGTGTCGCGGATGACGGCGATGGGCCCGGCGTTGTGCGAGTGGGCGACGCGGTGGTCTGCGAGGTCGAGGTTGGCGAGGGGCGAGTCGTCGAGCGAGTAGGCCTGGGTGAGGCGGTAGAAGGTGTCGTGGAGGGGTTGCCAGTTGGCAGTGGTCGAGCTGACCATGTCTGCGCACAGTCTGTGTGGCGGTTGAGCGAGAGGGAGACAGAGGCGATGAGGGCGACGAGGTGGGGGACGAGCGGGCGGTCCCTGGCTCTGCTCGCTCCATCTACCAGGCTGTGGCCACCACCAGCACCACAGAGCTACCCTCACGACCCACCCACACGCGCCCACCCTCTCGCCGCACCTCGTCCTCACCCTCCCCTCCCTCCTCGTCGCGTCTTCATCGCCCACGCGACTCTCTCGTCCACCTCGCACCCGGCCTCCACAGACTCGCCTGCCCGAGAGCCCCCTCCACCCCTGGACGCGCCTCCAGCCATGCCGAGCCCACGACCACCCTCCCTCGCCGCCTTCGTCGCCCTCGTCCTCGTCGCCCTGGCACCTCTCGCCAGCGCCGTCAAGTTCTCGCTCACGGCCCACCACAACCCGACCCCGAAATGCCTGTGGAACTACGCCATGACCGACACCCTCGTCGTCATCTCGGTCTCAGCCCCGCTCGCCGGCAACAACCTGCAGCGCCTCGACATGGAGGTCATTGACGGCTCCGCCTCGCGCAACACGTACCAGGCCAAAAAGGGCCTCAAGGGCGAGACCCGCATGGCCATCACGACCCACGCCGACGCCGACCTCGGCGTCTGCTTCCGCAACGTCCTCGACCCCTCGGTCCCCGAGCACCAGGCCGCAAAGTACGAGCGCCTCGTCGACCTCGACGTCGACATTGGCGCAGACGCCGTCGACTACAACGCCATCGCCAAGCAAGAGTCGCTCTCCGGACTCGAGGTCGAGATGCGCAAGCTCGAGGGCGTCGTAAAGGAGATCGTCGACGAGCTCAACTACCTCAAGCGCCGCGAGGCCCGCATGCGCGACACCAACGGTCCATCCCTCGTCTCTCTCCCTCTCTCGCGCAGAACGACCGACTGACTCCCTTGTCCCACGCCCGCAGAGTCGACCAACGACCGCGTGACCAAGTTCTTCTACCTCACGTTCTCGACCCTCGTCCTCCTCGGCGTGTGGCAGGTCATCCACCTGCGGTCCTACTTCAAGAAGAGTGCGTCGAGCTTCGTTCTCTCTGTCTCTGCGCCTTGCTGGGCGCGAGCTGGCGCCTCGGGCGGCTTCGCGGGCCGAGCATGGTCGGCTAGCGCGGGGAAACGACGCTGACAGCACCCTCTCTCGGCGTTCGCAGAGCACCTCATCGACTGAGCTGGCCTCGTCTCGTTCGTGACGGCGTGGGAGGGAGAACGGCGCGGCGGCCCGGAGGGCGCGAGCCGAGTAGAGCGCGAGGGAGGGGGAGCCAGATACCCGCACGGTCGAGCGCAGGCGAGGAACGTGGTCGCAATCGCATCGGTGCATCTCTCGGTCTTGCTGTGTGTCGCTGTCGACTGTCGCCCGAGAGCTGAGTGAACCATGGCGCGAGAAACCGGCTCAAGCCTCGGGTGACCGGTACCATCTCTCGCCAGCTTCAGAGCCTCGACCGCCCGCACGCTTGCCTGGCACGAGCTGCTACAGCGCACACCGTACCTCTCGCAACACGCCACCTGCACCCGCAAGCCCACACGCCTTCACCCGCCGCCGCCAAGTCGAGCCAGCAGCTCGTCACCGCCTGATCAACGCTCTCGTCCTCCAGCAACTCGTGAGTCGCGCTCTTTCTCGCAGTCGGTCTCTTGGGATACCTCTGTCCGAAGCAGGAGCGCACAGGAGCGCAGGGCAGCGGGTCGTCGAGGACGGCGAGCAGGGTCGGCCGAGGTGGGGGGACCAGCTCATGCACAGGCTCGCGCAGCGCTCTCTGGGTACTGTGAGCTGCACGAGGAGCTCGGTGGAGCGTCTCACAGCAGATCTGCCCGCCGCATAGCCTGCGCGAGGAGAAGGTGGACGAGTGTCCCTCCTCGCCGGCCCTCTCCAACCCGGCCAAACCGCGGCGAGCACCTTGCAGGGCACAGATCCGCCTACTGACCTCCCATTCGTCCCCTGCAATTCCTCAGCGATGCCTCCCCGCTTCTGGTCCTCGCCCTACAAGAACTCGCTCCTCACGCCCGCAAAGGCGCGCCGCTCTCTCCCTCTCGTCCCTCTCCCTCCGAGTCGTGCGGTCCAGAACGAGGATACTGACCCAAAGTCGTCGCCCACAGCGCGAAGCGTGGTACTCGGAGCTCCCGACGGCCTCGGCGCCCGCGAGCGACTCGTCCGACCCGGTCGCGGCCGCCGGGGAGTATTTCCTCGCGCAGGGCTCGGCGGGCGGTGCGTCCCTCGCGTTCCCTCGTCTCTCCCTCTCACGCGCATGAGAGGAGACTGACGTGAGCGTCGCGATCCGACACACACAGGCTCGCTCGTCGCCGTCCCGTGGAGCGAGACGGGCAAGCACGGCGGCCAGGCGCGCACCGTGCAGACGGGCCTCGGGCGCGTCGGCGCGTTCGCGGCCGATCCGTGGGGGGACCTGCTCGTCGCTGCGGGCGATGGAGGACAGGTGCGTCGCTGCTCGAGGGCTCTCCGCGTCTCTCGCCGAACCTCCTCGTCCAGGTCTCGTCCGAACAGCCGACGTACTTCTCCCTGCGCTCCGTACACAGATCAATGTTGTCGCCCTCCCTTCTCTCGACGAGCTCGCGCCGGGCCGACCGTTCGCCCCCTCGCCTCTCGTCACCCTCCGCACCCCGTCCGCCAAGCCGATCGACTCGCTCTCGTTCCACCCGCTCGTGGTGTCTCTCTTCCTCGCCACCTCGGCCACGTCGCTCTCGATCTTTGACGCGGCGTCGGGCGCGAGCGAGGCGGCGTACGGCGTCGAGATGCCCGGGCCGGCGTGGTGCGCGGCGTGGAGCGCCGACGGACGGTTGGTCAGTGCGGGCGGCAAGGACGGCAAGTTGAGGTTGTGGGACGTTCGTCAGGGTGGAGGACAAGCCGTCTTTGTGCGTCTCTCGCTCTCGCCTCTTTCGCCTCTCGACCGCACGGGCTTCCTGACGAACCGGTCCGTGCGCCGACGATGCAGGAACTCGCCTCGCACGCCGGCATCAAGCCCTCGCGCCACGTCCACCTGTCGCACCTGTCGCACCCGGCCCTGTTCAGCACGGGCTTTTCGCGCACGCGCGACCGCGAGTTCTCGGTCGTCGACCTGCGCTCGCCCGGGGGCGCCCCGCTCAAGACGCAGCGCCTCGACAGCGGGACGGGCCTCGTCTCGCCGCTCCTCGACGCCGAGCGCGGCATCGTGTACCTCGCCGGGCGCGGCGACCAGACGCTGCGCTGGGTCGAGGTGCCCTCCTCGGCCGGGCAGGGCGCGCCGTACAACGAGGGCGCGTGCGCCTTGCCGTTCCCGGCCCAGGGCGCCGCGCTCGCCCCGCCGCACGAGCTGGAGCTCATGCGCGCCGAGATCGCGCGCGTCGTCGTGCTCGGCGCAGGGGGCGAGGTCGTGCCCGTCCGCGTCGACGTGCCGAGGAGGCAGTACCTCGACTTCCACCGCGAGCTGTACCCGCCTGTCGCCGCAGGAGGTGCGTCCTCTTTCTCTCGTCCCTCCTTCTCTTCCTTTCTCGGACTGGACGTCGAAAACCCTGTACTGACGACCCGAGTGCTCGCGCGCAGTGCCCGCTCGGACCGCCGCCGAATGGCGCGCCGCCTCGCCCGACGACGTCGCCTTCCTCGACAAGCGCCAGCTCGACCCGAACGTCGCGTGGCCGACCCGCTCGCCGTCGAGTCGCACCGCGCCTGGCACGTCGTCGGCCTCGGTACCGCCTCCTGCGCCCGCACCTGCGCCAGCATCGCCTGCCGCCGCACCTGCCGCCGCACCTGCCGCCGCACCTGCCGCCGCGCCGGTTTCCTCGTCCGCCGCGCAAGCTCCGTCGCCTCTTCCCGTCGGGCAACAGTCGGCGAGCGCGACACCGGCGCCGGCGCCTCAAGCCGCATCGTCTGCCTCGACCTCGCCCGCACCTTCCCCTGCGCCGACCCCGACGACCAGCGCGCGCCCCGCGTTCGGCGCCAAGAAGCCCGAGCCCGCACCTACGCCGGCTGCGACGGCCGCACCTGCCCCTGCCGCCGTCGCCGCCCCGCCGACGGCGCAGCTCTCGAGCCTCTCGCTCGGCGGCGGCGCCTCGTCGCCCGCTGCGGCATCGACTCGCCCTACGCCTACCACTTCGCCATCGCCTACCTCTGCGCCTGCATCCGCATCCGTCAAGCCGTCGAGCCAGGCGCCAACGCTCGGCGGCGCGACCGCGCCCGGCGCGCCGTTCAACCCGGGCTGGTCGCGCAAGTTCCTCACGGGCAAGACGCCGCTCAAGCCCGACTTTTTCGACGTGCACGACCTGTCGACGACGATGAGCGCCGACGTGGCGCTGCTCAAGGTGCGTCTCGCCCTCTCCCTCCTCTTCCCCACTCCTCGTCCGGCCACTGACGCTCGAGCCTCTTCCTCCTTATTCGACCGCCCGCAGGCCTCGACCTCGTACTTCTTCTACCCGCTCTCGGGCCCGGGCGGCCGTCTCGCGTACCACCCGCTCTCGCGCCCGGGCCGGCTTCCCGTCCACCCCTCGTGCGTCGCCGTCGGCGGCACCGTCGTCGAGTTCTGCGTCGACCCGTTCGACCCGAGGAGGGTGTGCGTCGCGGGCGAGGACGGCGCTGTGAGGGTGTTTGAGCTGCCGCTCGAGGACGGGTGGAAGGAGGGCGAGACGAGGAGCGAGGCGAGCGTGGTTCTCAACGGTGCGTCGACGGTCTCTCTCTCTCTGCGAGGCCTCACGAGTCGTGAGCCAGTACTGATTCAGTGACCGGTCGTGGCACAGACGCCAAGATGGAGCGCGTCAGCGAGCTCCTGCCGCACCCGGCGGCCAAGGACCTCCTCCTCACCATCTCGGACGACCGCGGCAACCCGACCGCTCGCCTGTGGGACATGTCGAAGGGCGACAAGCTGCTCGAGCTGGCCCTGCCCAAAGGAGGGGTGCGTCCGCCTCTCTCTTTGCCTCGTTCGCGCCTGCCGCGACCGCAGAACCTGACTCTCTTTCGACGCAGATCTCGTCCGCCGCGTGGTCGCCGTCCGGCGCTCGCCTCGCGTTTGCGACCAAGAAGAAGGAGCTCTACGTCCTCGACCCTCGCGACTCGACCAACTCGCTCGTGAGCGCGCCCGGGCACGAGTCGATCCGGCCTTCTCGCCTCGCGTGGGCGTCCGAGGAGGACATCGTCTCGAGCGGCTTCAACCGCGCCGCCTCGCGCGAGCTCATCCTGTTCCACCTGTCGTCGTCGGCCAACACGCTCGTCAAGCTCGGCGCGACCCAGCTCGACGTGTCGCCGGCGCCCCTGTTCCCGTTCGTCGACCTCGACACGCGCATTCTCCTCCTTCACTCGCGAGGCGACCGGTCCTGCCTCGCCTACACGGTCAACCTCGCGCCCAAGGACGCCTACGACGCGTTCGACAAGCTGCCCTCGTTCGAGGCCGGCGGGCTCCAGAGCGGGTGGGCGTTCCTCCCCAAGGCGAGGGGGGACGTGCGCAAGGTCGAGATCGTCAAGGGCCTGCGCCTCACGCCGAGCACGATCGAGGTCGTCGCCTTTACTGTGCCTCGCGCAAAGGTGCGTCGCCCCCTTTCGCCTTCCTCGTCCGTCCCGCCATCCTCCTCGAGGAGGGTCGCATTGACTCGAGGCCCGATTCGTCGCACAGGCCGACTTCTTCCAGAACGACGTCTTCATCCCGACGCGCAACGTCGAGAAGCCGAGCATGGCTGCCACCGAGTACCTCGCCGGCGAGAACCGGCCGCTTGAGATCATCGACTTGAGGCCGGCCGGCATGGAGCTTTGTGGGTCTCGCTCTCATTCTCCTGCCCTCAAGTCCTGCACAAGCCGGACCTTGAGGTCTTGGACGAGAGGAACAGCCTGACCCACTTCCCTGTCCGCAGTGTCGAACGCGCCGGCGCCGGTCAAGAACGTCAGCACCAGGTCCAAGGTCCGTCTCGGATTTTCTTTCTCTCTCTCTCTCTCCCGCTCTGAGCCCTGGCTCACTCGCACTGACGCCTCTCGTACCATATACCTACAGATCAAGCAGGACGGTCTCACCGACTCGCAGCGAGAGAAGCAGCACCTCGACTCGCTCTTCGAGGTGCGCTGCCGCCGTTTCTTTCTTCCTCGCCCTCTCCTCGCGCAGTGACCTGACCAACTTCTCTCGCACCCATCTCTCGCAGTCCGCCAAAGCCGACGAGGACAGCGAGGAGGACGAGGCGGTGCAGCCGGTGCGGGCGAGTCACCGGATCGAGCAGGACGACGACGAGTGGTGAATCTAGACGAGGTGAAAATGAGGCTACAGGTTGCAGGCTGCTATGCGACGGACAGAGAGTGACAACAAGAGAGATGCGAGAGTACAATAGGGGAGCTAGACCTGAGCGCGACCGAGAGGGTGGTACAGCGAGAAGTCGCCCTCGGCCTCCTCGGGAAGGGCATCGTCGCCAAAGTCGTCCTCGTCCTCGTCGTCCTTCTTGGCTGCCGCCTTCTTGGCCCGACGCACGACAAGCTTCTTGCTGCTGCTGCTGCTACGAAGGAATGACGGGCGAGAGGCGCGCGGCGAGTGAACGTCGACGCGAGGCATGAGCTCAGCGTCGTCGTCGAAGCGCACGCTCGTGCGTCGCCTCGGGACGTCCTCCTCGCTCGCCGTGGCCGTCGTCGACGTCGTCGCGACAGGCTTGGGCCGGCTGCGCGCCGCACCTGCCGCCGCAGCGATGGCCGCCGCGTCGCCCGTCATGCCCATGCGCTCGAGCCGCGCCTTCTGCTGCGACTCGCGCCACAGCTTCGACACCTCGGCCGGGCTCGACGCCGTCTGCGCGACGAGGAACTTGGTGTCGCCGACGCGATGCTGCTCGCCGACGATGTCGAGCTTGTCGAGGCCGCTCGGGAGCGGGAGGAGGGCGAGGTCGGGCTCGTGGGCGGCCATGGGGCGGCCGTCGGCAAACAGGGAGCCGCCCGAGGTGCGCGCGAGCGAGTCGTTGATGTCGAGCGACTCGCCGAACGGGATCGAGTCCGGGTTCGAAGGCGTGAGGCACGTCATGTTGACCTCCTTGCGGAAACACGTGTCGACGTCGACGGCCGAGAAGAAGGCGCAGCCCTACGACAAGACACAGAGAGATAGAGAGAGAGAGAGTCAGTACGAGGAGAATCGCTGCAGAGAGATCAAGAGAGAGTCGGGCGCACCTGAGGCAAGTCGGGCATCTGGAGCCGGTAGGCGAACAGCGAGCGCGTCCACAGGTTGGCGACCTGGAGGGCCATGGCGGCGCGGTCCTTGTCCTCCTCCTTGACGAGGTAGCGCACCTCGTCGTGGACCGAGATGAGGTAGCGCGCGTCGATCTCGAACCGGCGCGTGAGGTACTCCATCGAGACGAGGAGGAGGTGCAGGTAGTCGACGCCCGACGACTGGACGACCCAGTTGATGCGCGACGGGAGGTAGCCCTCGCCGGCCTTGCTCTTGCCGTCGGCGGGGAGGTACGCCTTGGTGAGCGCCGACGTGAGGCCGCAGCCGAGCGCGGGCGTGCGAGGGCGCTCGCTCTGCGCGATCTCCTCGAGCTTGTTGAAGACGAACGACTCGGTGCCGCCGTGCCAAAAGTTGCGGCGGAAGGCCGGCGAGCGGTCGACGACGCCCTTGGTCGACGCGTACAGGGCCTTGGCGAGGTCGGTCGCCTCGTTTGTCGTCAGGGCCGGGTTCGACTTGAGGAGGAGCTGGACGGCGTGCTTGACGCCGGCGCCGTAGATGCGCGAGTAGTTGAACACCTTGGCGTCGTCGCGCGAGATGCCGAGGATGCTGGCCGACTTGGAGTGCAGGTCGGTCCCGGCGCTCTTGGTCCCCTCGAGCGTCATCCACCCGATGGCCGTCGCGCCGTGGATGCCGAACTGGGCGTCGCCCATGACGCTGCAGATCCACAGCTCCTCCGAGTCGACGTCGGCGCCGACGATGGCGTACCCGGCCGGCGCGCGCACCATCGACTTGAGCTCCGAGCCGACGCGGTTCTTCTTGGCGTTCGACGCCGTGAGCCACGTCCGCTCGACGGCGCGACGCGTGATCGTGCCCATCGGGACGACCTGGGGCAGGATGAGCCCTTGGGCGTCGTCGCTCGCCTCGCTCGCGGCGACGGCGGCCGGCGTCGGGGCGGGAACGCGCGCGTCGCCGTTCCAGACGACCATCTGGTTCGTGATGCGCTCGCGCGCCGACGTCCAGTAGCTGCACGACGCGTTGAGGGCGAGGGCGGCCTCGGCGGCCGGGTACTCGGACGTGAGGACGCCGTCCTCGAACGCGGCGACGAACGGCTTGCTCAACGGGCTGCCGACGTTCTTGCCCTCGCCGTCCGGGTGCGGGAGCTTGACGTAGGCGCCGTCGGTGTCGGCGTCGAGGCTCGCGTCGGCGACGTCGGAGAACTCGAGCGCCTTGAGCGACGGGTCGGCGACGAGGGCTGCATCGAGCTCGGCGGCCGGGATGCGGTACATCCAGCCGTGCTCCTTCGAAAAGGCGACGGGGAAGCCCTTCCACCGCAGCTTGAGGAGGAGCGGCGCGGCGCGCTTGCCGATCGACACGTCGAGACCTTGGCGAGGGACGTCCAGGTCCCAGTACCACTTGGGCCACACGAGGTCGCTCGACTTGACGTCGACGGGGCCGGCGGCGCTCGTCGTCGTCGCGTCGGCGAGCGCGGCTGCAGCGTCGGCAGCGTCGGTGCGCTTGAGCGGGCCCGAGCGCGTCGGCGTCCAGTCGAGCTGCGCGAGCCAGACGTTGGCGGCGCGCTCGTCGGCCGAGAGCTCGTGTGCCCGCTCGACGGCCCCGTCGGCGAGCGCGCGCACCTTGGCGAGGACGGCTCGGCCCTCGGGCGTGTCGTCGCCGCTGCTGCCGAGCGCGACCGCCTGCGACAGCTCCGGGTACGGGCTCGCGAGGACGCCGTCGCGGACCTTTTTCGAGAGCTGGGTCGCGACGAGCTTGTGCGTCTTGGTGCCGCGGCGGACCGACAGGGCGTACAGGTTGACGTCGGGCAGGTCGGCGACGAGGCGGTCCTTGGGTCCGAGGTCGGCGGGCGCGACGAGCTGGTCGTCGTCGGCCGGGACGAACCGGTCCTTCTTGGTGCGCGCCTTGAGCGCCTTGGTCGGGACGGCGAACAACCAGCCGTGCGAGTGGGTGTGCACGACCGGGAACCCGCGCCAGGTCGTCTCGAGGAGGAGCGGGACGAGCGGCGACGCGAGCGACAGGTCCTTGTCGAGCGCGGCGAACCAGGACGGCGGGCCGGGCTCGTCGGGCTCGTCCTCGACGACGTGCTGCTGCGCCTTCTTGCTGCCTCGCCGCCGTGCGGGCGCCGTCGTCGTCGCCGCGCCGGGCAACCGCCGCGCCTTCTTCGGGCTCCAGTCGAGCTGGCGCAGCCACGGGTCGTCCTCCCACACGAAGCGCCCGTCGGCGCCGCGGTGGTCAAACTTGGCGCGCGCCTCCTCGGCGAGCGTGACGAGGGCGCCCGTGACGCCCTCGAGGCGGTCCTGGTACTTGCGCTCGGCCCGCTCGAGGTACTCGGGCCACTTGCGGTCGACGGGCAGGACCGGCTGGCTCATGAGGGCGACGCCGGCGAACGTGACCGGGTGCGGGCACGACTCGAGGAACTTGGGCACGAGCTGGCGGTAGACGGCGAGCGTCGTCGCGACGTCGGTCGCGCAGTAGGCGATGAGCTCGTCGAAGCACTCGCGCGCGTCGGCGATCGTGAGCGACGGGTCGATGAGGACGTCGCGCAACGACTTGTCGACCGTGATGCCGCAGTGCAGGCGCGCGACCTCGGCGAGCGAGTTGAGCGACGACACCTCCTTCCAGTCCTTGACCGCCGCGTCGCCCGCCGTCGTCCTCGCGCCCTTGCCACGCCGCTTGACCTTGCTCAAGATCGACTTGGCCGGGTCGACCGCGGCCGGCGCCGTCGGCGAGACGGGCTGGTCGACGACAGGCTCGCTCGCCTCGCTCGGCGCCTCGCTCGACGCGGCCGCCGCCGCCTGCTCCTGCTCCTTGCGGTACTTGATCCAGGTTGGCCGCTGCGGGTTCGTCAACCCGCTGACGGCGACGTGGAGCGATAGCGTGTCGAGGTACCGCGTCGACGGGCGGCGGAGCGTGTACTCGTGCGCGACGCGGGCGCGGTCGTACAGGACGTTGTGGCCGATGAGGAGGCGAGGCGGCGTGTCGGGGCGCTCAAACAGGCTCGAGCGCGACAGGAAGTCGTCGGCGGATGTCGAGGAGGAGGAGGACGAGGGAGGTGTCGAGGACGAGGGAGGGCCGAACGGGATGAGGTGGTTGGGCTTGTCGTCGTCGCCTGAGAGCCACGGGCTGCACCAGGCGTACCAGCCCTTGACGCCCGCCGCGATGGCCATGATGGGAAAGTGGCCGCCGGCGTACGGCATCGTCTCGACGTCGAACACGAGCGTCGCGTCGTCGACCGACGGGAAGTCGACGCTCTCGTACGACCCGTCGGCCGAGTAGAAGGTCCAGCCTGGGGCGAGGACCCACTGCTCGCGCTCGGGCATGGGCGGCACGTCGGCGCGCGCAAAGTCCTTGGCCATCGACAGGAACGGCTCGGCGACGTCGCGGCCGATGGCGTGGAAGTGGTGCGAGATGGTCGGGCCCTGGAGCCGCGGGAGGTCGAACTCGACGGCGGGAGCGAGCTTCTTGGGCGACGACGTGCCAGGCTCGGGAAGGAGCTTGTGGTGCCGTAGGTGGGCGACCGAGATGTCGACGGCTCGTGACGAGGGCGGCGACGGGGCGAATGGCGACGAGGGTGGCGGAAAGAGCTGGGCGCGCAGGGTCGGCGAGATGAGGGGTACCTGGACCTCGTTGAACGGTGCTGCGAGCGTGCGAGTGGGTCATTGGCGGACCGTCCTCGAGGCTGAGAAGGCGACAAGGTTGCGACGAACGAGGGGCAGGTTGTCGAGGGTCGCCCCATCTCGACGGGGTGGTCGACAGGGAGCGCACACATTCTGCAAGGATCGAGAAGTCAGGCGTGTACGCTCGGTAGGGCGAACGAGAGGACGCACGAGGTTGTCGTGGCTCGAGAGCGGCAAGTCGCAGTGCCCGCCCGCTGGTCGAGGTAGACGTCGAGCCGGCGAGACGGCGTGGCGCGAGTCGGCGCGTGTTCTGGCGGTACCGCTGAGGCTCTTGGGCGGCCGTCTGGGTGATTGCGCGGGTGCTGGCGAGCGGGAGAGATGGCGACTTGAGGAGGCGGGAGGTCGCAGTGGGCGAGTCGAGGCGACGGCGTTTTGCGGGGCGCACAGCGCGGCCGAGCATCGACATGGTGCTCAGCGGTGGAGCAGGCTCTCTCTGAGTCCAGGCGAGGCGAGGGTCGAGGCGAGAGCGAACCAAACCGGCTTCATCTCCTCGCGACCGTCGCATCCCCGGCTCACCTCCACCTCGAGCCCTGGCTGCCCTTGCACAGCTGCACAGCCACTAGCGAGCTCCCACAAGTATGCTGCGCGCCCCCTCGAGCTGGGCCCACCTCCCGGCACCTCGTCCTCGCCTCGTCCGCCCGTCGTCGACCCTGCCAAAGCCGCCGCAGCTCGCTACACTCGCCGATCAGGACGACATGCGCCCCGCAAGGGACTGGCTCGCAGCCTTTGAACGCCTCGGCACCGCAGAATGGCCAAAAGGTGCGCCTCTCGCTCCTCCTCTCCACCCCCTCCTCCTCCTCGGCCCGACTACCCGACGCCCTCCTGACCCTCGACCCGCTCCCCTGCAGACCTCTTCGAGACATCCTTCACTCGCTCGTCCGGCCCAGGCGGCCAACACGTCAACCGCACCTTCTCCAAGGCCACCGTCCGCCTCCCCCTCCCCTCCCCGACCCTCGTCCCGCCCTACGCCCTCCCCCACCTGCGCCAGTCGCCGCACTACGTCCCCTCGGCTCTCCTTGTCTCGTCGTCGGCCCAGCGCACCCAGCAGACCAACCTCGCCGACGCGCTCGGCAAGCTCAAGCGCGCCATCGTCGACGCCGCCACGCGCGACCTCGTCGGCGACACGACCAAGGAGCAGAAGGACCGCGTAAAGGGCCTCGTCGTGCGCGAGAAGAAGAAGATGGAAAAGGTCAAGAAGCTGAGGAAGGACGTCAAGGGCGGCAGGGGCAAGGTCCGCGGTTGGGACTGAACATGGCCTTCAGCTCACTTTCCCCCTCGGGCACAACAAGTGCGTCCCTCTCTCCCGTTCCCACGTCGACCAACAGCCTTTCTGACACTTCATGTGCGCGCCACAGCCCACCATGCGATACGCCAATGCCGCCCTGCCGCTCCGCCGCCGCAGCCAAGGTCGACCGCGCTCGCCTCGGCTGGCCGACGCTCCTGCCGTCACCGCTCCTCTTTGATCGGGTCGTCAGTGCGCCTGCACAATGTGCGGCCAGACGATCGCGCACCCGCCATTACGGGCCATTGCGCAGAGCCGAGGCGGAGTGCGCGAGCCGGCTCTGGTACTGGCGACTTGCCGCCCTGTGTAGCCTCTCGCACCTGCGCATGCAATCACAGCCTGTTGCGCATCTCGCTGCGACCTCGAGAGCCTTGCCTGAGACCGTGCAGAGAGAGTCGACCTGCCAACTCGCGCGAGCAGACCTCGTTGCATCTTGCGCTGCCTCGCGCTCCTCGTCTCGCCTCGAGGGCTATCCGGCTCGCTGCCAGAGCACTACAGAGCATGTCGCAAGACCTTCATGGTGCGCGCTGCTCCCAATGCGGCGAACTCGGTGAGTTCCCTCATCTCCCTCCGCCCCGAGGTTCTCGCTCACCACGAGCTCTGCGCGTACAGAAACGGCATCTGAGCCATCTAGCGCCTCTTCTTCACCGCTTACATGCCCGCTGTGCGCCCACGTGGACCTCGCCGTCATCTTCTGCAACGAGTGCCTGGTCCTCCTCCTCGCCCCGCCGTGGCCAGCGTCGCACGAGCTGACTCAGTCTTGCACCCACAGGTCATGCTTCCATGCAGGCATCATGATTCACCGCAAGCTGGGCTGTGCCGGTGAGCAGGGTCGCTCTCTCGTTGTGCAGGAGGGTCGCGAGGTGCGCGAGGCTCCCGCCCTGCTCGAGAGCATCCTTCTGACTCCTCCTGGTCGCACGCAGACTGAGCTATACCACCTGTGCACGCCTGGGTGCCAGATCGCGATCGATTCGGCGCGTCTGCGTGCGTCCCTCTCTCTCCCTTTCCCAGTCCATGCCGACGAGCTCTCACTCGTGTTCACACGCGCAGGGCTACGAGCTGTTCGCCTCTCGGGTGCGTCCCCTTGTCCTCCATCTCCGCCTCTCCTCGTCGGACCGAGCTGACCCAGCCGACTCGCAGACCACGACCGCATCCGGGCCATCAAGTGCGACCCGCTCGTCAACCGCTCCCAGCTCTACGGCAGCCCGCCGCCGCCGTTCATCTTCCACATGTTCACGCGCCGGTACATCGAGAGTCTCGTGCCCGCGTGTAGGACCGGCGGTGGCACGGCGGGGAGGACGTCGTACGTGTTTGCGGTCGAGCCGAGGAGCGAGGAGGTGCGGCCGAGGCGGCATGCTGAGGCGCGAGAGCATCTTGACGCGTCGGGCTACATCGGAAACCTCGGTACGTCCCTCTCGATCTCTCTCTTTGTCCGGCGGGCACTGTCTGGTGGCGCGCCTCGCCTCGCCGCTCACTCCTCCTCGTCCTTCCCCAGGCATCGACATCGAGTGCGGGAGCGCTTCTCTAGCTCCACGAGTCGGCGAGCCGTTCTTCTACCCATCAGCCGACGACCTGGACCAGGCCGGAGCGCACGCTTCCCTCTGTGCGTCGGCGCCTTTCCTTCTCGTAGCCTCTCGATTCTGTCCACCTTTAGCGAAACGAGGAGCCTGACTCGCCTTCTTCCGCCCAGACTACGAGCTTCATCCCAAGTTCGTCTTCCTCTCGCTCTCTCTACGTGACGCCTTGCCGCCGAACTCGGCGAGCCTCGTCCTCAACCACGTCCTGACCTCATCCTCTCGCGCCCCGCAGCTTCTGGGGCCAGGGTCTGATGACCGAGCTCATCCTCGCCGTCCTGGGCTTCATCTTCGACACGCTCCTCATCCCCTCGGTCATCGTCGACCCGGTCTCGACCAACACGGCGTCGATCCGGCTCGCCGAGCGCCTCGGGTTCGCGCTCGTCGGTGACAAGCCGTGCGGCGGCGTGCCAGCAGCGACGGCGGCGGCGGGCGGTGGGGCGAAGAGGCAGCTCGTGTACCGGTTGACGAGGGACGAGTGGCGCGAGCGCGAGAGGACGAGGGCGAGGAGCAGGGCAAAGGCGGCGAGGAAGAAGCGGAACCGGCGGGCAAGGGCAGCGCAGGGAGGGCCGGCCCAGCGCGATGAGGCGCTCGTCGATGGATCGGACGACGCGAACGATGCGCTCAAGGGTCACGCTGGACCTGAGGAGGATGCGCGGGCGGCTGCGCCTGACGAGGTCGTCGAGGAGAAATCGCGACCGCGAGTCTGCCGATGGTGCGTCCCCTCTCCCTCCTCCTCTCCCTCTCTTCTTGTCTTGCTGCAGCGTGACCTCGAGCTCACCCTCTGGACCCGCAGGTGCCAGATCCCCTCTCACCTCGCCGTCGTCGACTGCGCTCTGTGCGACTGGGCGTCGTGGTGCTCGCAGGCCTGCAAGACGGCCGACCTCACCTTCTGTCGCGATCACCCAGGCGAGTGTACGGGCAGAACAGGTGGGCTCATGCAGGAGGGGGAAAGCTCGCTCGACGAGGGAGGAGGGGCGTGCGAGCCGATCCGACGCTCGTAGCGAGTTCTGTACTGCAGAGTATTTCCTCCTGCTCGAGCGCTCGGGCATGGTCGTCTGGGCGAAGCAGACGTAGTCGTTCCGTCGAACGGCGAGGTGTCCCTGACGCCGTTCACGACCGACGAGGACGATAACTTTTCGTGCTGGCGCTTCTACCGCCAACAGCGACGGCGACAGGGTCGAGTGCTCAAGCGGACCGGCTTGCGCTCTCGAGGAGTGGGCAGCACTAGTGACGGGAGCGGCGGCGCGTGAAAGTGTCGTCGAGCGTACCGGGATCCGGTGCGAGCGGTTTGAGAAGGTCGATTTGGCTGGCTCTCGCTTGCGCCCTCCTCTCGATAGAAGGTCCTCGATCGTCCATCCTGTGCCTGTAGCTGCTCTGCGACGAGTGAGGCCGTAGCGAAGAGAAAGTGCGAGACCGAGGAGCAGATAGCTGGGCGAGCAGGCGGGGCGAACGTAGTTGGCGCGGCAGTCTGGATCCGAATCTCTTTCTCGCGCCCGTTCTCGTCGACCTCGACGACGCGAGCACTCGTTGTCGAAGTGCTCAGTGAGGCGACAGTCCTCAGAAGGCGTCCCGAAGGCTACGAGCTCCACGGCGACCGTCGAGAAGGTCAATCTCGTCTCCCGCCGCCTCACTTTCGTGTTCTCCCTGTCTCTGCTCCTTCGAACGCCCTTGCGTGGCGGGCGCTCCAAGTCGAGCACTCAAGCCCCTGCACCTCGAACGTGACGAGACGAGAGAGTGCTCGCCCGACCCTGCGCTCGAGCGAGAAGGCAAGAGCTTAGCAGCGCTCGAGCCTCTCTCTTTCGTCCTCGGCCGCTCGCTCTCTCAGCTCTCGCAGAAAGGAGGTACTGACGAAGGACGTTGCAGGCAGGCGGGCTCTGATCGAGCGCAGGCGAGGGGAGAGGGGGAGGGGAGCTGTACAAAAGGAGAGAGGTCGAGAAGGAAGGAGGGACGGGAGCGGAACGAGTCGTGACGAGGGCGTAGACAAGCGAGGGGAAGGGAAGGGAGAGAGGAGCCTCTGGCGAGAGCTCAGTGCGACGAGTGGTGGAAGACGTCCTTGACGCGCTCCTTGAGGCTCGGCTTGTGCGCATCTGAAGAGGCGATGAGAGAGAAGGCGTCAGGACTCGGCGTTGAGAGGAGGAAGGAGATGGAGAGACAGAGAGAGAGAGACGCACCGTGCGACTGCTGAGCCGACGATCCCGTCGTGCTCGAGGTGTTCGACGGCGACGAGGGCGCGGCGGCGGCGGCCGACTCGTGCGTCGGGTAGTCGGCCTTGCGCTCGGCCGAGGCCTTGTTGACCCAGGCGGGCGTGCTGTGGCCGGCCGCCGACGACTCGCTCGTCTTGCTGGTCGAGCCGGCGAGGGGCGCACCACGGCCGGCGGCGTTGGTCGAGGCCGACGAGCCGGACTGGGCCTGCTGCTGCTGAGCCGACGACGACGAAGGCGACGCCGAGTGCGGGTTCGACTCAGGCTTGGGCATGGCCGTCTGGGGCGAAGCAGGCGTCGTCGTGTTCGAGATCGGGTCCGTGTACTTGAGCCCGCCGACGCCCTCACCTTGCGAGACCGACGAGGAAGCCGCCGACTCGGCGTGCTGGCGCTGGCCCGACGACGACGACGGCGACAGGGTCGAGTGCTCGTGTTGTCCGTGGTGGTGCTCGCGAGAAGTGGACGAGGTGGAGGCCGAGCCGAGCTTGGCGGCGGTCGACTCGATCTTGGACGACGCCGACGACGACTGGTCCGGGTGGAACGGGTCGGACGAGCCACGGTGCGGCGCGGGCGCCGACGACAGGTGCTGCGAAGAGGTCGACGAGGGAGCGCCGGTCGAGAGGATGCCGCCGCCGTACGCCGACGGGCCCGTGGCAGGAGGCTGACCGGGGCCGAACGACGAGAACGCCTCGCCGGCGTGCGAGCCGCCCGACGGCGGGTGCTCGGCCTCAGCCTTGGTGAAGGTCGGGTGCTGCTCGGCCTGCGTCGTCGAGGACGAAGTAGGGAACGACGAGGCGGCGTCACGGCTCGACTCGAGGCCCGACTCGGGGTGCGCGGCCGAGTAGGTGCGCGGCGAGCCCGCGCCCGACATGACCGGCTCGCCGCTCCAGTGCGAGTCGTCGACGTGCGACGGCGTGTGCATGTCGTCGCGAGTCGGGGCCTGTGCGCGAGGGAAAGTGCGTGTCAGGTTGAGAAGGCTCGAGAGGGAGAGATAGGGAGAGGGAAGGCAGGGACGCGCGTGGTGGTGGTGGCCCGAGGACGACGACGCGACGTAGTCGGTACCCGACGCCGAGCTCGCGCTCTTGTGCGGCATGAACGCCGCCGTCTTGCCCTCGAGGCGCTCGTCCTTGCCGCCCGCCGACTGCTGCGCGGTCGGAGCGAAGCGCTCGAAGCCGGCGCCGACGCCCTCCTGCGACGGCAGCGACGACGACTGCGCGAAGCCCGACGACGACGACGACGTGCCGTGCGTGCCGTAGCTCGCGGGCCCGCCGATCGTCTCGTGGCTCAGGATTGTCGCGGTCCCGACGGCCTGGCTCGACGGGACCGACGACGTGCCCGGGTGGGTCGGGCGGTCGACGTCCGTGTCCGAGTGAGCACGCGAGGCGCGCTCGGGCGAGAAGACGGGAAGGCCCGACGTCGACGACGCCGAGGTCGAGAAGTGCTCGTTCGGGGTGTGTGTCGAGACCTGCTTGTCGAGGGCGGGCTCGTCGTGCGAGCGGCGCAGGTCGAAGCCCTTGTCCTCGTCCTTGTGGCGCGTCGACGGGTCGGCCTCCTGCGTGAGGGCGAGCGGGTCGTCCTTGCCGGCGGTGGCCGTCGACGACGCCTGGTCGTCGCGCAGGTAGTTCTTGATGAGGCCGGCCTGGTTGCCCGTCGTCGACGGGTCGGACCCGCCCATCGGGCCACTGCCGAGGGACGGGCTGTCGGCCGAGGGCGTGGACGGCTCGAGCGGCGAAGAGAAGCCGCGACCGGCCGAGGCGGGAGCGGCGGTGGACGAGGACGAGTCGATACCCGACGAGGTCGGCGCCGGAGCGTTCCAGCCCGGGAGGTGGGCGGCGGCGGCGGCCTGCTGGGCCGAGTCGGCAAAGGCGTGGGTCGCGGTCGACGCCGCCGACGAGACCGAGCCAGCGACGTACGTGGCCGCGCCGGCGACGCTGTGCGCCGCAGTCGCGCCCATCGAGGCGGCCGAGCTGGCGGCCGGACCGGCGACGGCGGCCGTCGTCTGCGCCGCCGAGGCGAGGCCGGAGGCCGTCGACTGGGCGGCGCTGGACGCGACCTCGGGCGCGCGCTCAAGGCCCTGAGCGGCCGTCTCGGACATCTGCGAGTCGGGAAAGGGAAAGATAAGTAACGAGGCGCGAAAGGAGACTGAGAGAGAGGACGGGACGCACCTGCTGCTGCTTCTCGGGGCCGGGAAGGAGGTGCGACAGGTAGTTGCCGGCGCCGCGCACGGCGTCTATGGCGGTCTCGACGTAGCCGTGAGCGGGCGCGCCGGTCGAGGTCGACGTAGTCGAGGACGAGGTCATGGCGGTGTCGGTCGAGGTCGAGAGCGACGTGTTGCCGCCGGCGCCGACCGGGTGGACCTGCTTGCGCGCGCCCGCCGGCTCCATGCTGAGGTCGACGCCGGTCTCGCGCGACGAGGGCTGCTGCGCACGAGGTTCAAGAGCTGTGTCAGTAACTTCGGCGACAGTGAAGGCGACCAGCTGACGTACCTGGGCGAGCTGAGTCGCGGCGGCAGGCTGCGAGGGAGGGAGAAGACGATTTAGCTCGGCCTCGAGCTCGCCCAAGAAGAGAGAGAGAGAGAGACAGGACGCACCGCCTGGCCACCGATCGACTGCTGAATCGACTGCGCAGCGCTCGTCGCCGCCGGCTTGACCGTCTCGTGGACCTGCTGCGCCGCGTTGGCGACGACGGGCTTGGCCGACTCGTACGCCTGGCTGACGACGGGTTGGACCGTCTCCTGGACCTTGTGCGCCGTGCTCGACAGGGTCTGTGGGCGAGGGAGGGGAAGGGCGAGGTCAGCTCGACGAGGTCCGAGCGAGGAGGAAGAGGCAGAGGAAGAGGGACGCACGCTTGCGACCTGGTTGGCGTCGGGAAGACCGGACGTGTCGATGATGGGCTCGGCCGACGTGTACTGGGGCCCGGTGCCGGTGAGCGAGTGCGCCATGTCGACGAGCGACGAGCCGACGGCCTGGACGCCGTGGGCGAGCGTAGGCGACAGCTTCTCGAGGCCGGCGAGCGGCGCCGTGATGGCCATCTGCACGTCGAGTCCGTGTCAGTATGCTTGATCTTCGAAGGAGGAGGAGAGGGAGGAGCGAGGACGCACCCCTCCGAGGCCGGTCGTGAGCTTGGCGATGCTTGAGTCGTCCTCCTTGGGCGCCGTGAACTTGTGCGCCTCGGGACCGGTGCTGCGGCCGATGACCTCGTGCGTGTCGCTCAGGACGGGCTTGTCGGCGAGGAGCGGGTCGGCGGAGGTCGAGCGAGTCGACTCGCCCGTCGTGACGTTGAGGCCCTCGCGAGCCGGGTCGGCGGGCGCGGCGAGCTGGGTGGGCGCGAGGCCCGTCTCGACCTGCATGGGGTTGTCGTTTGGCGGTGTCGACATGCTTGTGCGAGGTGGAGCGAGGTGTGCTGGTCACGGTGCGGCCGTCGTTGAAAGTGGGGGGAGGGGAGGAGGCGGTGCACTGGCGGGTCAGCTCTTGCTGCACTGCGGTGCACCGAATGGGACAGTGGGGTTCACGCGTGTGCTGGTCGGAGCTTGTGCAGGAGCAAGAGCCTCCTGGCACGGTTGAGAGGAGAGGGAGAGAGGGAGAGCCTCGCGGAAGGCTTCCGACCGGCCCGCTGCCTCGCGCCCCGCGTCAGCGACGAGCTGCTGCGGGCGCGCTCAGGGAGGCGCGTGCACAGCGTTCGCAACCTCCGTCAGCCGTCCTTGGCCGCGTCGTACTTGCCTCGCAGCGGGTCACAGCCGTTCGCGCCCCGCCGCTCAGCGACAAGTTGCGAGCGATTCCGACGGCGCAGCGGCGGTGCTCGTCTTTCTCCGGTACAGGCGCGCAGCTCCCTTGCCGCGATGGCGTTCGCTCGAGCCATAGCTGGAGACCTCTCGCAGCTCTGCCCAGACGCAGAAGGGGCGACGACCGCGAGCTGCCGTCGGACGCACAGACCTCGGACTTTCAGCTAGCGATGGCGGTCCTCTCGCTCTCTCGCCGTCCAACACGCGCACGGGCACACGAACGCTTTAGATTGCAAGACCGAATAAATCGAGAGACTACGAGAAACATGAGTGATGTTGAACGAGGGTGGAAAAGCGGGCGAGAGGCGAAGGAGAGACGAGGCGGGAACGAGAGGAAGGGAAAGAGCAAGGCCGACGAGCTGTAGAGAGCGAGAGTGAGCACATGCACCTCTAACGAGGCGAGGAAGGAGGAACCGAGAGCGGGCGCACCTCGACAGAGCCCAGCTCAGAGCTCGAGCGTGACCGTCTCGGCAATCTTGCGGCTGCTCGTCCCGACCGCGAGCTTGTACTCGCCGTGCGCGAGCATCCACCCGCCGTGCGTCACGTCCCACACGGCGAGGTCCTTATGGCGCAGCTGGAACGTGACCTGGGCCGTCGCGCCCGCGGCGAGTTGAGGCTTCGAGAAGCCGCGAAGGGAGCGGGGCGGCATCTTGTTCGGGGTCGACGAGGGGAAGGTGAGGTAGAGCTGTAGGCGAAAGAGGGAGGGAGGACGTCGACGTGTCAGGAAGGGCGCTTCTCGAGCCGCACGAGCGAGAGAGGGAAAGGGGAGGAGGAGGGCATAGAGACGCACCTGAGCGACCTCGGCGCCAGCGACCGAGCCCGTGTTCTTGACCGACGCCGTCACCTCGTACGCGATGTCGTACAGGCCCGACGTCTCCTTGCCGTCGACGAACAGCTTCTCGTTCGTCTCGCGCACGCTCGCCGGCACCTTCTCGCTCTTGGCCTTGACGGCGACGTTCGACACCTCGAAGCTGTGGGACGCGGCAGTGTCAGTCCGCGATGGACGTCGAGGAGAGGGGACGGCATGACGAGGGAAAGGAGGAGAAGAGAGAGAGCTGCGGCGCACCTCGAGTAACTCTTGCCGAACCCAAACTCGTAGAGCGGCTCGATCTCCTGCTCGTCAAAGTGCTTGTAGTCGATGAAGACGCCCTCGGAGAAGTTGGCGACCGGGTTGATGACGATCGAGCCGTTGTAGTGGTTGTCGGCAAAGTCGGACACGTTGCGGGCGATGGTGAAAGGGAGCTTGCCGCTCGGGTTGGTGTCGCCGAACAAGGTCGAGGCGACGGCGGTGGCTGCGGGAAAGACCGAGAGTGACTCAGCGACGTCGTCGAGCGAGAGGGAGAAGAGAGAGGAGAGAGCAGGACGTACAGCCCTCTTGGCCGCCGTAGTAGGTGTACAGAATGGCGGTCACGTTCGGGTGGTCGACGAAGCGCGACATGTCGACCGGGCCCGGCGCAGTGACGACGACGATCGTGTCGCTGTGACGGGCGGCGACGTACTCGACGAGGTCGGACCCGCCGTTCTGGAGCTGCGAGTGCGGAGACGGGGTCAGTGCGCGCTCGCGAGGGGCGAGAACGGGAGGGCGAACGGCGAGCGCACCTCGAGGTCGGTGTGGTCGAAGCCCTCGCGGCCGATCTTGGTGACAAAAACGACGGCGGTGCTGGCGTAGGCGAGCTTGGCGTCGAGGAAGAGGGTCTGACCGCCCATCCAGCCGCCAATCTGGCCCTGCGTCGCGTTGCTGTGGTGGACGGACGGTCAGGGACGGTCCGAGTCGGGCTCACGCAGGGGAAAGAGAGGAGGACGCACTCGTAGGTGTAGTAGTCGGTGACGACCGGGCGCTCCTCCTTGCGGCCGCGAGCCGTGATGGCGGCGATCGGGTCGAGGTTGTACGGCGTCGGCGAGCCGCCGCTGCCGTAGCCGTCGGTGCTCGCGCCCGAGAAGTCGGCATCGGGCGACCCGGCGAGGTCCATGCCGATGTTGTGCATGATGCCGATCGGCGAAGGCGCCGCCGACGAGCCGATGAGGAGGATGTCGCGAGGCTTGTTGAGGGGCAGGCCCAGCGAGTTGTTGTCCGAGCGCACGTTCTTGAGGAGCGTGATGGCGCCCTCTGCGACCTTGCGTGCCGTCTCGGTCGAGTAGTTGTTGCCGACGAACCGCCCAAAGTCAGTCTTGGGAAGGTTGGCTTGGTCGAGCGCAAAGTAGGGCGTGAGGATGCTGCAGGGGCGCAGACACAGTCAGTATCTGCGCGAGATGACGAGGGACAGGCGTCGGCCCGAGGGAGGAGAGAGTCTGAGGACGGACCGGATGAATTTGTCGTCGACGACCTCGACCGGGACCGAGCCGTTCTTGACGTACGGCATGAGTGCCTCGCCATAGTAGTGGCCTGTGTCGGTGAAGAAACCGATAAAGTCTGTGCCGTGGTTGGCGAGCTTGAGCGTGTCGTGCCCTGCGCCCCAATCTGCTCGATGCGAGAGTCAGCTCGTGTGGGCGAGGAGAGGCGGCGACAGCTCGAGCGCACCCGTGATGACCCAGCCGTGGAAGTTGAGCTGCCGGCGATGCAGGGAAGGGTGTCGAACGAGGCCATGAGGGTGCAGGAGGAAGGAGAGGACGAGGGGAACGCAAAAAGTCAGTCGGGCTGCGACCGTCTCTCGAGAGGTGCAGGACGGGACGCACCGTCTTCTTGAGGACAGTGCTGAGAAGATGGTCGTTCTTGCAGGCGAAAGTACCGTTGACTGTGTCGAGCAGGAGACAAAGTCAGGTCGAGGAACGAGAGGACGGTCGAAAAGAGAAAGGGGCTGACCCTGGTTGTCTGCGAGGAGGTCCGTGCGGTCGACACGTCAGTTTGGCGATCCTGCATAACGTGAAAGGGGAGGCAGACACTCACAGGCACACATGGCGGCCCCGGCACCAGCCCTGATGGCCTCGGCAAAAGGCCAGACGTAGAGCTCGTGGGTCGTCGCCTCGTCGATGACCGAGTCCACCGTCTGGTTGGCGATGTTGGGGAAGTAGCCCGTTGGGGTGCCGATTCGGAGGTACTCTTGCTCGTTCTGCGCGAGGCGAGAGATGCGGGCGAGGAGAGGAGGAAGGGAAGGGAGGGAAGGAGGAGGAAAGGAGAGAGGAGGGGTCAGTCCGGTTCGAGCGAACGAGTCGCCGAGGAGGGAGCGCACGCCGACAAAATGCCTGCAGGGAGTCACAGAGGCGTCGGTGCGGGCTCGTCGAGAGGGTGCAGAGATATAGAGAGAGAGAGCGCGAGACGCACTTGACGAGGCCGACGACGCCCTGCTGCTGGAAGCCGAGGACGGTGAGGTGCGCCGCAGTGCCCGTCAGGTAAGGGTCGGGCGAGAAGTTCTCCCAGTTGCGGCCGCCGTACGGCGAGCGACCCATGCCGCCCATCGAGATCGAGAGCGGGACGTGCGCGCCGACGTCGTGGTACTCCTTGCCCATGGCGAGCGCGCGAGCATAGATGAGGTCGACGTCGAACGTGGCACCGGCCGTGAGCTCGGGCGGGAACTGGGTGCTGTAGCGCGAGTTGATGCCTGTCGCGAGGAGGGTCGAGAGGGCGTGAGTGAGAGGACGAGGGACGTGCGAGAGAGGCGAGCTGGACGCACCGGACGGCCCGTCAGCCGTGCACATGCCCTCAGTCAGGCCGATGTCGGCGAGTGGGAAGCCGAGGCCGCTGCAGCCGTTGGTGAGCGCCTGAAAGTCGGCAAGTTGATCTGCGACAGGAGAGAAAGGGTCAGTCGGGAGGTCGGTACGACGGCGTGAGGAGGGTCTGAGACGCACCTTCTGCTCGAGGCTCATGCCTGCGACGTAGTCGACCGCCTTCTTGTACGCCTCGATCCACTTGTCGTTGGTGAAGCCCTCGGCCGAAAGGCGAGAGTAGGTCGTCGAGTCGGACGCGAGGTTGACGGCGCGACGAGCCGGGGCGGCATGAGCGAGGCCGCTCAGCGCGAGAAGCACCAGGGCGTTGGCGAGCATGGCGGTGCGGATGATGAGGGAAGAGAGAGAGAGAGGGCCCGGTCGACGCCGGCGCCGCGAGTCGAAAGTCGACCGGCTCGTCCGCCTCGCCGCATGGCGTTCTCGATCACCGGCGTCTCGACCGAGATGGCGTGCAGCGTGGTCGGCGAGCGGACTGAGCGCAGACAGACCACGACAGGAGAGTGTCGCCGAAGCCGAGGAGGAGCGAGAGCGAGGAAGCGAGAGCAAGCTCGCCCGCTGCCGAAGCTCGGCTTCCGCGTGCCTGGCGGCCGCTGCGGAGGAACGTTCGTAGCGACGAGAGGAGATGCTCGGAGAGTCCGGTCCGCGCGCAGGGAGGCGCGAGCGAGGCGGACAGAAGCAAAGCGGCGACGACGCCGCGGCCGGACCGCTGCAGCAAGACGGCCCCGCCAGCGGTGCCGAACCTTTCGCCAAGCGCGCTCGGCTAGCTTGAGCGCCAGGCGTGGGCGCAGCGATCGAGGGCGGGAGGAAGGGGGAGGAGGAGAGGTGGGACGAGGCGAGGACGGCGGGGCGAGGACTGAAAGGGCTGTAGCTGGCTCAGGCCTTAGCCAGCGTGTACGGCTGCCGGAGCACACTGCGCGTGGGCAGCTTGTCGAGAGCTGGAGGATGCGACGACGGGCGACAAACGAGGCCGGCGCAGAGAGCTTTCTGCACACCACGCCGCCTGTCCCGCCCAGGCTAGCCGAGCGCTCGCTGTCACTGTCCGCACCAGCACGCGCAATGCCAGCACCCGGTCCACGCCCTCGCCTATGCGGTCGCGAGCGAGAGGGAGTGAGATGAGGCGGCTTGTTCCACCGAGGCTCGCTCTCCTCGCCCGCCTCGAGACGGGCTGCACAAGCTGGAGCAGTCCTGATGTAGCAAGCTCTACGCGTTGCATCCAGACGGCGGGTTCCGCGAGGCGTGTGGCGCGACGGCCGGGCCTCGGCTTTCGAGGAGCGTTCGAGCAGCTTCGAGCGCCTCGGAGGGCTTACGAGCACCGCCGACAACGAGCGCGGCGCTTACGAGGCGCACTCGTCTACCTCCACGCCCGGTCAGCACCTCGCCCTCGTCCAGCCCGCCCATTCGCCTTCCCTCTCCTCCCTCCCTCCCCCTTCTCCTCACCCAACTCGACCGCCAGCTCGCCCACTTCACCGCCATGTTCGCCTTCCCGATCCACCACCCTCAGCCGTCCGTCCACTCGACGTCGACTACGACCGCGCGCACCCAGTACGAGCGCGAGCTCGAGCGCCTCGCGTTCCTCACGCAGCAGCACGAGCAGCAGCGCCGCCGCGCCGAGGCCGCCGCTCGCCAGGCCGCGCTCGCCGCCTACGTCGAGGAGCAGGAGCGTCGCCACCGCGAGGAGGCGTTCGAGCGCGCCGTTCAGCAAGAAGTCGAGCGCCGTCGCCTCCAGCAGGCGCTCGAACACCGCGCCGCCCTCGCCCGCCGCGCCCAGGAGGAGCGCGACGCCGCCCTGTACCGCCAGGCCGTCGTCGAGGCGGCACAGCGTCGCGCTGCCCTCGTCGCCCGCGAGCAGCACCGTCGCCGCGTCGAGGCCGAGCAGGACCACCGCCGTCGCATCGTCGAGGCGAGGCGGCAGCAGCGCGCGCGCCAGAGCGACTTCCCGCACTCGCTCGTCCAGCTCTTCCTCGACCTCGTCAACTCGGCGGCGCAAAATGAGCCAGAGCAGCAGGCTGTTGCCGCGCCCGCTCTCGTCGTCGCCGACAAGGCCGCCTCGTCCTCGTCCCCAGCGCCCTCGTCCGCCGCCCACGCCGAGCCCTCCCTCCCCGACCCGGCCGTCGAGGCTCTCCAGAAGCGCTTCGAGCGTGACGCCGCTCGCCAGGCCGCCCTCGACACCCTGAACGGCCTCTCGACCGAGTTCGACTCGCGCCTCTCGTCCTTCACCTCGCCCTCGGCCCTCACCTTCCAGTCGCCGCCCTCTCCCACCTCGACCTCGTCGACGCCGCCTCTCGCGTTCGGCAAGCCCAACGCCGGCTTCCTTGGGCACGAGGACTTTCTCGTGTCGCTCCTGAGCAAGGTCGACGCCGTGTCGTCCGGCGGCGACAAGGTCATCAAGCAGGCGCGCAAGGCGCTCGTCAAGCGCGTCGAGGTCGAGCTCGCCAAGCTCGACGAGCTCAAGGAGCACGAGTGGGAGCGCCAGAGCCAGCAGGCGGCGAGCGAGGCGGGCGAGGGGTCCGAGCGCCCGCACGACGACTCTACGGCTGCAGCAGGTGCGCCCTCTCTCCCTTTTCTTTCTGTGTCCTCCTGTTCGCGTTCTGACACTCTGCGTCTCACAGCTCCTGCACCTTCTGCCGACACCGCCGTCGCCGAGCCTGAATCCGCCAAGGTCGAGTCCGCCACCGCCTCTTCTCCGTCCTCCCCGACCCTCGACAACTCGACCCCGACACCCGTCGACGCTCCCGCCGACCAGTCGACCCGCTTGACCGCCGAGTCGCTCGCGTCTCTCCCGACCGACGCCGCCAACCCCAACCCGACCGTCCCTCGCCCTCGCTCTCGCGCCTCGACCGCCTCTCTCGACTCCGATACGTCGTCGGCCGTCGATCGGTACGTCGCCGAGATGCTGCGGCGCGCCAAGGACCTCGCCGACCGCATCGACGCCGAGGAGGAGGCCGAGAAGGCGGCTTCGGCTCCGGCGCCGGCGAGCGACGAGTCGGGCTCGCCCGCTGAGGCGACTTCTGTGCCTCCTGCCGCCGCAGAAGCTGTCGAGGCCGGCGCGCTTGACGAGCAGGCGGCGGTCAAGGCGCCATCGTCTAGGCCCGCCGCGACTGAGCCGCTCGAGGACGGCGTCGACGAGGAGATTGACGTCGAGGGGACGCTCCGGCGCAAGCGCAGCTCGTCGGCCACCGTCGAGCCCCGCGCTTCGGGCGTCTCGTCGAGGGAGGGGGAGAGCGCCGTGCGCAAGGAGGCGGTCGAGGAGCACGAGGCCGAGGACGTTGCGAGCGAGGCGGGCACGGAGGAGTTTCTCGTCGTCTAGATCCCGCCCTCGCCGCTGTAGCACTATCTCTCACCTTGTCTAGCAGACCTAATCTTCGCAACTCGAGCAGTCTTGTCGTCTCTTGCGCTGTCCTTCCTGTCGAGCGAGCTTTGCGAGAGCGAGTCCGAGATTCGAGAGGTCTGAGCGTTGGCTGCTCTGCCGCGCAGCTCCCCGAGCCCCGCTGCGAGCGCTCGACATCTCGACAGTTTGCTCGAAAGCGAGGGTCAAGGAGCCGCACCCAGGTCGAGCGGGCGAGCAAGGTGTCGCCGAGACGAACTTGGGAAGGCCAGCTTCGTCGATAGGCTCGAGCGCTGCGCTCGTGGTTCTTTCGCCGATGGTACGACCGTCGTGACCATGCACAGCTTACCGGCGTGCTCACTGTGCCCTGTCGGACCCTCGTCTTGAGCTCGCTAGCGCGCCGTGGCTGACAGCAAAGTCGAACGCGGACAAGAGGTGCAAGCGGTGCGGTGTCGGGCGCAGCTCACAGCGATGAGCTCTCTGCGCAGGCGAGCCACTGCGCACAGAGAACGATGCTGAGAATGCAGAATGAATGAGTGTCTACGAGAAAAGAGAGCGGCGCCAGCGCCGCCCGACCACGAACTTCCTCCTCCTCCGAACCCCTTCTCACGCCCGCGCCTTCTTCTCCGCCTCGAACGCCGACATGTGCGCCCGATCGACGACGCACTCGAGCTTGCGCAAGGCGCGGCGACGGAGGACCTCGAGGTCCTTGAGTGGGCGAGACGCGCCGTAGCGGTACGTGCGGATGTAGGCGTCCCACTCGACGAAGAAGGGCCGATCGCCCGCCCACAGGATGGCCTTGCTGGCCGTCGACGACGACGCGCCGAACGTCGCGATAGAGGGCACAGGATCGCCGGGGAGGACGAGGGCGCGGTCGAGGAGCGCCTGCGCCTTGACGAGCCGGTCGACGAGCCCGCGCTCGAGATGGAAGTTGCCGATGCCGACGTCGCCGTACGCCCGGTACGCCTCGACGACGCCCTCGAACTCGACGCGAGCGACGACGAGCGCCTCGAGCTGCCGCCCGACGCGCTCCTCCTCGTTGCGCGCCATCTCGCCGTCGAGGCACCGGTCCTCGAGGCGGCGCAGGCGGCGCAAGCTCGCGCGGTACTCGCGGACGTCGGCGAGCCACCGCGCATAAGTAGCTGCAGGCTCCGTGGCGGCGTGACGCTCAAGCTCGGCGAGAGCATGGACGTGCTTGACGTCCTCGGACGCTCGCCGGGCGGCGAGGCGGATGCGGCGGTCGAGGGGCGAGGGCGAGAAGATCTTGCGCAAGCCGACAGGGTAGTTGGTCTCGCGAGGGTCGCGCGAGCGCATGTCGAGTCTGGTGAGGAACGAGAAGGACGTGTTGGGCTCGACGAGCGGCGAAGGAGGTTTGGCGGCGAGAGGGCTGGCGACGACAGACGGGTTGGCGATGGCGAGCGGCGAGGTCGTCGTAGAGGGAGAGGTCTGTAAGGGACGAGGGTCAGGAAAGGGCCGTGCGGGAGCTCGAAAGGGGTGGCGGGACGAGAGGAAAGGCGAGGAGACGCACCTGGAAGACGACGTTCTCGCGAGCTGCCCGCGCCCGATCCTCTTCGACCAAGTACGCCGCCTCGGCACGCAGCTCCTTGATGCGGCGCATGCCCTCGTTGTCGACCTGCGGCGACGAGACGACCGTGCGGGCCGTGCGCGCCTTGACGTTCTCGAGTGGGTCCGTGCGCGGCACGCTCGGCGCGAGCCCGACGTCCTGCACGCCGCGCAGCGGGACCTTGGGCGTCCAGGTGGCCGTCGTGACCGGCACGAGAGGTGGACCGCCGAGGTCGACGCTGCTCGCGCCGCGAGGGAAGGACGAGAAGAGCTGCTCCTCGAGCGACGGCGGCGGCGTCGAGCTGCGCAGCTGGCGCTCGAGGTGCGACGACGTAGGAGGCGGCAATGGAACCGCACGAGGGCCGGCGACGTTGCTCTCGGTCGGCGCCGTGTCGAGGTCCACGCTCGACGCGCCGCGAGGGTGCATCTCGAGCGCCTTCTCGGCGAGCTTGGCCTCGCGCTCGGCGGCAAAGGCCCGCGCGAAGTGAGCACGAGGGATCGGGTCGGTGAGGCGGACGCTCGAGAGCGAGGAAGGGTGCGAGGCGAACAGGGCGCCCTCGAGGTCGAGGGGAAGGTCGTCGGGAAAAGAGAAGGGATGGGGCGAGGGCTTGACGACATGCACGATGGGCTTGAGGCGGGTGCGGTCGGCGGCGATGCTGGCGAGAGACGGGAGAACCTGCGCGATGGCCGAACTGAGTAAGTGGGAGGTTCTGCTTCGCGCCGGGAAAGGAGCAAGCTTGACGCACTTGACGCTTGTCGACCGGCTTCGAGTCGGCGGGATGCGCGCTCGTCCTCCTCACAGGCACTGTCGTCTTAGCCGGCGACGCGAGCTGGACGTAGAGGCCCTTGTGGCGGTTGAAAAACGGCTTGGTCGAGCGACGTTCGGGCGTCTCGGCGGATGCGGCGACAGGCGCAGGCGCAGCAGGCCGACGGGGACGGCTGACGTCGCGGTTCCAGACTGGAGGAGCGTGCGCCTGACGACCGCCCGGGCGACGTGCGGCGGCTGCCGAACTGCGGAAGGCGGCGGGAGGAGGATCGCGCTCGCGCCGCTCTTCCTGCGGGCGCGTGACGCCGGCGAGGGTGGGCCGCATCTGGAGCGGGCGGACGACAGGGACGTCGAGCGAGGACGACTTGATGTCGGGGTGACTGTGAGAGGTTGGCAAGGAGGGCTGCTCGGGCGAGGTCGGGGTCGAAGTCGTCGAGGAAGGGGTCGGCTGCAGGTACGGGAGGCGAGGGAGAGTCAGCTTCGTATTTCGCACGAGACACTCTCGTATAGCGAATGACACGAGAGGGGTGTCGACGAGAAAGAGCGGGAAAGGGGAGGAAGAGAGGGACGAGGAGAAGAACGAGGAGGAGAAGGGACGAACCTCAGCCGCGCTCGCCGCTTTCCCCGCCCCGTGGAGCCACTCAGGCCCCATCGTGCGGTCCACCTCGGCTTCGACGCGCTTCTTGTCCCGCACCGCCTGCCGAGCGAGCCTCGCCGCACGAGGAGACGCCGTGCGCGTCGCCTTGAAGAGGGCCTCGAAGATCTGGCGCGTGCCCGTCGGGTGGAAGGGCCACATGTCGACGGGGAGGTGCTAGTCGTCGAGGGTGGACAGGTGTCGAGGGCGCTGGAGGAGGAGCTGCGGCCGAGGTGGGGATGTCAACGGCGCGTCGCCGGGCTGATCTTGCTCGTGACGGCGTCGGCGTGCGGCTGCAGACGGCGTGGGAGGAAGGTGGTTGCGTGCGAGTGAGACGAAGCGGTTCAGGGGAAGGGGGACGGGGAAAGATGAAGCTGAGACGCAGGGGTAATGGCGAAAGAGAGGCCTCGTCGGCCGCCTGCTCGAGCGCATGGCGCGCACGCAGAAAGGGACGCGCAAGGCCTTGCCATCGTGCACAAGGCGCGGTAGCAGCGGCGTCGACACGCACCCTCCCCCGAACCCAGCCAGCTGTAGGTCGGGGGCAGGTTGAACGCGCTCGAGCCTCCCTTTGTCCTGCTGTCCCAGGGCGAGACATCGGGATCCGCGCCGCCGGCTCGCGTGCAGCACAAGCGCCGCGGCGGCACGATCGAGTGCAGCGTCGTCGGGCCGATTGCGGCGGCTAAGCGAAAGCCAGCGCGCGCGAAGGACATCGAGAAGCCGGCGCCCGACAAGGGCTGCACCGGTCGAAGCAGATGTCGAGGCGCAGGCTGCAGCTGTGGCCGCCTCGAGCTCGAGCCGACACGCGAACGATGCCGTTAACGACAGAACCCGAGAAGAATGGCGGTCGATGCAGGTCTATGCGCGGTCGTAGCTCGCTCCTCCCGCCTTGCGCAACCGCACGACGATGGGCTCCTGCAGAGGCGAGGATGGAGATTGGTGAGCTCCTCTCGCACTCGCAGGACGGCACGATGATGAAGAGAGACGAGAGGGACGCACCTCTGCCAGGTCGTCGAGCGAGTTGGCCGGCACCTCGAGCGACGAGACGGACAGGACGCGCTTGACGTCGGCGGCGTGGACCGAGAGCTTGGCCTTGCGGAGCACTCGGACGTCCTTGCCGATCCACGTGATGATGATGAACTGCAGAAGGAGGGCGGGGCGGGCTCTGGGCTCGTTAGCTCAGGTCCGTTCGAGAGGGAGGGGAGGAGGGGGAGGAAGCGGCGAGGGCGCACCTTTTCGCGAGTCGACTCTACGTCGTTGGCGTACTTGACCCGCAGGTAGGCGAACGAGGCGTTGGTGTCCTTGAGGTTGCTCTTGAGCTCTTCGAGGTCGCCCTCGCCGGTGGCCGTGAGGACGAGTTTGTCGCTGCGGTCGCCGGCGTAGTCGAGGAGGAGCCAGGTCTTTGGGTCCTTGTCGTTGCGGACGGCGTCGTAGGCGTCCTTGATCTCGGGAGCAGAGACGTCGGCCTGAGGAGGGTTTGATCAGTGACACGCGGTTGGAGGATGAGCGGGAAGGGCGACGACGGACCATGGCGGTGTGGGACGAGCGGGATCGGGCACAGTCGAGGTTGAACGAGAGAGGTGGGCCCGCAGGCGAGTAGCAAGAGGGCGAGGAGGCGAGGGCGAGGAGGAGGACGAGCGAGGAGGAGGGGGACCAAGTGGGGGCAAGGCCGAACCTCGTCTCTCCCTCGCTCCTGTCACCCTCTGCTGCTAGTTCGACGGCTTGGACCTGCTCTCCACCTTGCTGTCTCCGAATCGGCCGCCCTCCAAACCCTCCTCTCGCCCGCCTCACCAACCGACCCTCGTCGCCGCCGTCATGCGCGACTCGAAGCACCCGCCGCCCATCCACAACGCCGACCCAGGTCCTGCACACAAGGCAGAGCGTAGGCCCTCCCTCCCCGACTCGGCTCGCGCCCTACACCGCCCAGAGGACTACGCCCACCTCTTGCACTCGTTCGACACTTTCCTCTTTGACGTCCGTCCTCTCTCCCTCTCGCACCTCGAGCGCACCTTCTCCTCGTACATGCTCACCCTCTACCTTTCCGCAGTGCGACGGCGTCATCTGGACCGGCCCGGCGGGAGACCAGCTGTCCGTCTTCCTCCTCGTCCTCTCCTACTCGTGGTCCTCGCTCACCTCGCATCGACGCCTCCTGCAGCACGCCCAACATCGTCGAAACGCTCGAGTTCCTGCGCGGCAAGGGCAAGAAGCTCGCCTTTATCACCAACAACGCGACCCGGTCTCGGCAGCAGTACGTCGACAAGGTGCGTCGAGCCTCTCCCGCTCTTTAACGAGCGCGCACTGACCCTCCTCGCCGCCCACTCTACAGTTTGCCGGCTTCGGCATCAAGGTGTGGCTCGACGAGGTCTTTACGTGCGGCAGCGCGACAGCCGAGTACGTGCGCGCCGTCGTCCTCCCGTCGATCAAGGACGAGTCGAAGCGCGGCGTCTACCTCATCGGGCAACGCGCCATGGAGCACGAGTTCGAGGACGAGGGCCTGTCGTGGAAGGGCGGCACGGCGTCAGAGGACGACGTGCTGCCCGAGCCGCAGGACTTTAGCGCCATCGTTCCAGACGAGTCGATCGGCGTCGTCGTGTTCGCGTTCCAGATGAGGGGTGCGTCCCTCTCTCTCACTCTTTTCCTCCAGCGACACGGCCTGAATCTCTCTCACCCACAGTCAACTACGTCCAGCTCGCAAAGGCCTACAACTACCTCTCGTCCAACCCGGGCTGCCGCCTCGTCCTCACCAACGACGACCAGAGCTTCCTCCTGCCGTCGGGCGGCTACGCCCCGGGCGAGGGAGCCATTGCTTCGGTTCTGTACGGCGCTCTGCCCCCTGGTGCGCCCGAAAAGGTCGTTGTCGGAAAACCGCACAAGCCCCTGCTCGACATCGTCCAGCGCGAGTGCGTCCCCTCGTCTCTCTCGTCCTCTCTCGCGGTTCGTCGCAGAGCGTCGAGACTCACATGAGCTTCCTTGGCGCAGGCTCCAGTTCGACTCGAAGCGCACCGTCTTTATCGGCGACCGCCTCGAGACGGATGTCCTCTTCGCCAAGCGCGGCGGCATCGCCTCGGTCCTCGTGTGGACCGGCATCTCCAAGCCCGAGGTGCTCTCCTTCTTTCTCTCTCTTGCACTCCTTGCGCACGTGCCTCGACCTGACTCGCCGCTCGTCACGCCCGCAGGACCTCGTCGGCCTTCCCCTCGAGGAGGAGCCCGAGTACACGATGGCGAGCGTCGGCGCTCTCCTCGACGCACAACACTTGGCCAACTGATATCTATATTGCATCGATAGACGAGCTGAGCCTCCTTTCCTGAGCGAGAGAGCCGGCGAGAGAGTGAGAGGAGGAAAGCGAGAGCAACAGAGAGCTCGAGCCTCTTCTCGTGCGCTCGCGGTGCTGCCCGTGCGACGTGAGCGACGTGGGCGACGTGCGCGACGACGAGAGAAGCGTCAGGTCGGGCCAAAGGAATCTGCGATAAGAGCGGCGCTGAGAGGACGGCTCGCGAGGGGTCCGGGCACGCTCTCGACGATGCACGACAGCTCTCGGCTCGCGAGTTCAAGGAAGTCCATGGTTGCACAGCTAATGAATGACACGACGATGACCGGCTCAGAAGCTCTCGACGGCGAACGACCACTCGCCCGTCTCGGCGTCGAAGCTGATGTAGTCGGTGCCGTCGAGCGCCCTCAGGCGGCGGATGTGGGCCGCGACGCGCGGGTGGTTGGCGTCCCGGATCGGCTTGCGCGTCGCCTTGTCGAGCGGGAAGCAGTTCTCGAGCGTGATGGTCGCCGGCACGTTGAGGCCCTCGCCCGGCGGCGGCTTGGCCGCCTCGTACTCGTCCGGGTACACGGTCGCGTTGCGGTCCTCGAGGCGCACGAGGCCGCCGAGGAGCTCGTCGACCGAGTCGAGCGTCGTGAGGTCGACCGGGGCCGAGAACGCGACTTGGCCGTACCATTTGCGGCCGACGACGAGGTCGCGCACCGAGCGCAGCTTGGCCGCCGGCAGCTTCTGCAGCGTGTCGATCGACGGCACCGTGTAGTAGTCGCCGTCCTCGAGCTGCTTCTGCTGCTGCTGCTGCTGGGCGCCGGCGCGAGTGCGAGCCGGCTCGGCGGCGACGGACCGTGCGGCCGACGGCGAGTCGAGCGTCGTGTTGCCGCCCTCGGTCAGGCCGCCCTCGGACACGAACGACGCGTCGCCCGCGCCCTCGCTCGGGCCTGCGCTGCCGCTGCCGCCGCCGATGGTCGAGAACAGCGACGACCGGCTCGTGACGGGCGCGGCGGCGTCAAACTGCACCTTGGTGGCCGTGCGGGGCGAGGCCGTCGACGACGGCGTCGACCCGGCCGTGAGCGACTTGCCGAGCGACTTCTTGTCGATGACGAGCTTCTTGACGCTCGGACGCGACACGAACGCGTTGGGCGACAGGGCCACGTCGTCGCTGATGCCGTTGGCGAGCCGCAGAGGCGAGTCGCGCGCGCCGAGGCTGCTGCCGTTGCCGCCCGGCGTCCCTGCTCGTCCGCTGACGACGCTGCCGCCGAGGGCGCTCGCCGTGCTGTTGCCGAGGCCCGAGAAGCCGAGGCCGCCGCCGGGCGCCGGGCTCGAGGTCGACGACGAGCCGAACCCTCGCAGGCGCGTGATCTTGGTCGACGAGCGCGGCGTGCCGCGGAACGCCGAAAAGATGGGCGGCTTCTTCTTGTCCTCGGCGGGGCGGACCGGGCTCTGTCCGGCGCTCGCGAAGAGCGGGTTCGAGCCGTACGCGTTGACGTCGTCGGCCGAGGCGTACTGCTGCTGCTGCTGCAACTGCTGGAGGCCCTGCGGCTGCTGCTGCTGTTGGCCGAGCTGGTTGGTCGAGTTGCCGAAGAGCGAGCCGCCGAGTTGCGGCGCCGGCTGCGACAACGAGCCGAACAGGCCCGTCGACTGCTGCTGCTGCTGCTGCTGCTGCTGAGGCTGCTGCTGCGTCGAGCCGAACAGGCCACCGCCCGTGCCCGGCGCCGTCGACGAGCCGAACAAGCCGCCGCCCGTCGCCGGCTGCGCCGGCTTGGCGCCGAACAGGCCGCCCGACCCGAACGTGCTCGTGCCCTGCGCCGGCTGCTGCTGCTGCTGCTGCGGCTGGCCGAACGTCGACCCGCCGCCGAACAGGCCACCGCCCGTCTGCTGCTGCTGCTGCGGCTGAGCGCCGAACGCCGGTGCGGCACTCGTCTGCGGCTGCGAGTTGCCGAACAGCCCGCCGCCGGTCCCTCCTCCTGCCGGTGCGCCGAACGAGAACGTCGGCTTGGGCGCAGTGGCGGCAGCAGGCTGCCCGAACGCGGGCGCGGACGTGGCGGGTGCGGCGCCGAAGAGCGGCTTGTTGGCGGCGGGCGCGCCGAACGAAAAGCTCGGGGCGGCGCTCGCGGCAGGCTGCTGCTGGCCGAACAGGCCGCCAGTCGCGGCGGGCTGCGCAGGCTGGCCGAACGGGTTCGACGGGGCGGCGCTCGTTGCCGGCGCCGAGCCGAACAGGCCGCCCGAGCTCGCCGGCGTCGAGTTGGTCGCGCCGAACGAGAAGCCCGTCGTCGCCGGCTTTTGCGCAGCGGCGCCGAAGCCGCCGAACGCCGGCGTCGACGTGGCGGCGGCAGGCTGGCCGAAAGTCGAGGTGCCGGCCGCCTGGCCAAAGAGGCCGCCCGTCTGCGCCGGCTGCGAGGTCGCCTGGCCGAACAGGCCGCCGCCCTGGCCCGGCTGCGACGTCGCCGGTTGCCCAAAGCCGCCCGTCGCGCCCGAACTGCCGAACAGACCGCCGCTCGACGGCGCCGAGCCGAACGCGTTGGTCGCGGCGGGCGCGGCGCCGAATGCCGGGGTCGACGAGCCCGCGCCGCCGAACAGGCCGCCGCCGCTTGCGGGAGCTGCAGCGCCAAAGGCAGGCGTGCTGCTGGCGCCGAACGCGCTGCCGAAGCCGGGCGTCGCGCCGGCCGTCGGCTGCTTGCGGTTGGCCTGGTAGTCCTGCCAGCGCAGCTCCTCGAACGAGAAGTTCTTGTACTGGGGCATGCACGTGATCGACTGGAACTGGTGCGCCGTCTGGTTGGTCGGCGGCGGCTTGTTGTCCTCCTGGGGCGGCTCCATGACGGTCGTCGACTGGTACGGCGCGACGGCGGTGCCGTTGGCGGGACCGGCGGGCGCAGCGCCGAACGCCGGAGCGGCAGGAGCTGCGGGCGAGCGAGTACAGGTCAGGGTCACGCAGAGAGAGACGACTCGGAAGCGAAATGGGACGCACCGCCGCCAAAAAGACCGCCCGTTGCCGCCGGCTGCTGCTGCGCCGGCTGCCCGAAGCCGCCAAAGCCCGTCGTGGCCGGCTTGGCGGCCCCAAAGAGCCCACCAGTCGCACCTGCACCCGCCGCCGGCTGGCCGAAAGTCGAGGTCGCGCCCGTGTTGGCTGCAGGCGAGGCAGAGCGTCAGCAAGGCGAAGAGGGGGGAAGAGGGACGCGAGGAGGCTGGGATGGACTCACAGGCGCCGAACGAGAAGCCGGTGCTGGGAGCCGACGTGCCCGTGCTGCCAAAGAGCCCGCCACCCTGCTGCTGGGCCGGTTGGCCGAATGCAGGAGCGGCCGACGCGGTCGAGCCGAACGAGGGCGCGGCGGAGGTTGCGCCGAAGCCGCCTTTGAGCGCGAGGACGCGGTGCATGGGCGGATAGGGTAGTCGAGGACATGGCGGATGGTTGGAGATGCGGGCGGGCGAGGGCAAGTTAGTGCTGAACGACGAAACCAGTCACGGGCGGGACGAGGTCGCCCAGGGAGGCAAGGTGGACGCACCGAAGCCAGTGCTCGCCTGCTGCGGCTGCTGCGCGGGCTGACCGAAAGCTGGGGCGGCACTTGCGCCGAAGCCTGCGAGAGGGGACGTGCGAGATGAGGAGGGAGAGGGGCGGGGAGGAGGACGAGGTCAGTGAAAGGCCTCTCGACAGCAGGGCGCGAGACAGGGCCCGCAGTACGACCGCATGTATCCGTATGGGCGCGCGCTGCCGCGCTTCAGGCTGTCCGGGGGCGATAAGGGGACGCACTCGAGCCAAACCCTCCGGCGGCACCTCCAAAGAGGCCGCCCGCAGGCTGCTGCGGCTGCTGCTGTTGCTGCTGCTGTTGTTGCTGTTGACCGAAGCCGCCAAAAGTAGAGCCGCTCGAGCCAAACATGGTCCTGGCGGGCGGTGGGCGAAGGACGAGGCGGGGTGAGGGGACGAGGAGGTTGGAGGAGCGAACGGCGGCTCTGGGCGAGGTGTGCGCGGGCTCGAGGGGTGCGCTCGGGGGTGAGACGAGTCGGTGCGAGCGTGCACGGGTGCAGCAAGGGCAGGCGAGCGGCTCGTTGACGAGCGAGCCTTCGTCTCGTCCTCCCGTCGCGAGCCAGCTGGATCCGCTCAACCATGCCCTCTCGAGCGCAACAGAGATAAATATTCTCGAGTCGCAATGCAATAATGATACGCCTCACAGCACCGTCAACACCTCCCCGCCCATGCCCAAATCCCACATGCCCCTCGTCTCGAGCGCCTCGTCCTTGACGACCCACACGACCTGCGTCGTCCGCCCCTCGCTCCTCTCCGCGCCTGCCCCCTTCTCAGCCTCGCCCTCGAGCCACGCGACGCACTCGCGCTCGACGCGAGACCCGGGCGCAACAAAGACGAACCCTTGCCGCGCCGGACCTCCTGCGGCCGGCGTCGACCCTGCCGCGCCCGACGACGCCGAGAACGACGCAGGGCAGCGCCCGGCGACCCACAGCACCGAGAGCGGCGACGCGAGAAAGTTGGTCGAGTCGAGGAACGGGTGTCGCGGCGTCGGGAGGGGAGAGCCGGGAGGAAGCGGCGGGTGCAGCGACCACGCAAAGGCGCGAGACGGGTGGGTCGTGGCGGCGGCGGTGGTGGCAGACGAGAGGGAGGACGAGGGCGACAGGGCGGGCAGGAGTGTCGAGATGGTCGAGGTGAGGGAGGTCCGAGTCGAGCCGGACGACCGCCGGCGCCGTTTCGACGAGAGCGACGGGCACGACACGGTCGAGGTGAGGGGCGCTCGCTTCTTGACGGTCGCCGGATGCTCGAGAGCGAGAGAGAAGGGGCGCTGGCTCGGCGACGGCGCGCTGGAACGAGCGCTCGGCGACGAGATCGAGCGGACGAGGGCGCTCAACGCCGGCGGCGGCGGCGAGGCGGCGGTTGGGGTACGGGACAGGTCGACGTCGACTGAGGCTTGTCGCGTCGTCGAGATGGTGGGAAGAGGCGGTGTCGAGCGCGTGCTGCTCGTCGCCGCCGGCGCCTTGTCGATCCTCGGCCGCTTCTCCTCGCGCCGCACCTCGTCGCCTTGCCTCTTGTGCCCGTCCGTCACCGATCGCTCGCCGTCAAGTACGCCGTCCGCCGCCTCGAGCCGCTCGACCCACTGCCGGACCTCGCGCTCGTACCGCTCCTGGCTCTCCTCGCCGCTCGACGTGTCGCGCTCGAGCGAGCTGCCGACCGCCGCGTCGCGCACCGCCGCGTTCCAGATGTCGTCGACGAGGGCGACGGCCGTCGACGGCGCGGCGCCGACTGCTTCTTGGGCGACGAGCTGCAGCTTGTCGAGCGAGAGCGGCGAGGCGCCAGAGTCGGCCTCGCGGGACGGCTTGGTGATGCGGGGGAAGCGCAGTTCGTAGTACTGCGACGGCGAGACAAGGTCAGGGTCTGATGCGCGAGGAGAGAAGAGAAAGGCAGGACGCACGGGGCAGCCGATCGAGCGCTGAAAGCCCGCTCCGTTAAGCTCCATAATGCGCGGCTCGCGAAAGATGATGGACGGCCGAGTTGCGGCGGAGCGCATGTGCCCGGCGAGCGAGAACGTGAAGGAGGTGCACTGTTGGCGGCGCGAGTCGGCAGGTCAGGTTCAGGACCCGAGAGAGGAAGTGGACGAGGAGAGAGCTCGACGCACCGCCGCGCCATAGACCGTGTAGCCTCCTCTCACTCCTCCTCGCCACCTTTGACGCTCCTTGACAGGCCGGAAAGCTGCGCCTCGCTCGGCGTCCTTTCCAAAGGCGAGGTCGAAGTGTTCGGGCCGGTTCTGGTCGATCTCGAGGCACAGTTGGGCGAGCTGGGTGCGCGACAGGCCGTACGACACCGAGAAGAGGATGTGGTAGTGCGGCTTGCGCTCACGCTGCAGGAGGGAGGCAGGGGTGAGCGAGGGCGGTGCGCAGGAGGAGCTCGAGAGGGAGGAGGACGCACCGAGAAGTTGACGCCGAACTTGTCCTCACGCAGGCCGATGAAGAAGGTCGTGTAGACGGTCGTTGGCACTGCGACAGGAGATTGAAGTCGTCAGGTCGAGGGAGAGAGGCAAGGAGGGGGTTGAGGCCTGTCGCGCACCGAGCAGTTCCCTCCCTCGCTGCTTCTGCCACGAGGCGCCGACGACGTGGAAGTCGAGCGTGTCGCCCGCGCCCGGCACAAAGTCCTTCTTGAGCTTGACGATGCGCTGATGAGGTCGAGGATCGTTGTACAGGGAGCCGAGCGGCTTGAGCATGAGGCCCTCTGCGGGAGGAAGAGAAAGGTCAGGACCGGGTCGCCGAGGAGGAAGAGGGCTCAGGACGCACCGCAACGGCGAGTGATGATGTGCGCGAAGCGCAGGCGTAGGTTCTACGGGGCAAGAACGCGTCAGAGGTCGCCTGAGGGCAGGTAAAGAGGCCTGAGCGCACCTCGAGGGCGGACGACTTGTGGTCAAAGTTGATGAGGACGCGCTCCGAGAGCATGCTCTGCTCGTGAAGGGGTCAGTGACGGCTCGATAGAGCAGAGAGAGAGGGGGGGGGGACGCACAAAGCCAGGAATAGGGCGGATGAGGGAGTCTAGTCGTGCGCGTCGTGAAGAATAAGTCTCTGTGCGAAGGCGAGGTGGGTCAGGACGACGGCCTCGAGATGGAGAAGGAGAGAAACACGCACCGTCTAACAGGCTCTCGTCGTCGAGGAGCAACACATCGAACCAGACCACCATGAGGTGCAGGTTCCTCGCCGGGTCGTCCTTGGCCGCCGCCTCCTCCTCGTCCCGCTCGCCCTCCTCGTCGCCGTCCCTCTCGACCAACCTCCTCGACCGTCTCGGGCTCGGCGTCGCGCCCGTCCCGCCCGTCTCCTGCGTCTCCTGACGGTCGTCCTTGCCCGGCGGCCGCTCAAACGGCGTGCCCGCCACCCCCGCCGGCAGTGCGGCGCCACCTTTCGCGAACGCGAGCTTCCAGAACTCGTCGATCCGGGAGCGCGACTCGTCGTACGGCACCATCTCGCCCTCGAGGATGAGCCGGCTTGGCGGAAAGGCGGTCGGCGCGCGAGAGGAGGCTGAGGCGAGGAGGCGGTCGTACAGGAGGGGATGCATGGCGCGCGAGAGCGGGTCGAGGGGTAGGTCGAGCGAGGCGCGGATGATGCTGTGGGCAGAGAGCATGAGGAAGATGCTCGAGAGAGAGAGACTGGGAGAGATCGACAGGGACGCACGGCAGAAGAAGATGGCGCGTGTCCGTGCTGTCCCTCCCGCTCTTTGAGAAGATGCGGATCTGCTCGAGAGGCGGGAGGCCCAAGTCGATGTGGATCTGGAGCCTGTATACGACGAGTTGGAGGTGAGCGACGGACGCAGAGCAGGCTCAGAGAGAGAGAGAGAGACGCACCGCTCGCCGTCGTACTTGGTCTCGACCGCCACCTCGCCCTCGAGATGCCGCGTTGCCCGGCTGCACGATCCCGGCTTCTCGGTCTTGGGCACCTGCAGGTCGAGAGTATGAGTGAGTGTGTCTGGCAGGGCACGAGGACGCAGTCGAGGAGGCTCACCTTGATCGGCAGGCCGATCTTGGGCACGACGGGTCCGAGCGGGCGACCATGACCTGCGAGAAGAGAGAGTCAGGCTCTCGCTCGACCCGGGGGAGGTAGAGAAAAGTGGGTGACGCACGAAGAGCTTTCTCGGCTTGCCATGCGACCCAGTCGAGGTCGGCGACGGCCTGGTACAGCCTCGGCATGCCCTCGTGCCACAGCCGCATCGCGTCGTACAGGCCGAGCTCGTTGTAGGCGAGCGACGTGAAGCGCGTGAGGGCGACGTCGCCGAGTGCGCTTGGTGGCGGGTACAGGAGAGGCGACAGGTCGCGCAAGATGATCTGAAGCATGACGGCGGTCTCGGAGGGCGAGAGGGGGAGGAGGAGGTCGGCGAGGATGGCCGTGACGGGTCGCGCCGTGTAGCGAGGATACATGCGTAGATGCTTGACTGCGGGAGAAGACGGGCGTGAGCCCGATGAACCGGGAGGAGAGGGAGAGAGGGGAGCGCACTGTCGGCCGAGGACCAATCCGAGAGCGTCGCCAGCTCGTCGAGAAGCTCGTCGACACTGCGCGCAGGGAACAGAGTCAGGTGACACTTGGAGCTGTTGCACTGGGGAGGCGGACGCACCGTCCCATCGTGAGCTCTTTGACCTTGCCCTTGCCCCACTTGCCGCGCCTCTCGAGCCACCGCGCGACTTCCAGGCCCATGCACCCAGAGCCCTCGCCGGCCGCAGCACTGGTAGATGCTGCAGCGTTCCACCGCGAGAACGAGCCGCGCTTGGCGCCGTAGACCGACTCGAGCGCCTCGCCGAGCGTGAGCTCCTGCAGGCCGTACCTGCGCGTGCGGGAACAAGGGCTTGGTCAGCTTCCACAGGTCGGCGAGAGGGAGCCAGAGAGCAGTGGGCGCACCGTCGCCGTATACCCTCGTCTGGAAAGAAGAGGCGGAAGAAGAGGACGATGGTTCCCTCGGGCACCGCTCCATCTCGGTGCTCGGCTCGCACCCCGTCGATCCACGCAGCGAGCAGGCGGTGCTCCTTGGGGGACTTGCCGACCGTGCTGGACCGCGCGCCGCCCTTCTTCTTGGCCGCGACGGTGCCCACGCGGTCGACGAGCGTCGCGAAGTAGGCGAACGGGATCTCGTTGGCGTACAGCGAGGCGGGCGGGGGAGGGCGCGCCATGCCGGTAGCAGCAGCAGTGCTGGGTTATGTACAAGGGCCGTGCGCGCCCGAGGTGCTGAAAGGCGAGGCGGGTCGACGAGAGAGAGCAAGCCGCTTCAGAAGGTCAACTTGCTCGCTCTTCGCCGCGAAGCTCTCTCTCTCGCGGGCTCAGGGTGAGGGAGAGCAGGCTCCAGTGCACGCTACGTGGACTGGCTACGGATACAGGGCCACAGAGAGTAGCGAGGGGGGGGTAAACGGGGACGCGAGTCGAGAGGGTGGGACGAACGACGACTCGCCGTCCGAGGGCAGGGACAACAAGGAGGCGGCTAGGCGGCACAGGTAAGGCGACGCAGGGCGAGATGAAGACAGACAGGTCACAGAGACGCATGGTCTAGGAGGACGGCGAGGGCGATGCGGGTGATGCTGAGGGGGATGAGGGAGGGACCGAGGGTCGAGTCGAGGTGCGAGTCGAGGGCGAGGTGGATCAGGCGACAGGTGCGACGGTGACGGCGAGCTTGGTCGGCTGGAAAGGATGCGGCGGCCACACGTCGGCGTCCTCGGCGAGCTCGAGCCCCTCGAGCTCGTCGTCGTCGTCGTCCTCGTCGTCGAGCCGGTCGCGCTCGTCGAACGCGTTGCTGCCGAGCGACCCTCGTCGCTGCGCCGCTGCGCACACCTCGCACATGGCCGTCCCGACGATGCACGCGCCGCCGCACACCGAGCGCATCTGGAACCGCTCACGCTCGCGCTCGTTGGCCGACGACGACAGCGAGCCGCCGATCGGGTCGACGCTGCCGTACCGCGTGAGCGAGAACGACGCCGAGTCGGCCGTCTGCGGCCCGTTGTTGCCCGGCGAGCCCGACGACAGCTGCGAGAAGGCCGAGAAGCCCGTCGCCGCGCTCCAGGGCGAGCCGGCGAACGACGGCGACAGCGGCGACTGGTTCGACGTCGACGAGCCCGTCGAGGTCTGGCGCTTGTGCGACGGGCGATGCAGGGCGGGCCGCAGAGGGGTGGGTCGCACGCGGCGAGTGTCGATCGGGAGGGCGACCGTTTTCGAGGCGGGCAGGCTCGGCGTCGGCAGGGCCGAGGCGGTCGGCGTGATGTCGGTCGACGACGCGTTCGAGCCCTCGGCGAGCTCGATGGGCGGCGACAGCGATGCCGAGACGGGTGCGGGTGCGGTCGGGGCGGACGACGAGACGGAGCTCGGGGCCGACTCGTCGGGCGTCGAGCGTCGTACCGGTGGCGCCGCCGGGAACGTCCACTCGTTGGTCACGGGCTGCGAGAACGCCTCGTCGGTGCGGAGCGAGATCGCCTCCCACGCCGCCCGTCCATCGCGCAGTTTCTCCACAAAGTCGGCGAACTCTGTGGGGCGAGAGGGCGTCAGAGGCGGTCGACAAGGGCGTGCGGGCAAGAGAGAGAGAGAGGAAGGAGGACGGAGAGAGGGAGAGCGAGGACGCACCGTCGACGACGCTCGCCATGGCGCCAAAGAGCGGCTTGCAGAACAGGTCGATGAAGCCGACTTGGCCCTTGGCCTGCGCCTTGGCGTCGTTCGGGTCCTGCGTCATGACCGTCACGGGCAGGCCGAAGCTCGTCTCGATGCTCGCCTGGACCGCCCACTCTTCCTGCAAGGCGGCGGCCCACAGGCGCGAGATGCGGTGAGGGCGAGTCTGCGGCGGCGAGGGAGAGGGAGGGTCAGACAAGCTGCGCATCGAGAGAAGAGAGAGGAGGAGGAGAGGGAGGGAGAGGGCGAGGGCGCACCGGGTTGCTGATGTCGGCGCACTTGATGAGGCCCGAGCACAGGAGGAGCCGGTCGGCCTCGAGGTCCCGGCCCGCGCTCACGCTCGGTGAGCCCTTGCGCTGCGCGCGCTTGCCCATGTCGGTGATCTCGGTGACGAACGCAAAGTGGCGGCTCATGTCGGTCGCGAGGATGGACGCCTCGACAATCTTGCGGAACGGCGTCGCCTGGTCGCCGAGGTGGCCAAAGTCGCCGCCGAGGAGGTAGTCGAAGCCGTGGCGGCGGAGCATGTGCGTCAAGGTGACGGTGTGGAAGTTTTCGAGGATCGACTTGTCGTCGTAGACCTGGGCGACCGGTGCGCGCGCGTTGACCTGCGGAACGACCGAGAGTGGGTCAGGGTTCGAGCGCCGCTGCCGACGAGACGGCACGAGACAGAAAGAGAGAGAGTGGGCGCACCATGTAGGCGTTGGTGAGGCCCGGGTGCCCGACGTCGTGACCGATGCAGGCGACGAGGAGCGCAAAGACGTCCATGGGCCGCAACAGCTCGCCCATGCCGCCCTCCTCGACGGCCCGGTTCCTCCTCCACTTGCGCCGACCCTCGCCGAGGTTGGCGTCGTAGTCCTCCTCGCACAGGAGGAAGAGCGGCGGCGCGAGGCCCATGCGCACGAGGAACGAGTAGCACGCCTGGGTGACGTCGGCGGCGTGGTTGAAGTTGTGGTACCCGTTGCGGGCGTGGTAGGCCGAGCGCAGCGACAGGAGGAGGTGCTTGAACCGGTCTGCGACGAGAAACAAGAGAGGTCAGGGCGGGTCCTCGGGCGCCGGGGCGCAAGGAAAGGAGGAACTCGTGCGACGCACGCAGGTCAAAGTCGACGCCTTCCATGTTGCGCACGCTCTCGAAGATGATGCCGACACAGGCGAGAAGGTCGTCGGGCGAGTACGACATGGCGTCGAACGACCAGCTCTGGAGGTTGGCGATGAGCGAGAACCGCCGGCTCTGCGACACGACGGGAAAGGCCGGCACGTTGAGGCGAGACGGGCCCGGTTCGCACGACGTCGAAGGTGCCGGGTCGTCGTTGGGGAAGGATGGCGGGATCGTGCCGGCGTTGTTGAAGAAGGCCGAGTCGGCCGACACGGACGTGTTGCGGGACGGCGTTGACGAGCTTGCCGGCGAGCCCGGGATCGCCTCGAGGCGATGTACTTGAGGCACAGGCGGCTCGGACAGGTGCTCGACCGCGGCTGGCGGTTCGACCTCGACGGTTCGAGGTTCGGCGCACAGGGCGAGCGAGTGCGCGAGAAGCGAGGCGAGATGACGACCGAGGCTGTGGCGGGGACAGAGTTAGGACCTCGCAGTACCGAGATAAGTGGACGAGAGTGGACGCACAGCCTGTCCTTGCGGCCCTTGCCTCCTGCGCCGACGACGCCCGTCTCCTTGTCGCCCGCGTCGGGCCCGACGGCGTCTCGCACGCGGCGGCTCATGGCCGTCACGCCGTACATGCGGTGGGTGCCGACGCCGAGGACGCCGACGTCGACGCTGCGCCTGCGCGTAAAGTCGGGCGTGACCTTGAGGAGGCCGCCGCTGCTGAGGGCGCCGGCGGTCCAGTTGGAGAAGAACGGGGCGGCGGCCGACGTGCCGGCGGCGGGCGAGCACAGCGGGGACGACGTGCCCTGGACCGACGCTCGACGGGACGCTGGCAGGACGGGCGAGTGCTCGCCCGACGCCGAGCGCGTGAGGGACGACGAGCGGCCGGTGCCGGGACGGGCGGGCGAGCCCGGGGTGCTCGGGCGGCGGCCGGGCGTGATGGTGATGGTGCTGTGGGCGATCGAGCCGCGCTTCTGGGTGCTCGCGGTGGCGAACGGCGAGACGAACGTGATGCCGCCGGGCGCTGGCGCCATGGCTCCAGGGCTCACGGGCGCGCCTGCGGGTCCCGAGGTCGACAGGGCGGCGAGCGGCGGCAGGTTGGACGGCGACGAGTCGGTCGACGAGGGTGGTGCGGCGACACGGGCGCGCGACGAGCGGCGGAGGCTGGCAGGGATGGGAAGCGACGAGGAGCCGGCGGTGGAGATGGCGGTCGGGAGAGGGGGCGCCGAGGGGGCGGCGAACGGGTTGGTGAAGAAGGACATGGAGCTGCTGCTGAGCAAGGGCTCGCTCCCCCGCGGCGGGGAGGGGCGAGTGAGGGCGGAGAGACGAGGGCGGGAGGAGGCTGGCGGCGAGAGTGCGCGAAGGGAAGGGGGGGAAGGACGCGGCGGCGGCGGCAGGCGAGGGTTGCACAGAGGGGTGGGTGCGAGGGTGCACGCTCGTCGAGGTGCAGCAGCAGCAGCAGCAGCACGCTGGGTCGAAGAAAGCGACGACCGAGGGAGGCGAGCTCTCGTTCGCCTCGAACAAGGCGCCTGCTCGTTTCGCTCCGACCCGACGTTCGTTCGAGCCCCCCGTCTCTACCCCGCACTCTCCGGAGCCGGGTTCCCTCCTCGGCACAAACACCCGCTCGTCGCTCGATTAGCCACCGCCCGAAAAGTAAAGCCCGCCCGCGAGGTTCTCATCAGCTCCTCGTCGTCCCTCGACACGTCGCTCTCAGCCTCACTGCGCCCCGAGGGCAGCGCTCCAGCTCGCTCCATGGACCAGGGCAGCTGGCCGTACGGTCACCCTGCACCGGCGCAGCCCTACTCGTCCCGCGACGACTCGACCGCCCGGTTCGACGACTCGACCACGGCGCTCTACACGACGGCTCAGCAGCCGCAGCAGCATGCCCACGGCGCCCTGCAACACCAATCGTACGCTTCGACCTCGCACCAGACGCTCGACACTGCGCGCGACGACCACTCGGCCGCGTTCGACCACCGCGACGACGACCTCGCACGGCTCAGCAACGCCCGCATGTCCAAGAAGCCCAAGCCGCGACAGCCAGCTCCAGACGGCGTCGTCGTCACCGACAAGTCGTGCGTGCGCTGCCGGGTCCGCAAAGGTGCGCCCCGTCTCTCACTCTCCCTTGCGCGGCGCGGAAGCTCACCTGCCCCTCTCTCGCGCGCAGTACGGTGCAACCGCGTCTTTCCACAGTGCGACCACTGCACGGCGAGGAGCGAGGACTGCGACCTCAAGGACTGGAAGCCCAAGCCCAAGATCAAGCCGACCGACCCGGCTCGCGTCGCCGCGCTTGAGAAAAGGCTCGGTGCGTCCACGCCGTCCCTCTCTCACCTCCGAGCGCACGTACTGAGACCCCGACGTGCAGCCGAGCTCGAGCAGCAAGTCGCTCAAGGCGGCGCCGCCGTCGATCAGCCCTTTCCGCCCGACGCCTTCGACTTTCCGCCCGACATCGCCTCGTTCCGCCCCGCGCACGCCCAGTCGACTGTCGCCCTCGACACGGCAACCACCCGTACGACGCGCAGCATCGGCCCGCACTCGCTCGACTGGCGCCTCGCCGAGCCGCACATGGCCTCAAGCCTCTCGCGGCACCTGTGCGACGCCTTCTCGGACAGCTGCTGCTTCCTCCTCCCGACCTGGGAGTTCTTCCGCGCCCGCATGAGCGACTTCCTGCCGGGCAACGAGGATCGGCTGAGCGCGGCGCAAAGGGTGCGTCCCCCTTTCACTCCTCGCGGCCGTCGTTCCTCGTCTCGGGAGACTGACTCTCGCCCGGTCGACAGGTCGCTCTCACGACGTTCTGCGCCATCGGTGCACGGTCCTCGCCTCATTCTGTGCGTCCTCGTCTCGACTATGTTGCCCCGCAACTCGCGCTCACCTCTCCTCGTCCCCACAGGCCGTCCTCGGCATCTCGCTCAAGCCCGAGGACACGCTCGAGCACCCGAACGCGCCCCTCCTCAGCGCCGGTACTCGCCGCCAGAACGCCTGCCGGGCCCTGTTCGACAAGGCGCACGCCGACAACTACGAGTCGGGCACGATCGAGACGCCGACGGCCGAGAACTTGGCGACACTCCTCGCGCTTTTGCAGCTCTCACTCTGTGCGTCTGCCTCTCCCTCCTCCTCTCAGATCAGTCGAGGACATGCACTGACATGATAAGCCGTCCCTTCTTGCTGCAGTCGCCGAGTTGTGCGCCTTCTCGTCCGCTCTCGCTCGTTCCCCAGCACGACTGACCTGTTCGGTCCCCTCCCTCCCCTCCCCTATCCCTGCCACCGGTTCACAGTCACCCGATCAAGTCTCGACCGCTCCTGCGCTCGGCCTTGAGCCACTACCGCGACCTGCAAGACGAAGCCGAGACGGAGCAAGAGCGGGCGAGCGTTCGGTCGACTTTCGGCTTCGCCATCTACGTGCATCCTCTTCCTCTTCCACCTCGTCCTGTCGAGCGCACGTTACCTGACCCTCGCCGAACCTGCAGACGGTCGATTGCCTCATCTCGGCGCATGCGCGGCGCCGGCCCCAGATCTCGGACGACGACCTGCGCGACTACTTTGCCCACGACACGCGCATCGTCCTGCCTCGCCTGCCTCGAGACGAGCTTCGTCCAGTCGTCGACAAGGTCGTGACGGCGCTACCGACGCTCGACGCCAGCTCAAGACGGCCAAGCATCTGTTCGCGTGCTGGGTGTGCGCGTGTCAGCGGCTCTTTGCGCAGATTGTCGCTCGTGCGTCCACGTCTCTCTCCTCCCTCGCCGAGATTCGCGCAACCTGACGTCGCACTCGCCCCGCAGCAACGATGGCGCCGAGGAGAACCGCCGAGGAGAGGGTCCGAGCCATCGCTCAGCTCTGGACGGTGCGAGCGCTTCCTCTATTCTCGCCTCGGGATCGCCGAGCCTCACTGATTGACGTCGTCCTTCAGGCCATCGACTCGACCCACTCTGCCGCCGAGTACCTCCTCAGCCTGTCGCCCCCTCGACCGGGACCAGCTCAGCTCGCGAGCCTCGCGCCCGGCCCGATCGACCACCACGACCTGCACGAGCACGACTACGGCGCGCAGCTCATCCGCCTCGACCGCGACCTGCTCGACCTCGTCAACCTCGTCCACGCGCACCTGTCGGACAAGGCGGCGGCGGACCTTCCGGCGACGTGCGTCGAGGAGAGCACTCGGCGGGTACGGCGGGCGCTCAAGCGCAGGGCGGGCTACCTCAAGGCGTACGTCGACGGAGCCGACGCCCACAGTGCGTCTCCCTCTCTCCTTTCCTCCCTGTCTCCCAAGACGAGCCGCCCCTGACGACCTCGAGCACGCGCAGTGACCTTCCACGAGCTCCTGCAGCTCGAGCTCCTGCCCGACTGGACCAAGCTCGTCTTGCAGCGTATTGGTGAGTCTGGTGGGCCGAGCAGCGTCGACGAGGAGGTCGACGAGACGGAACTGAGCTGGTGCGCCTCGCCTCTCCTCTCTTTTCTTCTTTCTCTTCGAGCCCTCTCTGAGCGTCTTCCGCCCTCTCGCAGGTTCGTCGAGGGCCTCCAGCACGCCTGCTACTTCCACCCGCACGCCGAGACGCGCCTCCTCGAGCTCGCGCCGCACATGGCCGCCGTCGAAGGCCGGCTCGACCTGAGCCCGTACGCGCAACCTGCGCCGAGCCCGCTCCCGGCCGCGTTCGTCAACACGTCCCTGCCGACGACCTCCTCGGCGGCCGTCGCGTCGCTCTTCTCGCCCAGCACCCTCGCCGCCGCCTGGACCGACGTCGACGGCTTGTCCCTCCCTCTCCCGCCGCCGCCGACCTCGAACCCGCTCTTCTTCCCCGATCCCTCCCCGCCGACCGCCCCTCTCGGCCTGTCGTCCTCGTTCGACGTCGACGTCTCGACATACGGTCCCGGCGACGGCGGCGCAGGTGCCACGGCGCCGCTCGGGCCGCCGGGCAACGACGAGTTCGACTCGCTCGCGGCGTCGCTCGGGTTTGGCGGCGCGCTCGACTTCCTCGGCGGCTCGACGAGTGCCTCGCAAGGGTGGACTGGTGGAGCAGTGTAGCCTCTCGCAATGTCAAAGTCACTCTTTCCTCGCGCTCCTCTCCTTCCTTCGAGAGGCTCGAGAGTTCGGAAAGGTCTTTGTTCAGGGTAAGCGAGGGGAACGAGGCGAGGGGGAATCTAAACAGCTCGGAATATCGGGGTGCAAAGGGGGTAAACGAACACACATTGAGAGAGCGAGAGAGAGAGAGAGGGAGACAAAGCGAGGGGATCTACAGGACGAGGCTCGAGCGAGAGAGAGAAAGCTAAGGCTGAGGTGGCGACATCTCGAGGGCAGAAGGAGAGGGGGAGGGTCCATCTGCAGAGGGGAGAGAAAGGGAAAGGCGAGGGGAAAGAGAGAGAGGAAAGAAGCCTCAGGTCGCGAGGCCTTTCAGCCACTCGTCGACGGGCCCGCCGTACGCCGACACCGACGCCGTCCTGCCGCCGCCGCTCCCCGGCGCCGTCGGGTACGTCCATCCGACGGGCGCACTTGGCGAGTGCAGCGTCGGCCACATCGTCCCGCCGCCGCCCGTCGCGCCTCCTCCACCGCCGCCGCCGTTCGTCCCGGCGTACAGCGGGAACGGCGAGCGCGCCGCCGCAAAGCCCGGTCCCGCCTGCTGCTGCTGCTGCTGGTGCTGGAGCGGGAGCGAGAAGGTCGGGTCCTGCGGCGTGTGCAACGGCTGCGAGTGCTCGTACGCGGCGCCGGGGTGCGAGCGCTGCTGCGGGGAGTAGCGCGGCGCGTGCGTCGGCGTCGGGCCGACGGGCGGCATCGGGCTCGTCGAGTACGCCGACGGGGCGAGTGTCGACGAGAGGCGAGGAGGAGGGAGCGCGACGGCGAGGTCCGAGCGCTTGGTCGTGTACGCCGGCGCCGTCGTGACGGGCGACGGCATCGTGCGGCCGTACGGCTCGATGCGCGGCAGCGGCGACGGGTGCGCGTGCGTGTGCGCCTGCTGCATGTACGCGTCGCCGTACATGACGCGGGTCGAGCCGCCGCTGTCGTGCTGGACGTAGCTGAGCTGCGGGACGTGCGAGCTGTGCGCCGCCGGCTGGCCCGACCACGCCGATGTCTCGCGCGACGGCGGGGGCGCAAAGCCGTACGGGTTCGACGGCTTGGCCATGTGGGGCGAGTGGAGCGACTGGTACAGCGGGTAGGCGGCGTGCGGACCGGGCACGATCGGCGGCAGGTGGAAGCCGTGCGCCGACGTCGCCGAGGGACCGCCGCCCGTCGCGTAGGTCGAGTAGGCCGACGTCGACGGCGGCCTCGAGATGAACGGGTGCTGGTCGGGCGGCGAGTGGGCGAGAACCGAGTCCTCGGGCGAGTTGGCGGACGAGTACGAGAGGGGCGGGGTGGGCGTGAGCTGAGGGGCCGGTGGAGGCGCCGTGTAGTAGGCGGCGGCGAGCGACTCGTACGAGTCGGCGCGGGTCGTGAGGGGGAACGAGGTGAGGTACGGGTTGGGGAAGGTCGACGAGTCTGCGGGAAGGATACGAACGAGGTCAGTTTCGCTCGGCTCGTCGACGACGCTTGAAGGAGATCAAAGTGGACGCACAAGGTGTGCTCTCATTCGAGGAGCCAGAGGGACCGTAAGGACCCGCGTCGACTGCGCCCTGCGAAACCTCGTCGACCTTGTGCTGCGCCTTGGAAATGGGCGCGCGCTTGGCGCCCTTCTTGACGGCGACAGGACGCTTGTCGTAGCAGCACACGACGCTCGCCTCGTCGCGCCCCTCGAAGCGGGCCGTCCTCAAGCACGCGCGGCAGGCTGCGGACGCCAAGGGGGGGACGTCAGCCGAGGGTTCGTGCAGTTGGCTTATGCGGCGCGACGACGAGGGGAGGACGAGGGGACGAACCAGGCTTGCCGGCATCGCAGCGGACCTGCAGAAGCAAGTGGTCAGCTGTGCCGAGAGGTGTGGGCGGGGGCGAGAGAGTGGGCGCACCTTTCTCGTGCGGCAGGTCTGGCAGCTCGCGCCTTTGGGCAGAGGGTCGCGCTGCGAGATGTGGCGGCCCTTTGTGCTGCTCTTGCGCGGCAGCTTGTGCCCGAGCGTGCCCGTCGAGCTCATGGCGGGGGCGAGAGAGGGAGGGAGAGTTGGAGGAAGGAGGGGGACGCGGACGTTTCGGCGGAGGCGACGGCGCGGGCGAGAGACGAGTCGACTCGGCGGCGGTGCTTGCTCTGGCTCTGTTCGTGCACGCTCGCGCAGAGGAGGGGGCTGCAGCTGGTGCGAGCCGCAACGTGCTCGAGCAAAGGGCTGAGCGGCGCGCGGTGACCGGCCGGCTCGCGCGGCGTGTCGAGGGGGAGCGTGCCCTCGACCTGCTTCTCCTGTCCGCGTTCGTTCGTTCGCAAGTTCGGACCCGGGCACCCGAGCGGACGCGAGCTCTCCTTTCTCGCGCGAGCTGTGCCTCTTCCGCCCGAAAGAAGCTCTTGGTGACGCACTAAAAAGTGGAGTCCTCGTCGGCGTCGGCGCGCAGAAGCGTGGGCGCTGCACCAACTTTGACTTCTCTCGGCCGTGGCTCGCCCCCCGTTTTGGCTTCTCCGGTCCGCTCGCACCTCTCGCGTCGTCCACCTGCGATTGCTCTCGAGTTGGTCGACTCGTCGAACGCACGCTTGCTGTCGTCGCAGAGCCTCGTCAGAGAGACATGTGCAGCGAGCCCGAGACGTCGCCAAGTCGGACAGCTCGTCTCCGCACGCTCAGACGGCACGCTGCCCTCCGCTCAGATCGCGAGTATCATCGAGAGGGACGCCGCACCCTCGTTCTGCCCCAAGCTTAAGGGCTCTCGTGCCGCCTCTCCGAACCGCGGCTCGAGTCGACCGCCAGCAAACCTCGGACGAGCCGGATGCGGGGCGAAACGAGAGGCTCGTGCGCTGCTTCCCGCGACTTCACCTCCCTGCAGCTTTGGCGGCGGAATCACTGGCGCCCACAGCGAGTAGACGTCGACATTTGCGAGTCGTCGTAACCCTTGTCGGGCGACGCTAAATGCAAGCCGCAGCAGGAGAAGGGCCCAACACTTGGTCGTCTGTACTCGTCTCGCGTCGAAAGAGGGACAGCACAGACTTGATTACGTCGTCGTAGAAGAGGTAGGGGTATGCAGATACTGAGGTATGAACGGCAAAGAGACAGGCTGCGCGGCGAGACGAGAGGTCAGTCTCGAGGAAGCAGAACACGAGTAGGAGAGCGAGAGGTGGACGCACCGGTAGAGCAGCCTCGTCAAGGCTCTTCCTTCTCCTTTCGTGCGACGCTGCGACGCCGAAGCCAGCCCTCCTCGCTGAGCATGTCGCCCTCGACCTCGACCCAACCGTCCTCGCCCTCCTCGTCCTCGTCCTCCTGATCCGCCTCCTCGTCCACCTCGTCGCCCTCGGCACCCTTGTCCTCGGCGGGCAGCCGCTTCGGTCCGTCGTCGACCGCGGCCGCGACCGCAGGAGGCACAGCCGGAGCTCCCGGCGCGCGCACGCTCAGAGGGTGGAACGCCTCGCTCGCCGCCTCGGCGTTGCCGAGCGGGTCCCACGAGATGTTGGGCGGCGAGCCGCGCACGAAGCGAATGCGGGCACGACGGCGCGACTTGACGACGGCGGGAGGTGCGGCACGTGGTGGGGGAGACGGCGCGGTGGGGAAGTGCGCGAGGGGGAGAACGTCTGCGGTCTGGGCGGAGCTGGGCAGGGCGAGGGCTGTCGGCGTCGCAAGCAGGACCGCGAGGACCAGCAGGACGAGGGCCGCTGCGGGAGAACGCATGCTGGCCGCCGTGGAGGTGCGAGTTGGTCGACGAGCGCGAGTTTGCGAAGGTCGACGTCGACGGCGACTCGGCGGCCCGGTGCTGGACAAGGTGGGCTCGGCTCGGCGGAGCAAAGAGTCGAGGTGTACTGAAGCTGTGTGGCGGGCGCAGGAGGACGAACGAGCGAGTGTATCTCCCGAGAACGTCGAGCGTGCCTCCGGGTCGGATTCGCGCACCGACGCGTGATCTCGGATCTGCGCAAGCCGGCTCGAAGGGGGCAACGCGTGCCTGTCGTCTCAAAAAGCTTGTGCCCACGCGAGCCGCAGCCGGGCGGAGCGAATGCGCGCGTCGAAGCGAGACGAGGGGGCGGGCGAAAGTCAAGCAAAGTCAACCGAAAGTCAAGTACGCTGAATACGAAAAGCGAATGCGAAGCCAAGCACGAGTCTGTCGACACGCGCTCCACACGAACGCGACGGCAAGCATCTCTCGGTACCAGGGCTCGTGCGGCAGCGAGACAGAACTCGATAAATTGACACGACGGCGAAAACTAGTTCCCGCTGTAGCTGCTCGGGAACCGCATGCCAAACTCGCGCTCGAGCGCCTCGCGCACCGCGCCGACACGCATCTCGACCCATTCGACCTCCTTCTCGTCCTCGCGCTTGCCCTCGACGACGGCCGTCGTCGTGTACAGCTTTGCCGCCCGTCGCCCCTCGTGCTGCGGGTCCTCCATGCCGTCGAGGTACTGAAGCGTGCGACGCTCGCCGTCGGGCCGCAAGATGGTGGCGACGAGGAACGTGCGGAACCGGGCGTGCTCGGACGCGAACTGGAACGTGTTGAGCACCCGGAAGTCGACGAAAGGCACCGACGCGAGCGCGAACGAGTAGACGGGCGAGAGGTAGGTCGAGCCGGACGAGGCGGTGTTGCGGCGGTAGACGGTCCAGTAAGGAGGAAGGTCGGGCTGGAGGGACGGCGAGGCGCCGGGCAGGCGGTCGGTGCGGTGGAGCTCGTAGTAGTCGGCGGCAGGAATCGACGTCTGGCTCGCGCCGTCCTTGAACTCGATCCTGCGATGAACGCTCAAGGTCAGGGAATGTCACGAGGCTCTGGTCGCGAAAGAGGGACCAAGAGGAGGACGTACGGGTACGAGCACTGCGCGCTGCCGAACCCGACGTCGACGAACCAGCGTGCGCTCGAGCCCTCCCAGTCGACGATGCTGATCCTGCGAGCGACTCGATGACGGTCAGCTGGCGACGTCGTGATGCCGAGACGGACTCGGCGAAGCGAGAGAGAAGAGAGCGAAGGGACGCACTGGTGCGAGGTCGGCTCCCAGCTCCAGCCGGCCTCCTGCGGGTCCTTGCGCTGGTGCGAGTAGACGCGAGCGGCACACTCGCTGACGCGGAAGTTCCAGAAGCGCAGGAGGGCGGCGAAGCTCGAGTTGATGCTGAAGCAGAAGCCGCCTCGGCGAAGGTGGACGATGCGGTTGAAGGCGGCCTCGCCGAGCCCGACGACCTCGCCGCCGCCCAGGTAGATGTCGGCCTCGTCGTCTTGCCAGTCCTTGACGTGGAGCGAGAGCGACTCGAAGGGAACGGCGAGGATGTGGGACGACTGGAGGGTGCGGAGGAGGTCGAGCGAGGGAGGCTGGTCGAGGAGAGAGTGGGAGAGCGAGATGCGGTCGAGGTAGGCGGCCGCGTCGTGTCGAGAGAGCTTGCCGGTCGAGTCGGGCGAGGCAAAGGTCGACGTTGTCGTGCCGTTGGTCGTCGCCATGGTGCCGGTCGAGGGTCGGGGGAGTCGAAGAGGGGAAGGGGGGGAGGGCACGGACCGGCTGGCTTGAAAGGGGCGTGGAGCGGGAGAACTGTTCTGAGTACTGCGGTCAAGCCGACCAAGCTCTTGGTGCTGTGGTTGAAGAGCGAGAGCAAGAGCAGATTGTCGCTTCCCCGCTCCGGCCTCGCTCGCTCACCACTCGATCTGGCAGCTCCGGTCGCTCGTCTAGGGCAGTACAGCACACCTGCGCGCACCCGTCAGCCCAAGATCCCGCCCGCTGAGCCTCTCGCGGCAGCTCTCGCCGACCCGCGTCGAAACCTCATCAGCAACCTCGACCATGCCGAGCCCAGGCGCGCTGTACGCGTCCGGCGTGGCTGCATACCGTGCTGCGACGTACGACACGGCCGCCGACCTGTTCACCGAGGTGCGTCGTGCCCTCCCTCCCTTCTCTCCCTCGTACCCTCGCTCACGTCGACCTCTCGCGCAGGCCATCTCGCTCGCACCCACCTCGGCAAAGCTGTACGACGCTCGGGCGGGAGCCTACGACAAGCTCGGTCGCCTGCAAGACGGCCTCATCGACGCGCGCGAGGTTGTCAGGCTCGTGCCCTCTTCGCACAAGGTGCGCCCCTCTCCCTCCTCTCTTCCTCAGGCCCCGGCTGACCCAATGTCCCGCGCGCAGGGCTACCTTCGAGCCGCCAAGATGCTCAAGACGGCCGGGCGGCACGCCAACGCCGAGAAGCTCCTGCAGCAAGGCCTCGAGCGAGTTCCCGAGGAGGAGATCAAGGGTCGTGCAGTGCGTCTCTCGCTCTCCCCCTTTGCGTGTATCCGTGCCTCGTATTGACGTTCTCGTCGCTCCAGGAACTCGAAGCCGAGCTCGCGACCGTGACGAGCGAGCGCCTGAAAGCCGAGGTGCGCCCAATCTCTCACGTATCGACTCCTCCGTTCGTCGAGCTGAGCCCGCCCGACGCCCGCAGCACTCGCCCTTCTCGCAGCTCCCGTTCGAGATCTTTGTCGAGATCATCACGCTCGCGACCGAGCCGTCGTCCCTGTCGCGGTACTCGCAAGTCGAGCTGCCTCGCACCAAGCCGCCGAGGGTCAACACGCTGTTCAGCTCGATGCGGGTCTCCCGCACGTGGTACCAGCTCATCAAGGCGACGCCGCATCTTTGGACGACCCTGTGCGTCGACGGCGTCATGAACCAGAAGAACGCCGAGCGCAAGGTCGCCTTCTTCCTCGAGCGCGCCAACCAGGGTCGAGTCGGGCACGCCAAGGCCAGCTCGGGCCCACCACGACGCGGCATCCGCCGGCTCGTCCTCACCGCCGCGCAGGACCTGCCGCCGCCGACTTTCGCGGCCGTCCTCGCCGCACTCGCAGGCGCAGGCGCGGCGTCGACCTTGCGCGAGGTCGTCCTCTCGTTCGTCGACGGCAGCCGGACGACGGTCTCGGTCGACAACGAGACGGCCCGAGCGTGCGACATGCTCGTGTACCTGCACGAGCACTGTCGCGAGACGCTCGACGTCCTCAGCGTGTGCTCGGGGAGCCGCATCTACCCCGACTTCGACCTCACCTGCGTCTACACGTCGTTCCCCAACCTCACGAGCCTGAGCTTGTGGGGCACGACGTCGTCGAGCTTTGTCCTCGGGCTGCACGCACCCTTCCTGCGCACGAGCTTTACGCCCGTCCCGCCACCGACCGACCCGGACGACCCGTCGCCTCCTCCTGTCGTCCACCCGCGCACCAACGCCCGCCACCTGCGCGCCAACGGCGTCGTCTTCATCGCCGACGTCAACTGCCACCTCGAGTCGTTCCCGCACCTCGTCGACCTCGACTTTGACATCATCGGCGCGCCCGTCGTGTGGCCGCTCCTGTCGGCGCCCAACTTGCGCCGGTGCAACACGGCCGTGTACGGCGAGGCGCACGTCGCGGCGCTCCCGATGCCCGACCTCGCCCAAGCATGGGCGCGCCTCGAGCACTTGCGCCTCGGCGGCGCGAAAAGGCTCGCGCCGCGCCTCCTCGACGAGGCGATCCGGCTCGGCCCGCTCCGGTTCGACCACCTGACGCACGTCGACCTGTCGTTCGCGTCCCTCTCGTCGCGGCACCTCACGTCCTTGTTCGACTCGGGCAACGCGCCCTGCATCGAGACGCTCAACCTCGCGTCGACCATGGTCGGCCCGCCCGAGTCGGCGCTCGTCCTCCCGCGCCGCATGGCCCGCCTGCGCGCGCTCAACGTGTCGCACACGATGTGGGTCACGGACGCGACGATCCGCGCCGTCGCCGAATGCGCGCCGAGGCTCGAGCGCCTCGAGGCGAGGGGGAGCGCCTTCATCACGGGGCGGCCCGTCATGGAGCTCGTGCGGGGCCGCATGCCCGTCCTCGCCGACGCAGCAGACGTCGAGCCGGAGCAGGGGAAAGGTGAGGGCGACAAGGGCGCGAGAAAGGCGCAGCGGTACTCGCTCGTGACGGACCTCGCGCTCGAGGGGTGCACAAAGATCGAGGCGGCGGCGGTCGAGTGGCTCAAGAAGCACGTGCGGCCGGGAGGAGTGCGGTTCCAGTTTGTCGACCCGAACGAGCGCCGAGGGAGGAGCTCGCAGTGGGCCTACTGAGGCGAGCCCGAGGGCGAGTCGTCGAAGCAGTGTCGGCGGCGGTGTCGTCGTCGAGCCGGCGATTCATCCTTTGGCCTTCCTCTCTCTCCTTCTCTATAGCGTGAGAGAGACCAATGTGAGCTGCTGGGCGCTCTCGCTATCGTCGGCCCAGTCGCTCGAGAGACTCCGACTCGGCTTGACCTTGAGGGCCCGAGCGAGGAGCTCGAGGCATACTTTCTTTCGCTCTCGCTGCCTCGAACGCTCGAAACACGGAGAGAGATGAACTGTAGTACAACAGGAGACTGCCTCTAGATCCATGAATGCTATACTGCCCGTCGCCCCTGCCCCTTCTACTGCGGCCTCGCCCTCGACGGACTGCTCGTCCTGCTCGGGTTCCGACTCGCGGCCCGGCTCCCCTCGCGCGACATGGACGGCTGGCGCCAACCCGTCATGGCAAACAGCCTGTCGCTGCTCGACCCGACGCGGAAGAAGCTGCTCGTCGACGGCGCGCGCGAGCCGGGCGCCGACGCCGACGCCGGCGTATTGCTGCCGCCCGAGCCTGGCGGCGACGCTTGAGGGCGCCGAGAGGCCGACCGTCCTCGCTCGTCCTCTTCGACGGGCGTGATGGGCTCGCCTTCCTCGAAAATGGTGCCGGGCTCTTCGGTGAGGCGAGGCGAGGGCGAGGGAATGATGCCCTCGGGCTTGGGCTGGGCGACGTACTCGATCGTCGCGTCCGAGCCCTCGACGAGGAGCGGCGTCGCGTGTAGTTCGACGAGTCTGCGCGAGGGAGGGAGAGGAAAGAGAGGGTCAGGAGGCTGTGAGGGAGAGGAAAGGAGAAGAAGAGGTCCGAGCGGACGCGAGAACGCACTGCTTCATCGTGTAGCTGCACACGCAGGGGAGCTGGAGCTCGGCGTCGAGCGGCACGGGATTGGGGTCGAGGAGCGAGTAGACGGGGAGGGTGAGGGAATCGAGGAAGCAGCAGCACTGCGAGGGAAGGAAGGCGACGTCAGTCGCGCTCAGGATGGGGGAAAAGGGGAGGGAGGGAGCGAGGGCGTACCGAAAAGATGTCGACAGGCTTCGACATGACGACCTTTCGTCGCTCGGGCTCGTTCTTCTCCTTCTCCTTGCCCGCCTTTCTCCCTCCTGGCGCCGACGCGTCAAATGGCGGCGGGTTCGACTCCTCCTCGGTCATGGGCCGGTACGTGATCTCGCACTGGATCGTGTGGTGGCACGCGATGGGCGTCACCGTGCCCTCCTGCGTCGAGGGCCGGATGTGGTTGTCGTTGGGCAGGCGTGCGAGGTGGTGCAGGCGGTACATCTCGTCCTTGCGGAGCGCCTTGAGCGGGCCCGTCCTCGGCGTCTGCATGCCGCTCTTGGCGCCTCGCGCGTTGTCCTCCGAGATCTTGGCCGAGTTGGGCGGGTTGGTCGCGTCGAGGATGAAGACGCTTTGCGCGTACGGCGGCGGCGTGACGGCGTGGTCCTTGTCGACGGGCGAGCGCAGCTGGAACGCCTGGACGATCTTGACCTTGATCGAGTAGATGAGGAGGTCGGTTGGCGGGAACAGGAGGTTGAGGCGGAACAGGAGGAGGCCTCCGACCATGCAGTAGGCCGACTGCATCGCGATCGAGTACGGGCCGATCTCCTCGAGGCTGCCCTCGAACTTGAGGTGCAGCGGCGGCGGCGGCTTCGAGACGTCCTCGAGGCCCGGGTTGACGATGAGGAAGACGGGCTTCTCGTTGCTGAGGACGTCGCCGCCCATGGGCCCGAGCCCTTTCGCCTTGGCCGTGATCATGTGCCGCACGCGCCCGTATTGACATCGCTCGTAGCCTGCAGGGTGATAGGGTCAACGCCAGGCTCTTGCGGGGCGAAATCAGGGAGGAGAGAGGCGTACACGCCGCGCTGGCCGGGATGATGATGATGAACTGCGAGGGCCGACGAGGGTCGGTGCGAGGTCGCCATCGGCGCGGAAATCAGGAAGGGGAGACGCACCTCGAATGTGTGCTCGCCCTTGCCGAGTTGAGCCGCCTCGCCGCCCTGGATGAGCGAGACGGTGCGCTCGAGGCAGACGCCGCTCTCGTACGGCGTCGAGTCGGGCCAGCCGATGTCGTACCGCCCGACGAGCCGCACCGTCAGGTGCTTGAGGCTACGCGCTTTGCTGTGGACGGAGAACAGAGTCAGCCAGGCTCTCGTTGGTGGCACTGCGAGAGAGAGAGAGAGGGAACGCACGGCAGGTACAGCGAGACGGTGCCCTGGATGATCTCG